ACTGGCACCCATGTGGGATGCTGGCTGCTGCAGGCAGTGGCTTTACCTGCTGCAACCATAATGCCAGCCCCATGATGATACACTATTTTTAAAGTTATATTCTCCAATGTTGCTTCAGGGCTGTTTTCCCAGGCCACCACTAGGATTTTGCAGGATTTAATACTCGTGCTTTCTCATTTGAATGATTCGTCTGTGTCTTTTTCCTCGGTTGAATCTCCTATCCTTGGAAGTTAATTGGCTTTTGATGGAGTCAGTAGGAAGTTTCTGACAATACCGCTGTCTGATGCTTAATGAGAGAGGCGCTGTAGGGATGCTCACCAGCTTTGCATGGTTTTGATATTTCTTTTGTTTATTCTGATGGATTATTTTTTTGTCTTCATTTGCATTGCTTGGCAAGTGTTAACAATCCATGGAGTGCTGATGGGGCTGGGAAACAGGATGAGTGTGGAACAGTGCGAAGAGCTTGGCCAGGTTTGTGTAGGAGCCTGAGCCTGTCGCAAGGCACCGGCATAGCAGTGACTGTAGAGCACAACAGTGTTGGAGACACATTGTGATTTCTCAGATGCTAAAATCTGAAAATGGAAAATCTTGGAACTGAGGCTTAGAATCTGAAACAGCAAGATGAGAAACCACCTAAAAGGGGCATAGTAAATGATGGAATTCACACCCTGTCGAATATTGTTCCCCAGTTAAAAATGAAGTCTCCCTAGACAGATGTCTCCATATATTTAAAGTAATCTTCCGTAAACATTGTAGGGCATTAACAATGTTCGGTGATTGAACCCCTGCTGTGTTGCAGCCACTAGAATAGTGTTCAGGGAGTTTGCATTCTGGAGGGGGAAGTGGCTAGAAAGAGGTAAGCAAGCAGATAAAATCAACTTGGGTAAGTGCTATGGTGGGAAACCAGCAAGTGACGGGAAAGGAACCAACTTGGATCTGATGGGTGGGCAAGGCCTCGATGAAGGGCTGCTGGTTGAGCTGAGAGCTGTGGAGTGCAGAGGATGGCCTGGGCCAGAACCCTGCATTCCTGGGGGTGAAACAGCAAGGGTTAGGATGGGGAAGTGCTGGCATGTTTGAGGAGCTGGGGGCAGGCCTTTTGGGGTCAGGGTTGGGCAAGGGAGGGGCACAAGGGCTGAGGTTGCTTAGAGAGATGGGGGCATCACGGAGCCCTTGGGGCTCAGCTCAAGCCTTAGGTTTATTAGGAAATGAGACGCCATCGCTGGCATGACAGAGTCTGATGGTGTTTTACGAAGCCCGCTCTGGCTACTGTGTGGACTACGGGAAGAGGGGAGCCTTGTTAGAAGGCCAGTCTGGTGGTCACCCAGGCAGGTGACAATCCTGGCCTGCACGTGGGTGGCAGAAGCAGAGGCATGAATGTGGGAAGAAGCCACCATCTTTGCTGAAATATTAAACAGCAGCCAAGGGGAGAAATCAGACGCCCTCTAGGTTCCAGGTCTGAGCGGCTGGGTGGTAAGTAGGGTATTTATCGAGGTGGGGTGACAGAAGGGCGGGCATGTGAATGGGAAGCCTGGAGAATTCTCGTGGATGTGCAGAGTTCGAGCAGTCAGGGAGACAGCCACAATACCTGGTCAGCAGGACAGTGCACTTAGAGGGGACCGGGAACGAGGCTCTGCGAGTCCTTAGCGTAGTGTTGGTTGGACATGAAGGAAGAAGGCCCTGGTCCTTGGGCTAGGCTTTGAGGAATGCTCTGTTTGGAAGTTAGGGAGAGGAAGGGGAACCGGCCAGGGAGAGTGAGCACAGGCAGCTGGCGGAGTAGGAGGGAGGGGAGACCCGAGACAATGACAGAGTATTTGAAGTAGTCGTTGGTGATCCCAGGGCAGGTGGGAGGGTGGCAGCCACTGTGATTACAACTGAGTAAAAGCCTGTGTTTAAATATAGATTAGAAAACCAGAAGAGGCTGTTTCATTTAGATAAAGAAGCTTTGAATATAATTCTTGTGAAGTTGTTCTAATAACAAAAATAATTTAAAAGAAAAAAGCAGCAAACAGGCAGTGTGTCTTCACAGATGGACTTCCTCACAGTCTGCGTGCTGGATGGGTGTTATGGGAGAGGTCTCAGTGTTATATTAAAAATTACAAACATTTTTAACAGGCTGTGGAAAAACCTGCATTGGCTTCGTGTAAACAGGAGAAATAAACTAAGCATGCAAAGCATATCTGGCATCTTCCCTTAGTTCTTGACCATCTCCTTGGTCCTTGCAGGTGTGGTATGCTGCAATCCTATGCCGAGTTCGTGAATCAGAAAATCCATGACATCTCCGAGGAAGAAAGGAAAGGTGGTTGGACTTTTATATTTCACGTTCCCTCTATGAATTCTGACTTGTTTGTGTTTTATCTTTATGTCACCTCCAATTTTCCTATCTCAAGCTATTGCAGAAGATATCCCAGTAGTTTCTTAGAGCTGCCCATGTCCATCTAATTCTAGGATTGGATTTCAATGACCTAGGAGTATTTACATGTCTTGCCTGGGAGCTGGAAAATAGTATTTATATAATGAAAACCTCCAAATACGAAATTAGAACCTAGTACAGAGGGCAGCTCCTATCTAGATTTAATTATCTCTAAGGACATGCAAGGCAAGCATTGGCGTTCTTTTTTAATGTAAATGTTAGCAGAGTATAATCTACATAGAGAAAGATGCACAAATCCTAAGCATGTGGCTTGCTGAGTTTTCACAAGGTGAACACAGCTGGACTAACCTGCCCCAGATAGAACCAGAATATGGCAGGGTACCTGGAACTTCTAATTCCTTCTCACTCCCAGGTGTAATTACTGTCTGGACCGCCAATACCACACATGATATGATAGGCTTGTTCCTCAATTGTGCATAAATAGAAGTGTATGATATCTGCACTTTTGGGTCTGGACATCACCACGTTGTTGTATATAATTGTAACCTAGGTGGTTCTCACTGTGTGTGGATTCTGTTTTGTGACTCTGTCACATTGATTTGTATACTTTACTGTAGATTTGGCATTATAATTCTAACACTATAATTCTCCCACCAGTTAGGTCAGATTTCACAGGTTAAAGGCACAGTCTTCCTCAAGACTGCCCTCACTCAGACACCAGCCGATTTCCCTGCTGACCAGCTAGCTACAATGTGGGGGAGTTCCCAATATCCCCTCATTAGAATGACTCCTAGAACTCACAAAGTCTGTATTTAACCATTAAAGTTTTATTGCAGAGGATACATATCAGGACCAGCCATGTGAGATTGTAGACAGTTCTGGAGGGGCCTCGGCTTCCCTCAGGGTGGTCACCCTCCTGGCCCAGTGATTGTGTGATTGCCAACCGTGACTGCCCACTCGAGCTTAAAGTGTTCAGAGTTTTTATCAGGGCATCGCTTTGGAGGCATGGTGGATTGAGTCATCAGCCGTGCGACTAAACTCAGTCTGCAGCCCACCATGAATAAAAAGATGCTCCTACAACTTGGTAAATTCCCCTGATTTAGCGGTTACCTCCCAGGAATCAGAGACAGAAGTCAGCCAAATTCTTTACTGTACAACTGGATTGTTTTTGGGTTTGGCTGTTTTGAGAGTGCTATGACCTTAGGTGTCAAGATGTTTTAATAACATCTGTGTGCACTTCTGTTGGGCATTGTGTCTAGAAGTGGAGCTGCTGGGTTGTAGGATATGCACGTATCTAGCTTTAGTAGATACTTCTAGACATTCTGCTTGGGTAGTTATATTACACATTGACATTTAAGTGGTTTGTGATCAAGTGATTAGGTTGTGGAACTAGGGTTTGAATCACTAATTTATCTGAATCAGGCCTTCTTTGTAGGTCTTTCTGTCTTCCCAGAGTGGTGAGTGTATATGTGTGTGGGTGGATGGGTGTGAGTGGGTTGGTTTATGCATATGGGAGATGGGAGATAGTGTGAGGATGTTTGTTCCTTTGATGTCTGTCATGAATGTATCAGAAAATAAGTTTTCAGAACTCTGCCAAATTATAAGCCTTTGATTTCATAACAAAGCAGCCATGCACATAGAAGATACCATATAATGATGACCTGTTCGGGCTGCAGTGAGATGAGAATGGTGGAGGCGGCGGGCCTTTGAGTTTTGCTGGTATCTGTTGATCATCAGCCTTTATGATTTCTCTCCTGTGCCTGTAGTTCTTCGAGAGCAAGAGAAGAATTGGCCCTGCTATGAATGTAATCGCCGGTTTGTAAGCTCAGAGCAGTTGCAACAGCATCTCATTCTCATGATGAGAAACTGGATGTGTTTAGCAGGTATATATGATGGGACGTGCTTATGCATTTAGTTGGTCTGTAAAGGTTCAGAATCATTTCTGTACCTTCTGTGAACTAGTAAATGCTGCCTGGTGTGTGTGTGTGTTGTGTGTGAGAGAGAGGAGAGAGAGAGAGGGAGGGAGGGGAGGGATGGAGGAGTAACCAGGTAATCGGGTGCTGCTGGGAGCCTGCCGAGGGGAATGGGAATGTCTTACCTGCCATTTCCTCTCCCGACCCCTGTTTGCTATTTAATCATTTCCACTTAACCAATACCAAGAAAGAGCGATCCTCTCACCTTATAGTCCCCCTTGAGATTCTGAAATAGGCATTCTTGAATTCCTTTGAAATAATCTGTAACTCTGATTTTCAAGCTTTTTTTTTTTCAGTGGAACAATGCCTTTATAAAACTAAATCTGTGTTTAATTCCACTATGTAAAAAAAGGCAGATGAGGGGACAGTCTTGTAGGATAGGGTGAGCAGGTGCCGGGTCAGGTCGGGGCCTTAAGGGTGACGGTTAGAAGTTTGGATTTTATTCTAACTGTGAAAGGAGGAAGTCTTCAGAGGGTTCTGCCTGGGAGTGTTCTGATGTTAATTTAGTTTTAAAAGATCCCTCTGGATCAATTGAAACATCGTGTTGACCTATCCTGGAGTAAGAGTGAAGACCAAGAGTTCGTGTAGAAGCTGTTGCAACAGTTGAGCTGGAATAGGGTAGTGCCAGTGGCACAGATACAGGGTTGTCAACGTTTATGGGTTTGGAGACTGGAGGCCATGAGAAGTGCCATCCAGGCCAGTGGGAAAGTGGATGTTCTAGGGAAGGTACGCCACAGTTACCTGCAATATGAACTTGGGGTTCATGGTCATGAAGTGCAAATGAGACTACTCGCAAGGCTGCGTGCTGTTCTGCAGCTTCACGCAGCTGCCAGGGCCCTGGGGCAGAGCGGCCAGGGAACTGGATTACACAGGGTTGTGGTTTTGCCAAGCGTGCACAGGCCGGCGGGGTAATGACGCAGCAGTGGGCATGGGAATTGAGAGCAAATCCTAGGGAGTGATTACACTGAATGACCTTGGAGTTTGAGTGAGAAAGGGGGTGTAGGATTACAGGTCAGTGACAGAGCAATTGGATTGGAGCTGTGAGGCTGAAGAGTTGCTGCATCCAGCTCTAGAGGGCGCGCGCGCTCGAGACAGAGAGAGAGAGAGAGAGAGAGAGCGTGCGCGGTGCGTACCTAGAGATGGTATCAGAGTGGGCAAAGGGGTTGGGGCCTTAGTGAGGGAGACTTACTGAGGATAGCAAAGTCTAGGGTGTGACCACAGGAAGAAGTATCTGAGGGGGCAGACAGTGAAAGTTAACTCCCTCCTCCTGGTATCCCTAAAACTGTTGGTAGCTCTACTGTGGTGGCACTTTTTATATTGCAATTTTGGTTTATATGTCTGCTGCTTCTCCTACACCTCTGCAGGGGAAAAAAGTGTTGCATATAACTTTATAACTTTTGTGGCTAGGATGGTGAATGACATATAGCAGATAAAATGTTTTTTAGCCAGCTGATAGGAGTTTGAGACTTAGGACCATTTGGACTTTGGCAAGATAGAATAATACTGAGTGAGTGACAGGCTTTTTGAAGGTGTGATAATGGTATTGTGGTTACAGATATACAAAGAGTCTTTATGATTTGGAGATACATACTGAAATATTTACAGATGAAATGATGTCTGGGGCCCGCTTCGAAACAGTCTAATGGGAATGTGTGTGTGCTAGTAGGGGGCTCTGGATGGAATAAGGTTGAGTATGCATTGCTAAATGTTGAAGTTGGGTTGTAGGTACCCGTGTTAGATTCCTAATGCTGTTGTCTCTACATTTACCAAGGTTCAGAACTTTCCATAATGAAGAATCTTCTACAGGTTCCTGGAAAAAATATATAACATTTGTTAAATTGTTAAGTAGATGAGTGTGTAAGAATGAATCAAACATGATCTGAATAATATTATAATACACTTCCTACAGCCACATCTTTTTTTTTTTTTTTGGACAGGCAGAGTGGACAGTGAGAGAGAGAGACAGAGAGAAAGGTCTTCCTTTTGCCGTTGGTTCACCCTCCAATGGCCGCCACGGCTGGCGCGCTGCGGCCGGCACGCTGCGCTGATCCGAAGGCAGGGGCCAGGTGCTTCTCCTGGTCTCCCATAGGGTGCAGGGCCCAAGCACCTGGGCCATCCTCCACTGCACTCCCTGGCCACAGCAGAGAGCTGGCCTGGAAGAGGGGCAACCGGGACAGAATCTGGCGCCCGACCGGGACTAGAACCTGGTGTGCCGGCGACGCAAGGCGGAGGATTAGCCTAGTGAGCCGTGCCGCCGGCCTGTCTTTTTTAAAAAACAATTTTGTTGTTGTTGTTGTTAGTTCTTTAGTGCTGGGAGTCTTGTTTGAGCAATCGGCAGTAAGTAGCAAGTGCTGCCTTTCCATGGCATCAGTTCAGTGTACACTTGAGAGGAATGTTGGGCTGTGTATTTTATTTTTTGTTTTTGGATGAAGATTAATTTTATTATTTGAAGGGCAGAGTTATAGAGAGAGAGGGAGAGAGAAAGAGAGAGAAAGATCTTCTATCCACTGGTTCATTTCCCAAACGGCTGCAAAAGGCAAAGCTGGGCCAGGCAGAAGCCAGGAGCCTGGAACTCCATCTGAGTCTCCCAGTGGGTGCAGGGGCCCAAGCGCTTGGGTCATCTTCTGCTGCTTTCCCAAGCACGTTAGTGGGAGCTGGATTGGAAGTGGAGCAGCCGGGACTCAAACCTGTGCCCATATGGGTTGTCAGCATTGCAGGCGGCAGCTTAGCCTGCTATGCCATAGAGTTGGCCCCTCAAAACTTATTTTTAAGGGACACATTTTCATTGTACATCCACATTTAGGGGATACATGTGGCATGTCAATACATGTTTTGATCAGGGTGGCTGATATTTAGCACCTCAGACGTTTGTCATTTCTAGGTGTTAGGAACATTCAAAATCCTCTCTGCTGGTTTTCTTGAATGATTGAACTAATTGCTGTGAACCACGCTGTGCCCTGTACAGAACACCAGAAGTTGCTCTCCTACACACCTGCACTCCCTGGTCCCTGTCCCAGTCCTCCCTCCAGGCCCTCCCTCCCCACACCCTTCCCAGGCCCTGGGCACCTCTGCTCTGCTCTGCTCCTGTGACATCAACTTCGGCTTCCACATCTGAGACACACAGCGTTCGTCCTTATGCATCTGACCGCACGCCCCTTCCAAGAGAGGTTTCCGTGACATACTTTCGGAGTCTCTCTTAGTCAGGGGTTTTTGCGTGTTAGAGACCCATGAAAGGGGACACAATGTGTGTGGCGTTTACAAGCATGTTTCGGGTTTGGAGGAACTGAAAACATGAATTTAGCCACATTCCTTGGGGGGAAACTGTGAGAAGTCAGACTCTGGGGCAGGCAAGGATGACCTAGGAGAATATTTGGGTGTGGTGTCCTGTAACTGTGATTATTTGTAACCCGCTGTCTTGTTCCAGAACGAGAGGCAGAGGAATGGGGACGAGGCAAGAGACGATTCGGCCCAGGTCGGCGGCCAGGGCGTCCTCCAAAATTTATCCGCTTGGAAATAACGAGCGAGAACGGGGAGAAGAGTGATGACGGGACGCAGGTACTGGGGATGGGAAAGCTGCAGTCTGGGCTGGCCAGGGCTCTGGCGGGACTGAAGTTATAGAGACCTCTCACACGGCGCAGCCCTGTCATCTGAGGGCTTTGCTGCTGGCCATCGCAGTGTGACAGGAGAATTAGCAGGAAAGAATGTATGTTTCAAGTGTTACGGCAGGAACCACCGTGGCTGCCCTAAAGATTTGTAATTAACCAGAGGTATTAGAGGAGGGCTTTGTCTAATTAAACAATTAAAATTATTGATATTCCAGAAGTCTCTTCCTCGCAGAGTGGTCCGAAGCACCTCCTAGTTTTCGTGGTCCGTGCACAGGTGCCTAATTAACTCCCCCAGTGGGAGAACATGGTCCCGAGGGGGTTTGAATCTCGTCATTTAAAAGTCAGCAGCAATTCCAAATCTCAGCTGACAGTCCTCCCAGCACTGATCTTCACTCAGGTAGGGAACTAATTCCCGGTTGTTGCAAATTTCAGGATTTGCTACATTTTCCCACAAAGGAGCAGTTTGATGAGACCTGAAACCAGCTACTCCGAATGGGCTGGACCAACCAGGACAGACCCCTATCCCACTGCCTCAGCCACCGCAGGAAACCCCGACTTCCCTGGACCATGAACCAGAAACCCACACCCTGCACCTGCAGCCACAGCACGAGGAGAGCGTGGCGCCTACCCCAGAGCACTCTGACTGCCGACGACCATGCGCAGAGCCAAACGCATCCGAGTAAGTGGGAAGCGTGCCCCTCGCTCACTGGCTGTCCATCTTCCTTCCTCCAGCCAGCTTTGTCGGTGCGCTGTGTTCCAGCCTCCCCACCATCCACGTCTGAGTCTTGCCTCATCCTAATCACACACATGACCCCTTGGATTTGGAAGAAAGTATAAACAGTTTCTCAAAGTCTCTGTGTGCTGTGGTAGGCTAGTGTGGCGGCTGCCAGGTTCAACCAGTTCAGTAATGACCCAAAAGCCAAGGATTTTGGTAGCTCCTGGACTAGTATAGTTAAAGTAGAATAGCTCTTTGCATCCCCAAGTTCACAGGTTGAAAATGGAGAAGGAACTACATTGCATTGTAATAATTACTTTGTATTTTAAGCCAGGCTAATCTGTGCCTCGTGGTAGCTCTCAAGTTAACTTTGGGTAACTAAGTTTGGTTTTCTGCATTTTCCAAGGGGAAACTAGCAAATGGCATAGACACCTGTGCAGAGGTGCCTGTGTCCAAGATGCTAAGCCAGGGAGCAGTCCAGCACCTGGGGAGAGCGTGAAGTGAAGTGTAGGTTCCGGAAGTAGTCGGGTCGGGCCATTGGTGTGAACCTGCTTCTTGGCTTTAACTGTGGCTTCCAATGCAGATGTGTTTTCCAGGCAGGATTTGAGACTGGAGGTGTGCAGAAAGTAACATGGGTTTGTGGGTGAATGTCTGTGCTGATAAAACAAAAACCCCCCAGTGGCATAAAAACCCACGTTTACAGCAGCTGGGTGCATAAAGACTTGTACTGGTACCTTATATGTAGGTCAGAGAGACTGTGTGTGTCTTCTGGTTCTACACTTTCTGGATGGATGGTCCTTTTAGCTTAGTATTTATTTCCTTTGGCTCTCTTATTTGCCTATAGGCTAGAAGGGACCTTGAAAAATAGTCTAGTCCATGCCTTCAGTCCATGCCTACAAATACATTGAGGCACTTATGGCCATAGAAGCTTTGACCGGCTGTAAGAACTCTGAGGCTGACCCACCTTCCTGAGGGTCCTTTGAAATGTGAAAGTTTCGGCTGAGTCCTGGATCACTTCCACAGGTTGTGGAAGCGTATTTAAATATAGGCTGAAAGGCAGTTCTTCCCCAGTCTTTCCCGCACTTCGTTCTTGCACCCAAATACTATATTTTCTGCTTTTGCCATTCTGATTTTTTTTTTACTAAGTCCAGAGAGCATCTTTACTAGATTTTTTTTTTTTTTAAGGAAAATACTAAAGCCCATACATAGAGTGAAACTGTGGATATACAACATAGTTGAGCATAGTTGAGCATGTGTTTTTGAGTGAGTTGGTTTACTAGTTTCAGTATAAGATTCTTTGTGTCAAATCCAAAGCCATGTGTATATGGCATTTGGAGGTCAGTCTTATCTGGGCTGTATTTTCTTTTTTTTTTCCTCTCACACATTCTAAAAAGCAGGATACGTATTTTTTCTATCCAGATTGGTAAGGACCAACCGCAAGAAAGTCTTCCAATCCAATTGGTAATGTAACTATTTTTCTCTCCTCTAATGCTGCCTGCTCAGGTTGGAGCTGCAGGTAGGTTTGTTTCCTGTGTTTCACTTAACAGAATGCTATTTAAGTGTGTGCCTGACCCACCGTTCTTTGCAACCTGTACTCACTAAATCACGGTGGAAACCACAGTTTGGTTGCTACAGTAAATGCAAATTACTGAATCCTAATAATTTATTAGCATATAAGTCAATGGTAAATGTTGGGCCTCAGATTCCTTGTATACAGATGAAGGGTAGGACTAAGTGATCTCCAAGGTCCCTTCCAGCTCTACAACCGTCTGAATGACATACGGAATGGTACTGAGTTCCAGCTGTCATTCACTGGGCTAGGTATACAATAGAATTTTTGCTTGAGCTTTGTCACCGGGAGCTTACAGTTTGAATATGAAGTCAGCACGAATGGAAGACAGTTTACAGTCAACATGTAATTGCTTATAGGAACTCAGAAGAGCAAAAGGCCAGAGAGAGAGAGATGGAGGAGTTAGGGAACACTTCATGGAAGAGGTGACACACAGACTGGTCCTTGAAGCAGAGGCCAGGAAGGAGTTTGATGCTTCCAGAGGAGGGTAGCCATAGCGTGAGAGGCACAGATTGGTGGTGTGCTTGGTTCTGATGATGGGATAGGACAAACACCAACTTGGCCCCGCTCGCCAGTGCTGATTGAAGGGCGGTCGAGAGTGAGGCATGTTGGCCAGGGCCAGCCCACCAGAGCTTTTGAAAGCTGGGCAGGAAGCAGGCCAAAAGAAAAGTTGCTTTAAAAAACCAAAACCAGAGCTGGCTTTGGTGCATTGGGTTAAGCCAACCCTGGCGATGCCAGTATTCCATCTTGGATTGCCAGTCCTGGCTGCTGTGCCGGTGCTCCAGCTCCCTGCTAATGTCCCTGGCAAGAAGTGGACATTATCCAAGTGCTTGTGTCCCTTCCACCCGCAATGGAGAGTAGGAAGGAGTTCCTGGCTCCTGGCTTGGACATGGCTCAGCCTGGGCGTTGCAGACATTTGGGAAGTGAACCAGCAGGTGGAAAGCCTCTCTGTCACTTTCTCTCTGTCACCTGTCTTTCAAATAAATAAATCTTTTTTTGGAGGGAGGGGGTAGGGAGAACCCAACCCAATCAATGTGATTATTTGATTTCCTTTTAGTGTCAGAGCAAATAGTATGAAAATTGATTATACTTTAGGTTCCTTTAGCTATTAATATCGAACTTCAGAAGCATTTTATGACTTTGGTCTGCAAGGAATGTGTTGTCTGGGATTTCATTGCAAGGAGTGGACTCCTGTGGCACAGAGTTTAAACAATGATTCTGTTTTGGCGTCCTTAAGCCACTGCTGTACCATTCAGCTCTGGTGTAGTTGATGAACTGAACTCAGGGCAGAAAACCCGCGACGGGCCCGTGTTGCCGCTGCCATCATTTGTCATGATTACTTGTAAAAAATATGCACCAACTATGACTCTGAGCTGCGGACGGTCCTACTAGGGTCGCAGTTGGCCAGCAGGAGGCTCAAGGGGCAGGACAGTTCCAACCACGTTACTGCCTTGTGATGGAGGAATTGGAATCATTAGATCAGAGAAGTGACAGCCTGCTCTTGAGGCCTTGGCCAGTGTTCACAGCTCCATGGAAATGAACAAAGATGGCAAGAGTTGTCAACAGAACTCAAGAAGCAGAGCCAGGTCACTGCTGAGATTAAATCAAGTGTCCGAGGTGCGCGCTGCTAATCAGAAATGACAGGAGACTCGAGAAGCAAAAGGGACAAACCCAAGCCAAGGGCAGGATTCTGTCCACGAGGGTAGTGGCATCCTTGGCAGCACCGGCATCAGTCGCTGTGTGCTGCGTCTGTCCCTGGAAACATCACAAACTTGGGGAAAGGAAGTGACTGCCAGGGCAGGTGTGCCCTGAGTCTTGAGGCTGGTGCCTCAGCGTTAGCACCTGTTTGCCATCTTTCCTTGAAGTCAGTTCATGAAAAAGGGTTAGACAGAGGCCGGTGCTGCGGCTCACTAGGCTAATCCTCCGCCTGTGGCACCCAGCACCCTGGGTTCTAGTCCGGTCGGGGCGCCGGATTCTGTCCCGGTTGCCCCTCTTCCAGGCCAGCTCTCTGCTGTGGCCAGGGAGTGCAGTGAGGATGGCCCAAGTGCTTGGGCCCTGCACCCGCATGGAGTCCAGAGGAAGCACCTGGCTCCTGGCTTCGGATCAGCGTGGTGCGCCGGCACCCGCAGCAGCCATTGGGAGGTGAACCAACGGCAAAGGAAGACCTTTCTCTCTGTCTCTCTCTCTCTCACCTGTCCACTCTGCCTGTCAAAAAAAAAAAACAAAAAACAGAAAAAGAAAAAAGAAAGTAGACAGAATGGGGAGGAGCTTTTATGTAAATAAGTATCAAGCAGATGAGGTAAAAGGATTAGGTGGCTGCTCATCGATAGAAGCAAGGAGAGGAAGTTCTGTGGCTGGTTTGGGAAAGATCTGTTCTTACGATCTCTGCAGATGATACGGGAGAGAACTTGAAATGGTTTTTTTTTTTTGAAGTTCATGTGAAAAACATTCCAGTGCCTAATCCACTGTCAAGTGTTTCCTATGAGCTAAGTAAGCCATGGTATTGAGGAATCTCGAATCAAAGGAGACTCCTGGCAGCAGCCATGGTCAGCCTGGGAAGTCAGCAGAGCCGCCAATGATCCTCTTAGGCTAAGCGAGTAGCTGGTGTCTGAAAACATTCTCCTCACCCTGCTAGAGAAGCCCTGAGAAGGAAGTTTATCTCTTACAAAGTGACTGTGGTCAGGCATTTCACTTAATCAAAATAATTATTTTGCTTTCTTCCCTTAAATGATTATTTCACAACAAATTTAGTTTAGAGGCCGCTGCTCTTAAGTAATGAAGAGTTAAAAGCGTTGCTCACGTACCTTCTTCATGCACAAACAAAGCTTTAAGAGCTCCGTTAATTCTTCCGTTGCAGTTCCCTACAGCTGCTATGGGCGTCCCTGGTCCCAGGTGTACACTTTGAGGGACTTCTCCTCCCCTCTCACAGCTATCTGAGCCTTCCCGCGGTGTTTTTTGAGGAACTTAGGAATGAGTGCTTGTGGGTAGCATAACTGAAATCCTGATGCTGTGTTGTGACTTGAGAGGGTACCCTGTGCATCCGGTCCTCGCCGAGCGTGACGGGTTTCTCCATGCAGTCCTGGGTGTTTGGCGCTGAGTACCCACGTTCTCTCACTCGGAGTCCTAGAGCTGCCTGAGTGTACAGATGGCTCGTCAGCTAAGGTGCAGTCCTGTGATGGAACGAAAAGCAAAACTGACTGTTCTTAGACAGGGATGAAAGCAATGTGCTTACCCTGGTTTAGCGTGGCGTGCTAGCCCCTAGAACTACCCAGCTGCCTTGGAACTTGCCCTCCGCAGTTTCTAAGTAGGAAGTGATGAGGTGCTTTTGATCCCTTTATGGTGTGTGCTCAGGCCCCATACCTCACGGAACATTCACATCCTCCGAACTCTTTGTTTCCTTTTTAATTATTCTTTTGTAAAAATTAAGGTCTACAATTCATATAGCCTAAAATTCACCCTTTTTAAAGTGGTTCTTGGACTATTCCTGAAGCTGCTCCGCTGTCACCGCTGTATAATTCCAGGACATTCGTCACCCCCCAAAGGAAGCCCTGTATTTGTCTGCTCTTCCAAACCCAACCACGGCCAAGCGTTCTGCCCTGTAGTGCTCCTTTGTTGCTTGTTTTTGCTGAACACTTCCATCAGGCTGCAGACTTTTTGGCTTACGGACCTTCAGCAAGTGACGTTTGGCTGACTCCTCCAGCTCCCTGCATGTCCATGTGACTCGCCCTCTTTTCTTCCAAATCTTTCGTTTGTATCCTATTCCATTCTGGGGTTTGTCTCATCATACAGATCTTCTATTGAGAACACTTTGTTTGAATGTTGCTTACATCCTTTCAGAAGCAAAACACACCTACATAGACATAAAGAAAAGCCAAAAAAAAAAAAAGAGTTGTCTTGTCCAAGATGGCTTCCTTTTCCGCGCCTTTGCCAGGCCAGTTCTCTCTCCTCGTCCATGCCCAAGAGTTTGACTCCTTTGGGAAGCCTGTGATGCAAGAAAGCCCCTCTCTCTGTCTACACCGGTGATCCCCCTGCACCCTGCACTTCCACCCTACATAATCTCGTTTGTGTATGTCTTTCAGAACGCAGCTCTTCAACATCTGTTTATTCGGAAGTCCTTCCGGCCTTTTAAGTGTTTGCAGGTGTGGAAGGCCTTCCGTGAAAAGGACAAACTGGACCAACACTTGCGCTTCCATGGGCGGGAGGGGAACTGCCCGCTGACCTGTGACCTCTGTAACAAGGGCTTCATCAGCAGTGCGTCCTGGAGAGCCACATGAAGCTCCACTCGGACCAGCAAGACTTACTCTGCCATTTTTTTGCCCAGACTTCCTTTGACCGCCTTGATTTGTTGAAAGATCACGTGGCCATTCATATCAATGATGGCTACTTCACCTGCCCAACTTGTAAGAAACGGTTCCCAGATTTCATCCAGGTGAGTGTCTCTGCTGCCGAGATTCCTGTCTGCTTCCTTCTTTGGTAAAAGAAACTTCAGTGTTGGAAGATTGGGGCTGCCTGGCACCTGCGTTGTCATCCTTTCCTTGAAATAACTTTGGACTGGAGAATATTTGTCCTCAAACTGCTTTTGATGCACAAAAGATGATGATCCTTGAATGTGCAGATCAGACATTGACACATTTTTTTACACCACTTTTTAAAAAAAAGATTTATTTGAAAGACAGAATGGCAGATTGAGAGAGAGAGAGAGAGGAAGAGAGAGAGAGAGAGAGAAAGAAAGAGAGAGATCTTCTATCCACTGGTTCACTCCCCAAATGGTAATGGCCTGGGCTGAGCCAGGCTGAAGCCAGGAGCCAGGAGCCAGGAGCTTCTTCCAGGTCTCCACATATGGGTTCAGGAGCCCAAAACACTTGGGACCATCTTCCCCTGCTTTCTCAGGACATTAGCAGGGGGCTGGATTGGAAGTGGAATAGCCAGGACTTGAATCGGTGTCCTTATGGGATGCCAGTTTAAACATTTGTGTCACGTTACAAATAAAACTATCCAGATCTAGTTGTAATTTTGTGAGAGTCTTTCTTAATCCTTGTCCTTATCAGTTACTCATAAAATATGTAGAGCCTATTGAAGACATTCTCCCACTTTGTAGACTAGAACCATCATCACCCTACCACCGTAGTTCGACTGTCTTGCTTTTGCGAGGTCTTATATTTTGGCATGAAACAAGAGAGAGTTGGTGTACACTATACTGTTGTATCATGCACTGGCTGCCTCCTTGTAGTGTATTCTTTGTTACAACAAAATGGCTGAAGTTTCAGAATAATCAGGACTTCATTGGACATCAAGTGATATTTTTATTTGCTAGTCAGTGAATAGTTGATTCTAAATGTCTTTGTAGAAAGGACTTACCAAAGCCAAGGAGACTAGGACTCATACTTCTGCCCGTATGGAGAGTCTTGGATGTTTTCTCACTTCACACACATGTTAGAAAGGTTGCTTTAAGATAGAATTCAATAGAAGAAGGAACTTCCAATGAAAAATACTAAAAATACAAATAAAATGATAAGATAAAAAAATCTATAAAGTTAAAGACAAATGGAGTTTTAGAAAAGAAAGAAAGAAACTCCAACAATAATGAAGCAAAATGTCTTATAGGAACAGTTTGATGTGTCTCACCACTTAGCTCCCATCCACAGCTCTCCTCCGTTGTGTATGGATGGCTCGCAGAGTTTAATGGCCATCGTCCTTTATTTAAGTTAATGCAAAGTAAAAGGGAACACCCAGTTTGAGAAAGGTGACACTAGTACTGTGTTATTCTCATAAACAGGTAATTTTTTCTGTGTCCTCTAATTCATTCTGTAATTCTTCAGAACTCTGGTTTTAGATGTAGATGGATTGGTGGCTGACAGAGGCCAAATTGCTTCTGTGTGTGTTGAAGGCAGAAGAAAGTGAGGGAGAATTATTTTTTTTTTTATCTTTCCTACAAGTAATTTTTAGCAAGATTCATTTAAACCGAAGGAACTCTGCTTTCTTTATTTTTCATTTAAATGTTTTCTTCTAGGCATTTACTTTGTTTTATTTTAAATTAAAATTTTTTTTTTATGTTATTCATTTGGAAGGCAGAGACAAGAGCCAAGAAGAGAGAGAGATCTTCCGTCTGCTGTCTGACTTCCCAGACACCCACAATAGTGGGAGCTGGGCTGGGCCAGGCCAAAGCCTAGATCTAAATCCAGGTCTCCCATGTGGGTGGCAGGGACTTGGGCCATCCTCCACTGCTTTCCAGGCGCATTAGCAGGAAGCTGGATCAGAAGTGGAGCAGCCAGGACCGGAACCTGTGCTCCAAAATGGGATACTAGCATCGCGGGCAGTGGTTTAACCCTCACACTACAGTGTGGGCCCCTCTTTTAAGAAAAATGTTCTCTAAGTGGTTAGGGCTTTAACCAAGCAAACATCTTTATTCTCTTCATTTCATGGTAGAGGTTAAGATTTCCTATGCTTTTTGTTTTGTCTCTTTGTAGCAGGATAATAATAGGTACTGAGGCCAGTCATCCCATCTGAACTGGATTACTCGGCCAGGCTGGTGAAAGTCCACGGTAAGCCTTTGGCTCCCTCTAGCGTTGGTGAAACTGAGTTTCCCCGTGGTCTTCTCTTGCCAGGTGAAAAAGCACTGTGCGCAGCTTCCACTCGGAGAAAATCTACCAGTGCACAGAGTGTGACAAGGCCTTCTGTCGGCCCGACAAGCTGCGGCTGCACATGCTTCGGCATTCGGACCGCAAGGACTTCCTGTGCTCCACCTGTGGGAAGCAGTTCAAGGTATGCCACCAGCGCACAGCTGCAGGGCGAGCTCAGGCTAAGGATAAGCACTTTCCGTTGCGTCAGGTTTTCGCCCGCTTGTGAAGAACTTGCATCCTCACTTCACATCTCGTGTTTGCCCTTTGAAAATTAGGATGGAAAATTTGCCTTAGTTTCTCCCAAGAACTAATTGAGATTCTCTAAAACATAGTCAAAATGCATCATCTGGTGCAAGAATCCAAACGTAGAATGACTTGCAGCACTACGTGACTGTTGAGGATTCTGAGACGTCAATACATTGATTTACCACTTAGAAGTTTTAGGAAGCACTAACCCAGTATCAGGGCCTGTAACTGAGCCCTGCAGGCAGCAGGAGTCTCATCTGATGGAGGCGGGACATCTGAAGATGCTGAGAGGGCTTAGACTTCTTTGGGGAATGGCAATGATGCCCTCCAAGGATTAAAATAAAAAGTACTAAGTATCAGTAAGTTGTCTGCAACTTACACCAAACCAAGAAAATACCAGTGATAGCTGCTTCGTCGGGAAATCAGATGAATCTGCAAAAGTGTCACTGAGTGATAATCTATTGAATGCAACTGCGGATTGCACTGTCCTGGAAAAAACTGGAGAAAAATCAGAAATGGGTCCAGGAGGGGAAACCCAAGAGCCTATTTGTAAAGAATATGAAGCTATTAAAGAGAAATAGGGAGTCATTTGTCAAAGCTTGAGTTTTATGGGATGTGTGTTATAGAATATAATATCAGTGGCTTTTAATATAGTAGCATGATCTGGAACTCTGTAGAGAACTACAATGTGAGAAGTATAAATGGTTCTGGATATTTTTCTGGTTCTTAATTTTTTAAACACATTAAATCTAGAAGGATCTGTATCTTTTAAAAAAAAAGATTTTATTTAATTATTGAGAGGTAGAGCTACAGACAGAGAGAGGGAGGAAAAAGGTCTTCCATCGGATGGTTCAGTCCCCAAATGGCTGCAATGGCCAGAGCTGGGCCCACCCAAAGCCAGGAGCTTCTTCCAGGTCTCCCACACAGGTGCAGGGGCCCAAGCACTGGGCCATCCTCCACTGCTTTCCCAGGCCATATTAGAGAGCTGGACTGGAAAAAGAACAGCCAGGACATAAACCAGCACCCATACAAGGTGCCATTGTCACAGCCGAGGCTTAGCCCACTATGCCACAGCAGTGGCCCAGGATTTGTATCTTGTGAAACTGTCGGGCCATCCATTCAACACGCTTTGATAATCTTGGGCCAGATATCATTGTAACTGCTAGGAACATAAAATGTACATCTACTTCCGTTTTCCTCTGAACTTTCACTCAGTAAATTAGGCAGGCTTCAATCAGAGGAGCTAAACCAGGATGAATATCACATAGTGAGGGATTTTCTTAGAAGACTAAGATGTTAGGAGAAGTGGAGAAGTTGAGCCTGAAGGGAGATTTTGGGAGGTCAGAGAAGTTGCTCTTGTACTCTCCAAAGCTCTGGTCTGGGTGGACAAATGAGAACTTCCCCTGGGAACGTGGGAACCAGGCTCCTCCAACTTCAAGCTGGCCCCTGTCCATGGTCTGTGTTGCTACAACTGGTGGTGGATGGGCGGTTGGCCAGTAGGGCTGGAGGTCGACAAGAGGGCAAGGCACCTGAGAAGACCTGCAGGCACCTCTGCCCTTGACGCTGCTCCTGGGCGTGGGAGCCACACTGTGAGGGGATTGCATTTCAGTGTAGTGCCCGTAGCCAAGTGGACACCGCACATAACCACTGCATGCCGTCAATGCAGCTCTCAGCCTGTACCCAGAGTCATTTTTCTAGAGAACACATCTGATGTCATGTTCCTTCTGAAAAACCCTCGAGTAGCTCTTCCCACAGACAGGCTCCCAGGTTCTTGTGACCCTAGAAGACCCTGCAGGATCAGGCTCCCGGCACCTCCCTGGATCCTAGTGCTGCTGCTTTGCCCACGCTCTGCTTACATCCACTTATGTGTGGCATGTGCTCTCCTTGGGCTCTTGGATTTGCTCTCCTTCCTATCCCTGGCTTGAAATAACTTTCGTACTCTCTCTCACGTCGTTTTGCCTCGCTTCATAAGAGGCATTTTTGGGTCCCTGGCTTAAGTGATTCTGCCCTGAATTACAAAGGCCTTTTGCTGGAAAACCCCATCAAAGCATGTAAGCATTGCAAGTGCCTGTCCTGCTATGGTTAAATCTCATGAGGGCAGCTTACCTAAAGGCGAAGTAGGACTTTCTGACTTGAAGGAGCTCACAGTGTCATGGGCAAATGAGACAGATGCATTCAAAAAATCCTGGTAGTTCCAAAGAGCAAAGGATAAGGTACTAGGAGAGTGATGGACTCTGTTTTGGGTGTGTAAGGGAAAGGGACACTTTTGAATTCACTAAAGGGTAGACAAAGGGAGAGCATGAGGAATTGGGGGAGCAGCAGTGACTAAGGCAGTGCCACAGCCCGGAGATGGTGACAGGTGGAGAGATGGAGGGCCTGGTAAGAGGCCCCTGGTGAGATGCAGCCTGAGAAATAGGTAAGCCAGCTCGTGATGCTGAATAATAGATTTATGGTGAAGAGGGCTTCAGGGGTCTTAGAGCTGACTGCAGGCAGAGACTGTGGGCTTGGAGAAGAGGGTCCACATTCAAGACAGATGTTTGAGGAAGCCCAACAGGACCCCACATCTGTGTGGAAGGATGAAGGGGGATGATGAGGGGTGAGATCCATGGGTTGGGAGCTGGATGTTTGGGAACACAGCTGATACAAGGAGCTGGACTTAGGCCAGAGGGGAGGGTGGGGAGAGAATGGATCTGGGTTTGGAGATAGCAGGTTGGAAAGGCCTTGTGGAGGTTGGGCATTCAAGAAACACATGCCCTTCACTGCATGTTGGCCTGGCATGTGTTAGTGCAGGCTGAGTAGTCCCCATCCAGGATGCTTGAACCAGAGTATTTCAGCTTTCATTTATTTTAAGATACTGAAATATTTGTGTACTTAGGACCCAAGTCTAAAAATTTACTTGAAAGGCAGAGTTTACAGAGAGAGAGAGAGAGAGGAATCTTCCATCTACTGGTTCACTTCCTAAATGCCCACAATGTACAGGGCTGGGCCAGGATGAAGCTAGGAGCCAGGAGCTTCTTCCAGGTCTCTCACGGGGTTGCAGGGGCCCAAGCACTTGGGCATCCTCTGCTGCTTTCCCAGGTGCATTAGCAGGGAGCTGGATCAGAATTGGAGCAGCCAGGATGTGAACCTACCACGTTGCAGGCAGAGGCTTTACCCGCTGACGCCACAGTGTCAGCCCTGAGAAATGATCTTTCTTAGGGCAATATTCTGAATCCAGTCTTTACCTTAGACTAAGCAATTTTGGCCAGGCTCTTTTGGACTTTCCAGGAATGAGAAGGGGTGGAGCCAGGGGGAAGGAGCAGTTGGGTCTCAACTCTGTTGTTTGCAAAAGAGGCAGGTAGGAGGGAGCCTACCTTTGGAACTTGGCACTTAGCTAGTAGGCATCAAGGAATATTTGTTGGATTACTGTACTGAAAAATGAAGTGGTTAAAAAAAAAAAAAAGGCTCTATACCAAAAGAGGGAAAAGAGGGAAGAACTGGCCTTGTAGAAAGGCTCAAATCTACACCAGATGAATAACAGTTCAAGAGAGAGAGCCGGAGGCCCTCCCTGACAGAGAGCTTGCATGTTTTTTGAGGTTGTTTTTTTTTTTTATTCTGGATGGGCTAGGCCTAATCTTTTCTTATGGACTCAAAAAATTCAGCATGAATCATTGGATTCATAAATCAGAAGCTGAGTCCTAGGCCCTGCGCTCTATCCATAGCGGACAGTCTACATTTTTAGCTGGACCTCGAAGTCCTTGTGTGAAAGATTCTTGCTTGGGGCCGATGTTGTGGTGTAGTGGGTAAAGCTGCCACCTGCAGTGCCGGCACCCTATATGGGTGCTGATTCGAGTCCTGGCTGCTCCACTTCCAATCCAGCTTCCTGCTAATGTGCCTGGGAAGGTAGCAGAAGGTGGCCCAAGTCCTTGGGCCCCTGCACCCCCATGAGAGACCCAGAAGAAGCTCCTGGCTTTGTCCTGGCCCAACACTGGCTGTTGTGGTCATTTGGGGATGAACCAGCAAATGGTAGATCTCTCTTTCTTTCTCTCTCTCTTTCTGTAATTCTGCCTTTCAAATAAATAAAATAATCTTTTTTAAACATTGGTTTATTTGAAAGTCCGAGTTACACAGAAAGAGAAGGAGAGGCAGAGAGAGAGGTCCTCCATCTGCTGATCCACTCCCCAGATGGCCACAGCAGCTGGAGCTATGCTGATCCGAAGCCAGGAGCCAGGAGCTTCCTCTGGGTCTCCTACGTGGGTGCAGGAGCCCAAGGACTTGGGCCATCCTCCACTGCTCTCCCAGGCCACAGCAGAGAGCCAGATCGGAAGTGGAGCAGCAGGACTTGAGCCTGCGTCCACACGGGATGCCGGCACTGCTGGCGGCAGCTTTACTTACTACACCACAGTGCCAGCTCCCCCCATCACTCATTTTCAATTTGTCTTAGAGTTCTTAGCCCGTCCTTACTGCACGTACCCTATGAACTCCTCTATATAATGCAGTGTTCCCCCTCAAAAATCAGGGTGTACCTTCCCATTTAGTGGTGTTTTCTGGCTTGCCAGGGAATAAAGTCATTCCCGGCCACCTCCGTCCCGGTGTGCACCAGCACCCCAGCTAACCTAGATGCCTCTAGGAGATTGTGGTGACTGCAAATTTGTACGCTTTTCTCATTATTCCTTCAACTGAAAGTTTTCTACCCCACTCCTGTCCCCCTTTCCAACGCTTCCTTTCGAATAGCGAAAAGACAAACTGCGGGAACACATGCAGAGGATGCACAACCCAGAGAGGGAGGCCAAGAAAGCCGACCGCATCAGCCGCTCCAAGACCTTCAAGCCTCGCATCACGTCCACGGACTACGACAGCTTCACGTTCAAGTGCCGGCTGTGCATGATGGGCTTCCGGCGGCGAGGCATGCTGGTCAGTGCCAGGCGGCTGGGGGCTGCCGGGGGGTGATCGTGGCTCCTGCGTTGTCACCTGGAGCGGTTCTGTCTGTCCATGGCTGGGGGAGAAACAGGCACACAACTTCCCCAGCTGGAGCCCTCTCTGCTCCAGTCTCCGCGCCCTCCTGTGCCCCTGTCCGAGTGACCTCCTTCTCTCCTGCTTTCCATGGCTGCTTTTGTGTTTCTTCATCCTTTCAGTTTTTTTTTTTTTTTTTTTTTTTTTTTAAGATTTATTTGAAAATCAAAGTTATGCAGAGAGAGGAGAGGCAGAGAGAGAGAGAGGTCTTCCATCTGCTGGTTCACTCCCCAATTGGCCTCAATGGCCGGAGCTGCACTGATCTGAAGCCAGGAGCCAGGAGATTCTTTTGGGTCTCCCATGTGGGTGCAGGGGCCCAAGGACCTAGGCTACCTTCTACTGCTTTCCCAGGCCACAGCAGAGAGCTGGAGTGGAAGTGGAGCAGCTGGGTCTCAAACCAGCGCCCTTACGGGATGCTGGTGCTTCAGGCCAGGCCAGGGTGTTAACCCGCTGCACCACAGCACCAGCCCCCAGTCTTTTTTTTTTTTTTTTTTCTTTTACTCTTATTCCATTTTCTTTCCTCTCCTCTTCTGTGATCCCTAGAGTAGACTTTCTAGTGGGGGCATCTTTGCCTTCTCCTTGACCATGCCCCGTCAGTGCACCTGTGTTGTAGGTTTCAAATAGTAGTGGAAGGAGACCGTCTGTCACCGCAGGGCATGGCGGCCCAGCTGGCCAGTCCACTGCTCACAATGCGTTTTGCCCCTGTCAAAGTTGTGAGCATTCTGCTGGGACCTGGAAGGCTGTGGCACCATGTTTAAATTCCGAGCCATAGTTCCTATCTCAGTGTTCTCAGTAAAGCTAGGGCACGAAAGATACAAGACGGCGCTGCCTCGAGAGAATTCACCCAAGTCGTTCATGCCGGCGCGGTTTGTAGGTGTTGTAGCCGAAGCCCATCGATGACATCCACACCACCCAGCTCACACCCGGTTGTTTGCTGAATTGCTGGGAACTGCTCTTAGCTGTGCCTGTTAGTGTGCTGGGGTTGGATGGCTCTGGTGATGCTGATGTTAGCCACTAATCTTACTGTTTGGGGGCCCCTGGCTTCAGAGAACTGCAGCTGCCAGCACTCGTCGTCAGAGGCATTTGGTTAGCTTCTGTTAACAGAGGGGTCTCTTTTTTTTTCTCTTTTGACCATTTTTCCCCCACTTTAGGTAAATCACTTATCAAAGAGACACCCAGACATGAAGATCGAAGAGGTGCCAGAGCTAACTCTCCCCATCATCAACCCAACCGTGACTACTTTTGTCAGTACTGTGACAAGGTAAAGGGAGAATTCTGTTCTGATACACCCCTGTGGGCGCCCTGTAGGGAGCCCGTTATCTGCATGTCTAAATATGTTCTAGGATCTTGCAGGTGTTCTTAGCAGATGGTTCCCTGTCTCAGTAGTTCTCCATTCAGATAAAAAGGGCTACAGATACAGCCTCATTTTAAGCCAATTTTTCTCCTTAAGAATTTAGTTGGCTTTGTTTTTCTTATTGTACCTACTCTTTGTGGTTCTTGTTACAAAAGGAGAGACCTATTACCAAGAGCCTGGTATGGGAATTCATTTTAAACCCCTAAGATCTAAAATGAGAGTGTTTATCATCTTACTTTTAAAATATTGATAGCTTTTGGATTCCTAGAAGATTGAGTGGGACATGAAAAAGTGTTGAGATAGAATTCTGCACTGGTACTGCTCCAATTCTCTATTTGTGTGCAGTTGCAAAAAAGACAAAAGAAAATATTTGTTAGTTGTTTCATTGTAAAATAATCTTATCATTTCCTTACATAGTGAAGTTTTGTTAGCTTAAAAATAAGAAACGTGTTTTTAAAGATTTATTGATATATTTGAAAGGCAGAGTTAGAGAAAGAGAGAGAGAGAGAGAGAGAGAGAGGTGTTCCATCCACTGTTTCCCTCCCCAAATGGCTGCAATGACTGGGGCTGGGCCAGGTTGCAGCCTGAAGCCAGGAGCTTCTTCTGGGTCTCCCATGAGAGTACAGGGGCCCAAGGTCTTGGGACATCCTCCACTGCTTTCCCAGGTACATTAACAAGGAGCTGGATTGGAAATGGAGCAACCAGGACTTGAACTGGCGCCCAAGTGGGATGCTGGAACTGTAGGCTGTGGTTTTAACCTGCTGCGCCACAACACCAGCCCCAAGAAACATTTTTTAAACATAGATTCCTCCACTAGAGGTTAATTCCTTTGGCAGATTCCTTGGCTCCCAGTAGTCAGCTATGTGCATCTTAGGCCGCTTTCAAATCAGTTTTCTTTGTCTGTACATCTACCTTTTAATGTATTTTATTAGATTTATTTATTTATTTGAAAATCTGAGTCACAGAGGGGGAGAGACAGAGAAACAGAGATCTTCCATTGCTGGTTCACTCCCCAGATGGCTATAATAGCCTGAGCTGGGCCAGGCCAAAGCCAGGAGCCAGGAGCTTCACCAGGGTCTCCCATAGGGTAGCAGGGGCCCAAATACTTGGGCTACTCTGCTGCTCTTCCCAGGCCACTAGCAGGGAGTTGGATCAGAAGTGGAACAGCTAGGGCACGAACCAGTACCCATGTGGGATGCTGGTGTCACAGGTGGCAGCTTGACCCACCACGCTACAGTGCCAGTGCCTGTATATTCACCTTTTAAACTTTAGGGTAATGGGTGTTGTTATAGTTGCAATCTTAGATTTATAAACTCAAGGAAGATGCCTAGCATATCTGTATTATGTTCTTATCCTAATTTATGGTATATCCTTATTACCTTTCATTAGAGAATACGTTTCATTTTCATCTACATGAATCCTTTCCCTTATTTCCTCCTTGTGGGATTGCTAGATGGTTTGCCTTGAGCAAGAAAGCAGAACTGTACACTGCTCTCATGGCAGCGCATTTGAATTTGCAGGTTTATAAAAGTGCGAGTAAGCGGAAAGCCCACATTCTGAAGAATCACCCAGGAGCTGAGCTCCCGCCAAGCATAAGGAAACTTCGTCCTGCTGGCCCCGGAGAGCCCGACCCCATGCTGAGCACCCACACCCAGCTGACGGGCACCATCGCCACGCCTCCCGTCTGCTGCCCTCACTGCTCCAAGCAGTACAGCAGCAAGGTACGACTCCCCCGAAGCCACAAGCACTACCCGAAGCATCTCTTAGGAGGAGATGACTTCTCAGCAAGATGGCCAAGTAGCTCCTTTGGACTGGATAAGGGACTAAAAGAGTTGTTCCCATAGTCCCTATAAACAGGGGCCACAGCAAAGGATGGGAAGACAGTACTGTGGCATTTCCCCCGGAGGCGGGGATGCCTGACCCTCCTCGGTTTCCCTCAGCCTGCACAGGGCTCCCTCTGTGAGGGTTCCATGCTCATAGTTTATGAGTTCCTGCTGTTGGGGGCACAGCACAGGAACTTAGGCAGTGGTCCCTGGAAAGGGGGCCGTTTTTGCTGGGGGATTTACTGCCCACAGTAGCGTGGCTGGGGATGCTGTGAGGTGCCCAGCTCTTGCCTGGTGGAAGATGATCATGTGGATTTTTACTTCTTTTTTGCCCCTTGCCTTTTTTTTTAAATCTTTCATAGTGTGCCATTTTAGTAAGTATAGGCATAGAGTCAATGTTGCTCTAAATTTTTTTTTTTGAAAGGCCAACAGAGAGAGTGAGAGAGAGAGAGAGAGACAGGGGGAGATACAGAGTGAGCTGCCATCTGCTGGTTCACCCCCCAGATGTCCGCAATGGGCATGGCTGGAATGGGGCTGAAGCCAGGAGCTGGGAACTCAGTCCAGGTCTCCATCACCAATGCCTCCTAGGGTCTCCATTAGCAAGAAGCTGGAGCCAGGAATCAAACGCAGATACTCTGCTGTGGGATGTGTACATTTTAGCTGCTTGGCGAAATGCCGCCTCTGAATTTTTCTTTTTCCTTAAGGATCAAGAGAAAAGACCTTAGGCACCTTTGGAAGGTTTGCATATAAGACCGAAAGTGACTAATTTCAGTAACTACTCTTGGTTTTTTGCCTTACGTTTTCAGACCAAGATGGTCCAACACATTCGAAAGAAGCATCCAGAGTACGCCCAGCTCCCCAACACCATCCACACACCCTTGACGACGGCCGTGATCAGCACTGCCCCAGCTGTGTTGACGACAGATAGCGCCACTGGAGAGACTGTGGTGGTAAGTCCATGGCGAGGAGGAGGGGCTCCTCTCCCGCAGCACCCTGCCCTGGTGTCTTCAGAACGCCAAAGCCACGTCCATCTTGTGAGTCAGGGGGCTGCACCTGTGGCCACTTATTGTTCAGCTTCCTGCAGAAGGCATTACGATTAGGACTGGGTCCCGGCGGATGCCTTCCAGAACTCCGTGCCAGGGGAACCTGGAATTTCAGTGCAGCTCAGGGCCTGCAGCATTGTCGGGTCCTCGCGAGCAGTGCCGCTGGGTCACACGCAGACAGGCAGACGCGCGTAGCTGTAGCTGCTGGTGTAGATATTGAGATAATCTCCCAGCATCCTCTCAAGCTCAGAGTATTTCTCCTGGGTTCAGGGATAATTTGTAGCTCTGTGACCCATCAGTGAGAGACACACTAAAGTCTGGTAGGATTGAAGAGCACTGGAATAGTTGCAGACCGTCATGTCACCAGTGAATGTGCGGTGTGCTTTTTTTGTAGACAACAGACCTGCTCACCCAGGCAATGACAGAGCTGTCCCAGACCCTAACAACAGACTACCGAACGCCCCAGGGGGATTACCAGAGGATTCAGTATATCCCTGTGTCTCAGTCTGCCTCTGGTCTGCAGCAGCCTCAACACATACAGCTTCAAGTGGTGCAGGTAGCCCCGGTACGTATCACCTTCCTTGCTCTTCAGCTCTGGGAACCCCATGCTGCCATCAGCCAGGCCGGGAGCCGGGGTCAGTTCTCAGAAGAGCAGCCGGCTCTGCATGACGTACGCTTGCACGTGCATCCTGAGACCCAAGCACTTGTAAAACGCCCACCTCTGGCCTCCCCGGGCTGGTGAGAGCCTTGGACTCAGCGTTGTGAGAGATGGCTGTCTTAGGGAGTCGGGGACTCTCAGTCTGGCATATTCAGTACCTTGTGCTACTGCAGGGCAGTGCTATTGCAGGACAGTCAGTCTGGGCCTCTTCCCAATGCTTCGTCTTCTAGCATCTGGGCTGAGTCCTTGGGAATGAGCCCGTTTGCTAAAGCCCTACCTGGATATCGAGTGATGTGTATTCCTGGGAGGTTGGAAGGAAAATGTTTGATTCACTCTCTGGATATCAGTCAGGACATTTTTCAGTAAAGAGGTACAATGGTATTTCTTCTACCAAATAAGTCTTACTGATCAGGAGCTAAAAGCCACAGTTCTCCCAGAACTATTGCATTGTTTAATTTTGCCAAGGAAGTGTACTCTAGGCACCAGAGGACAATCTTGTTGCTTTGAAATCATCTGGATTCGGAAAATTTAAAACCAATGTGGATATAGAAAATGAGAAGTTTTTATTATTATTATTTATTACATGGAAAGGGAGAGACAGAAAGAGAGATCTTTCATTGGCTGGTTTACTCCCCAAATGGCCACAATGGCCAGAGCTGGGCCAGGCTGAAGGCAGGAGCTGGGAGCTTCATCTGGGTCTTTCACGTGGATGGCAGAGGGCCCGACATTTAGGCCATCTTCCACTGCTTTTCCCTGCCATTAGCAGGGAACTGGATCAGCAGTGGAGCAGCCGGGACTCAAACCAGCACTCATACGGGAAGCCTGTCTCGCAGGCAGCAGCCGGCTCAACCACTGTGCCACAGTGCTGGCCCCAGAAAATGACAAGTTATCACAGTCATTGACTTGGCTTGACTCTTGTTTTTCTTGGGGGGTGCTTTCTTGGCTTTAGGCTGTGGAGGAATCTATGAGTCTTGAAGTTGTCTATAAAACATCATCCAGGCCGGCGCCGCAGCTTACTAGGCTAATCCTCCGCCTTGCGGTGCCAGCATACCGGGTTCTAGTCCTGGTTGGGGTGCCAGATTCTGTCCCGGTTGCCCCTCTTCCAGGCCAGCTCTCTGCTGTGGCCCGGGAGTGCAGTGGAGGATGGCCCAAGTGCTTGGGCCCTGCACCCCATGGGAGACCAGGATAAGTACCTGGCTCCTGCCTTCGGATCAGCGCGGTGCGCCTGCCGCGGCGGCCATTGGAGGGTGAACCAACGGCAAAGGAAGACCTTTCTCTGTGTGTCTCTCTCTCACTGTCCACTCTGCCTGTAAAAAAACAAAACAAAACAAAAAAAACAAAACAAAACAAAACAAAAAACCACATGATCCAGATGCCTATTACTTGGGGATTTGGGGGGTGGGGGTGTACTTTAGGCAGATTTTGAAAAATGTCAGTGAAATGTAAAAGATTAGGAACCACAGTGACAAACTAAAAGAAAATTCTCTCCTTTGATCTCTTTTAACTGTAAAAGGTTGACCGTTACATTTAATTGAAATTTGAGGACAGAAGATTGTTTGCTCTAAGAGCTTCTCATTCAGCTTATTATTAGGAACTCTGAGCATATCCCTGCCCTCTTCCAGAATTTAATGGTTAGTGGCTTATGTTTCAGAAGCATAATATTTGAAACCATTTTTTTCCGTGCTCCGGTCTGCCCTGGCTTAGGGATGGGACCTGTGGGAAGGCCTCCTTGGATCTGATGTTCCAGCCATTCTGTTTCTGTCGGGATCTGGAAGGAACTGCCCTTAACCTCAGTCAGTACTCACACGTGTCTGGTTTCTGGGCCCGTTTTTCTCTCCCGCCAGGCCACCTCCCCCCACCAGTCTCAGCAGCCCACTGTGGATGTCGGCCAGCTGCACGACCCCCAGACCTACACCCCGCATGCCATCCAGGTGCAGCACATCCAGGTGACAGAGCCCACCACCTCAACTCCCTCGCCCTCCCAGGTGCACTTTTTTAAAAAAAATTTGTTTAAAGACTTATTCATGGGGACCGATGCTGTGGCATAGTAGGTAAAGCTGTCACCTGCAGTGCCGGCATCCTATATGGGCACCAGTTCTAGGCCCAGCTGCTCCTCTTCCGATCCAGCTCTCTGCTATGGCCTGGGAAAGCAGTAGAAGATGGCCCAAGTCCTTGGACCCCTGTACCAGTACGGGAGACCTGGAAGAAGCTCTTGGCTCCTGGCTTTGGATCGGCACAGCTCTGCCCATTGTGGCCAATTGGGGAGTGAACCTCTCTTTCTCTCTCTTCTCTCTACCTCTCCTCCTCTCTCTGTGTAACTCTTTCAAATGCATAAATAAATCTTTTTTAAAAAGAGAGATTTATTTATGTATTTGAAAGGCAGAATTAGGAGAGAGAGATTTTCCATCTGCTGGTTCACTCCCCAAATGGCTACAGTGTCCATGGTTGGGACTGGCTGAAGCCAGGAGCCAGGAGATTCTTCTGGGTCTCCCATGTGAGTTCAGGAGCCCTGGGACTTGGGCTGTGTTCTGCTGCCTTCCCAGGCGCGTTAGCAGGGAGCTAGTTTGTAAGTGGAGCAGCTGGGACTCGAACTACCAGCACTCATATGGGATGCTGGTGTTGCAGGTGATGGCTTAACCTGCTGAGCCACAATTTTGATCCCCCCAGGTACACTTCTGTGTGAAATGTTCTGACAATTTAACATGGTCTCAGGAACCATATGAGTTAATAATGGTGAAGACATTTTTAGACCCAGCCTCAACTTTTGAGACTGTATCTTTATTTTTGAACCTTAATTAAAGAGTCTTATCTTTGCCTCCAGTTTTTATATTGGTAAAGACACACATATATCAAGTGATGAGCTCTCCTTCCCACTTGGAGCCCTGTGATATGAAATCCTAGAAATGACACTGGCCTTTGCTTCTCACTGTACATGCAATTGCTAAATTGCCTCTGTAATTTGGTGTGCTGACTTGGTGGAGTCTTACTGTGTTTGTGTGGTTGAGTCATTTTGTAAGATGTATACTTAAGTTCTGGGGGTTTTGTGGAGGAATGATTGTTTATCAGGGAACCAAGGACCTTTTAGTAGAAGTGGTCTTAGTCTTGAAGGAAAAGTCCAATTTCCATACGGTATAGAGGAAAGTATTACAGTCTGAATAAGCTCACACGGTTAGTGAAGACAGTCATGGGAAATTGTGGTACATTCCATTCAGGTTCATAACAGGAAGTGATGTTTGGGAAGAAAGTTGGGAAGCTAGTTTGGGGCTGGATTGTGGAGGACCTGGAGTGGCAGGCTGTGGAACGCGGGCTTCAGCCTACAGTCAGCAGTAGGCCCTTCCATGCAGATTAGTGGAGATTGTGACTTGTGGTTTCTGTTTGTGTTCCAAACTAGCTTTGTCACTTAGACAAGTTATTTCACTTCCCAGGTTTTTTTTTTTTTTTTTTAACCTCATGTTATAGTTTTGCTTTCATTAGTTTGCCTTTCTTTTTTCTTTTTTTAAGATTTACTTTATTTATTTAAAAGACAGAGTCACAGAGAGAGGTAGAGACAGAGAGAGAGGTCTTCCATCCGCTGGTTCACTCCCCAGATGACCGCAACGGCCAGAGCTGCACCAATCTGAAGCCAGGAGCCAAGAGCTTCTTCTGGGTCTCCCATGTGGGTGCAGGAGCCCAAGGACTTGGGCCACCCTCCACTGCTTTCCCAGGCTATAGCAGAGAGCTGGATCGGAAGAGGGGCAGCTGGGCCTAGAACCGGCACCCAAATGGGATGCCGGCGCTTCAGGCCAGGGCATTAACCTGCTGCACCACAGCTCTGGCCCCATAGTTTGCCTTTCTAATTTTATTGAAATTAGGTTTCTGCAGACTCCTTTGAAGACAGATTAGAATTTTGGAGTTACAGTTGCTTTTCATAAATTCCACTGTTACTTAAAATATTATTGCTTTAGCTGTGATGACTCCGGTATTAGAATTCATGGTAGTCTGATTTACTTCCTTGGCTGACTTGTGAGTTTTAGCTGCACTGTAAATTCATCATTCCCTACTCTTCCTTCTCTTTCTCCCCAGGTAGCTGGGCAGCCTTTGAGCCCCTCTCCCCAGCAGTCTCAGCAGGGGCTCAGCCCCTCCCACATACCAGGCGGTTCTTCCACCCAAGGGCAGGGCCTGCAGCAGCAGCAGAACTCCTCTGTCCAACACACATACCTGCCCAACGCTTGGAACTCCTTCCGTGGCTATCGTGAGTGAAAACGACAGGGACGGTGCTGTATATATAGGCCGTGGGTGGGGATATCTTGTCCTGGAGCATAGTGCCATCCACTTTATAGTAGCACTCGGGATGAAAATATCAAGTGGTCATTTTCCACACTCTATAATGCATGTATGTCAAGGTTTTGTGACAAACTTCAAGGCACCATGTTGATCTCAGAGAGCCACCTTGGTATGGCGTCTTCAGACGTTAATGCTGGAGAAAGTGCAGGTAGGGAACTTAAATAGGATGGATGCATGGAGGGTATGTTGGTGGCAGAGATTCGTCCCTTCCACCAATGTTTATTGAATGCCTGTGCCAGTCACTGCTGGACCCTGGGTTTGCAAAGATTCCTGTTGACACTAACTGTTAGCAAGCTTCCAGCAAGCTCTCATCATATGCCAGGAATGATTCTGAGCCGTATATGTCACATTCGGTATTCACTAAAACCTGGGAGGTAAATACAGTTGCCATTTGCATTTTACGGATAAGACAACTCAGACATAATGAGTTGTCTTACAGACATGAGTTGTAAATGGACTCTGACTCCAGTGTTCACCCTTGAAATCGCTCCTCTGGGCTGCTTCTCCTAATGAGCTCCTCTGGGCTCAAAGAGACCATAATCTGGTACAGGGCATAGACGTATGGTTTGTTCCCAAACCCTGAGATGGGTGCTGGGCAAGTGGGAATAGGCGGGCTGCGGGAGTTGAGACTAGGCAGAAATCTTGGTGGCAGCCATAGCTTTGGGCACGGGCTGGGAAAGATAAGGCTTTTACCATAGAAGGTGTGGAAGGAATGGAAGTAGAGGTTAACAGGCCTCACTAGGAGGAAAAGGGGAAGAGAGCAGGGTGGCATTGACCTTCCTCCTACTGTTGGTTTTTCGGGGTCTGTCTCTGTTCTGATTTATACTTGGCTGTGTTAGGTGGATTTGCTGTGGAGTCAGACTCACACCATGGAGTCATTTTTGTAACCTGTTCCTTTAGCTATCGGTGATCATGACGAGGGCCCAGTCTGGTTCTCAGTCAGAAAACGCTCTCTTGCTTGCAGTAAATACCAGTAGAATACGGGACATTGACATTCACACTCAGTTTAATGCCTGTGATAAAAGTGGAGTGATAAAGATATCCTCGGTAGCAGTAGTCTGAGTTAGCATTCTAACCTGGAGAAAAGATTTTGGAACTGAAGTTTTTTATTAGGAAAAAATGTCAGAATGTTCAAACGTAAAGGGAACAGTATAATGAATCCTGCTGTACCCATAGCCAGTTTCAGCCCTGAGCCTTGTCTCATCTTTACTCCCACATTCTCTTCCGTCTTCCAGTTGGATGGGCACACATCACATCATCTCATCCTTAAGTATTTTAGTGGGTAGCTCTAGAACAAAAAGACTGATTTTTGTTTATTTATTATTTTTTGAAGGTTTATTTGTTTAAAAAGCAGATTGACCGAGAGAGAGAGAGAAAGGTCTCCTGTCTGCTCGTTCACTTCCCAAATGTATACAACAGCTAGATTTAGGCCAAGCTGAAGCCAGGACCCAGGGACTCCAGCTGGGTCTCTCACATGGATGCAGGGGCCCAAGCACTTAGACCATTTTCCACTGCTATCCCAGGCCACAGCAGCGAGCTGGATCGGAAGAGGAGCAGCCGGGACTAGAACTGGCGCCCATATGAGATGCCGGCGCTTCAGGCCAGGGCTTTAACCCATTGTGCCACAGCACCGGCCCCTGAAGGACTTCTTTTTATAAACACAGCTCTATACAACACAGCATTCCCAAACCCAAGAAGAAACGACAGCAGTTCTTTAATGCATAGACATATGCTTCCAGTACCCAGTGTTCAGATTTCCATGAATGTCTCAGAAATTATTTTTTAATTGTTTGTTCAAATTGGGCTCCAAATAAGGTCTATCCATTGGCATTGATAATTTCTTTGAGTCTCTTTTAAAATATGCATTCACTGTCTCTTGTATGCAATTTCTGTGTTAAAGAAATTGGGTCGTTTGTCCTATAGTTTTCCCACGTCTAGATTTTTTTTCTAGGGCTATCATTTAATAAGCTTTCCTCTGTCCCTCTTATATCCTACACTCTGGCAATTAGAAACTGAGGCTTGATCAGGTTCAGATTCAGTATTTTCCACCCAAGATACTTAGTAACTGGGTACTTCCATCAGGAAGCACATAATGTGAGGTTGCCTCTCTTTTTGTTAAGAACCGGCAATATGGGGCCAACGCTGTGGCGCAGTGGGTTGAAGCTGCTGCCTGTAGTGCTGGCATCCCATCCGGGCGCTGGTTTGAGTCCTGGCTGCTTCTCTTCCGATCCTGCTCTCTGCTGTGGCAGAGAAGGCAGTGGAAGATGGCCCAAATCCTTGGGCCCCTGTACCCACGGGGGAGACCCAGAAGAAGCTCCTGGCTCTTGGCTTCAGATCAGCTCAGTTCTGGCCATTGGGGCCATCTGGGGAGTGAACCAGCAGATGGAAGACCTCTCTCTCCTTCTCTCTCTCTCTTTCTGTAACTCTGCCTTTCAAATAAATAAATAAATCTTAAAAAAGAGACAACAGTGTTCATTCCTTAGCTCTGTAATTTCATTGGGGTTTGCAAAGCTGTGGTGTCTAGCTAGTTCACGACCAATTAGTTAGCTAGCTAGAAAAATTGCATGAGGGAGAAAATTTTATCTTAAGTACCATGTTACTATGAGGTACAGTTTAGATGAGCAAGACAGAAGTGCTTTAAGTATTTGACTCAAATACCCACCCCCTCTCCTTACTTAGCAGTTTTTGAAATACTGAGTTGGTTTCTTAGTGTTGTCCAAGGTGACTGTGAGAGGCAAGCATGTGTGTGGTGTGTGCGTGTGTGCTTAGTGTCATTTTGTACTCATGGACTTCAACACATGATATTTTTCAGCCTAGTACAGTTGCTCTTGTTCATGCTCGTGCTCCTCTTTTTACCTGGTAGACGTCCCTTCAAACTGGCTCCTATGTCTGTCTTTCCCTCACAACATCATAGCCATAATATCTTGTGTGTGGTGAGATGCGATGTTCCTGGCTTGTCTGTTACATCATTCTCTCTCTCTTGATGTGCTTATTTGAAAGGCAGAGTTATAGGCAGGAGAGAGAGAGAGAGAGAGAGAGAGAGAGAGAGAGAGAGAGAGATTTCCACCTGTTGGTTCATTCCCCAAATGGCTGCAACAGCTGGGGCTGGGCCAGGCCGAAGCCAGGAATCAGGAGCTTCAGCCAAGACTCCCCTATGGGTGGCAGAGGCCCCAACACTTGATCCATCTTCTGCTGCTTTCCCAGGCACATTAGTAGGGTGCTGGATCAGAAGTGGAGTAGCCAGGACTTGGAGCCATGCCCGTATGGGATGTTGGCACTGCAGACAGTGGTTTAACCTGCTGTGCTACAGTGCCAGCCCCATCTATTACATTTTCTGTCCAGGTCTGCAAATCAACCATTTTCCCAAGAAGCTCTTGCTCCTTCTAGTCACAATATTATTTACAGATTATCAGCAGAGGGCCTGCACTGATAGGCTGGTGTGGTAGGTTAAGCATCTGCCTACGGTGCCAGCATCTCATATGAGCACTGGTTCAAGTCTTGGCTGCTCCACTTCCAATCCAGCTTCCTGATGATGGCCTGAGAAAGCAGTAGAAGATGGCTCAAGTACTTGGGCCCCTGCACCTGTATGGGAGACCCGGAAGAAACTTCTGGCTCCTGGCTTTGAATCGGCCCAGTTTTAGCCATTGTGGCTAAATAAATCTTTTTAACAAAAAGAGAGAGAGAGATTTTCAGCAGAGTGCTAGGATAAACTTTGGTTTCGATTTACTTTAATGACACTGGTGGTGAAATAAAATTGTATTTGGATTATATTGTGATTGCTCGGCAACTGTGGACATGTTTGTGCAAGTAATTCACGTCTGAATATAAAAGATAAAAATATTAGGCTAAAAGATAAATATTTGCAATTTATTTCAGGGTTTCAACAAAATGTTGAATATTTTTCTTTATGAAGATTCAAGAATCACCTTTGAGGGGGATACATTGACTGTCTCTGATGCTCAGTAGCCCTGTGGCCTCTTCTCGTCTGGTCGGTTCTTATCAGAGATGGCTTTTGCTATGTGAAGAAATTACATCGTAAGATTTGCAGCAAGCAAATCCATGGAAAAATGTCTTAGTGGGGAATATAACCACTGGTTAAGTGCAACAGATAGTCTCTGACTTTTAATGGTTCAACTTACAATCTTTCAACTTTAAGGTGATGTGAAAATGTACCCATGTAACTGTTTATTATTTATTTCTTTTCATTTGTTTGATAGGCAGAGAGACAGAGACAGACAGAGAGATCTACCTGCTTGTCCACTCCATGAATAGCCACAACAGTGAGGCTGGGCTAGGCTGAAGCTGGGGGTCCCAGAATTCATGCAGGTTTCCTTTGTGGGTGGCAGAACCCCAAATCCTTGAGCTGACTTCTGCTGCCTCCCAGTGTGCACAGAGCAGGAAACTGGCATCAGAAGCAGAGCTGGGACTTGAACCCAGACCTTGATATAGGATGCAGGCCTCCCAAGCAGCATCTTAACCACGGCACCAAACACCCTCCCCCATGTAACCATTCTGTTTTTCACTTTCAGTACCACGTTCAATAAGCTACATGAGATATTCAGCACTTCACTTTGTGTGAGATGATTTTGCCCAGCTGTAGGTTGGTGTAGGTGTTCAGAGCATGTTGAAGGCAGGCTTGGCTAAGCTGTGATGCTCAGTAGGTTAAGTGTAGCAAATGCATTAGGATATTTTCAGTTCACGATGGGACTATCAGGTTGCAGCCCTGTCTCCAGAACTTGGATTGAAACGAGACCACTGAACTGTGGCTATTTCTTCTTTTTCAGCGTCCGAGATTCAAATGATGACACTTCCCGCTGGTCAGTTTGTGATTGCAGACACCAGTGTGCCAACTCCTGTTACTACTGGACAAGTGAAGGCAGTCACTTCGGTAAGCTGTGCCACTCAGTTAGGTTTTTCCTGTCCACTTTGTGATGCTATCTCATAGTCCTTATTGGTTCACTCTGTTTTTGCACAGTGAATGAGGAATTCCTTGAAACCAGAGTCTTGCTTTTTAACACATTATTCTCAATGACGTGCCCAGGAGGCTGGGCTACAGCAAATGCCTAACAAATATCTATTAAAATAATAACTCTAATGTACCTCCTAGATCCATTCATATATGTGGTCACTGTTTTATGTGCTTCCATGCAAGGCTGTGAGTCTTCAAAACTGTTGGTCTACAGCTGGGTTGGGAGAGATGAATTAAACTAGGGAGGTGTTGAAAACATACTATTGTGCTAATCCTCTGCCTTGCGGCGCCGGCACACCGGGTTCTAGTCCCGGTCGGGGCGCCAGATTCTGTCCCGGTTGCCCCTCTTCCAGGCCAGCTCTCTGCTGTGGCCAGGGAGTGCAGTGGAGGATGGCCCAAGTCCTTGGGCCCTGCACCCCATGGGAGACCAGGATAAGTACCTGGCTCCTGCCATTGGATCAGTGCGGTGCACCGGCAGCAGCGCGCCAGCCGCAGCGGCCATTGGAGGGTGAACCAACGGCAAAGGAAGACCTTTCTCTCTGTTTCTCTCTCACACTGTCCACTCTGCTTGTCAAAAAAAAAAAAAAAAAAAAAAAGAGAGAGAGAGAGAGAGAAAAGAAAAGAAAACATACTATTGTTTATTTATTTGAAAGGCAGAGGGAGGGAGACACATGCACACACAGAGTGAGAGATGGGGATGGGGGGTTAGGGGAGAGCTCTTCCATTTGCTGTTTCATTCCCCAAATGCCTGAAACAGCAGAGGCTGGGTCAGGCTGAAGCCCAGAGCCAGGACCACCATCTGAGTCTCCCAGGTGGGTGGCAGGGACCCAAGGACTGGACCCATGACCTGCTGCCCCCCAAGGTTAGCAGGAAAACCCTGCCCCTAATTACAGGGCTGTTGTAAACAGTTCATCTATTTCTTGATGGAAAACATTGCCACATATTATCTTATGATATTTAACTTGGGCAGGTACAGTGTTGATTGTATCTACAAACCTGTTTTTATCTTTGCTAGTTTGTTCTGGCATGCTTCTAAGTTAGTAGAAGACAGAGGAGGGCAGGCATTGGCATAGTTGTTAAGACTCTGTTGGGATGCCCGGAGGATCTGGGTTCATGTCCTGGCTCCACTTCCAATTCCAACTTCCCGCTAATGTGCACCCTAGGGAGGTAGCAAGTGATGGCTCAAGTAGCCATGTCCTTAACACCTATGTGGGAAACCGAATGAAGTTCCTGGCTTTGGCCTGACTCAGCCTCAGCTGTTGTAGGCATTTGAAGACTGAACTGGCAGATGGAAGATCTCTCTGCCTATCTCTCTCTGCCTCTGTCTCTATCTATTAAATTACAAGACACACTCTTAGAGGAACTAGTTTCTGTGGTCTGGTGTATAGCGTGGTGGCTATAATTAATACTAATGTCTTGTACATTTGTAAACAGAGCAGATCTTAAATGTCCTTACCACAAAAGTACTAAATATGTGAGGTGATGGATATGAACGGCTTGATCCAAGATATTCATAATGTGTGTGTGCAAACATCACATCGAACCTCCTGGATATATGCAGTTGTTCGTCATCGGTTACGCCTTAATAAAGCTGGACTTGGGGGAGAAGAAAACGCCAGTAACTGTATAAGGATATTGGGATAGTCCTAGGGGGGGCCGACTTCCCAGGAGGCCTCAGAGGGCAGTGGGGAGGTTTGTGGCACCAGAAGGCTGTTTTTTAAAGGCACATTGAGGGGCCGGTGCTGTGGCATAGCAGGTAAAGCTGCCGCCTGTGGTGCTGGCATCCCATTTGGGCGCTGATTTGAGTCCTGGTTGCTCCACTTTCAATCCGGCTCTCTTCTATGGCCTGGGAAAGCAGTACAAAATGACCCAAGTTCTTGGGCCCCTGCACTCGCATGGGAGACCTGGAGGAAGCTCCTGGCTCCTGGCTTTGAATCGGCACAGCTCCGGCCATTGCAGCCAACTGGGGAGTGAACCAGCGGATGGAAAGCCTCTCTCTCTCTCTCTCTCTAACTCTGACTTTCAAATAAATAAATCACTGCAGTCAAGTCAAATTCAGCCCTGGCCTGTGGTGGTGTGGGCTGGCCAGGTGGCTGCCACAGCGAGCTCTGAAGTTTGTGGGCCCCAGATCCCCCACTCTGGGGCCTAGGGATAAGTTTGGCTGCGGACAGGGGTTCTGGGGAAAAAAAAAAATCTTAAAAAAATAATAGATAGGGCCGGTGCCGCGGCTCACTAGGCCAGCCGCGGTGGCCATTGGGGGGTGAACCAACGGCAAAGGAAGACCTTTCTCTCTGTCTCTCTCTCTCACTGTCCACTCTGCCTGTCAAAAATAAAAATTAAAAAAAAATAGATAAATGTACATTGAGAGATGACCCGTTTCTCAAGTGACTGATCTCAGCCCTGTAGGACCACTGATCGGTTCTGCCTCCTTTGGCCAGGAACTCATTTGAGAACCTGCTTGTTGCCAGGATGCTTCCCACCCCTGCCGCAGTGCACACACATAGGTTTGATGTACATTCTGGTTTGTGGGGTCTCTGCAGACCACCTATGCACCCATTAGGCGTCTCTGTCCTCTTAAGGTGAGAACCAGTCCCCTCCCCACTACACAGGAACCACATGGGAAAACCACACGTTCACCAGAAAGCTGCTGGGTGGTGCAGACTGGGAACATTGGGCCCTGGGTGAATTGTGGCTGTGGCTTTTCTGGAGAACACTTGGAAAAGCTACTACTTGAGTTTTCCCTGAGACTTTTTTTTTTTTAATTATTTATTTATTTGAAAGCGTTACAGAGAAGTAGAGGCAAAGAGAGAGAGAGAGAGAGGTCTTCCATCCGCTGGTTCACTCCCCAATTGGCTGCAAGGGGTATAGCTGTACTGATCTGAAGCCAGAAGCCAGGAGCTTCTTCCAGGTCTCCCATGTGGGTTCAGGGGTGCAAGCTCTTAGGCCACCTTCCACTGCTTTCCCAGGCCAAAGCAAAGAGCTAGATTAGAAGTGGACAGCCGGGACTCGAATTGGAACCCATATGGGATGACTGTACTGCAGGCGGCAGCTTTACCTGCTAATCCACAGCGCCGGCCCCTTTTTTAATTTTTAGATATTTTGATTTATTTGAAAGGCAGAAAGAGAGACAGACAGAAATCTTCTGATGGTTTACTCCTCAAATTATCTGCAACGGGCAGGGCTGGCCAGGCTGAAACCAGGAGGCCAGAACTGAATTTGGGTCTCTCCGAGTGGCAGGAACCCAGGTACTTGAGCCATCACCTGTTGCATGCATGCCTTAGCAGGGAGCTGGAGTGAAGAGCAGAACTGGAACCCAGACCCAGGCACTCCAATGTGGATGCAGGCATCCTAAGCAGCATCTCTCTCTCTCTCTCTCTTTCTTTCTTCTTCTTTTTTTTTTTACAGGCAGAGTGGACAGTGAGAGAGAGAGAGAGAGAAAGGTCTTCCTTTTGCCGTTGGTTCACCCTCCAATGGCTGCCGCGGCCGGTGCACCCTGCTGATCCGATGGCAGGAGCCAGGTGCTTCTCCTGGTCTCCCATGGGGTGCAGGGCCCAAGCACTTGGGCCATCCTCCACTGCACTCCCTGGCCACAGCAGAGAGCTGGCCTGGAAGAGGGGCAACCAGGACAGAATCCGGCGCCCCGACTGGGACTAGAACCTGCTGTGCTGGCGCCGCAGGTGGAGGATTAGCCTGTTGAGCCGCGGCACCGGCCCAAGCAGCATCTTAACAGCTGTTCCAAATGCCTGCCCATTTTCTTCTGCTTCTGTAGCTGATGGATGATAACACACTCCCCCCCCTTTTCTTTTTTTAAGATTTATTTTATTTATTTGAAAGACAGAGGTAGAGAGAGAGAGAGAGAGAGGTCTTCTATCAGCTGGTTCACTATCCAGATGGCCGCAATGGCCAGAGATGCACCGATCCAAAGCTGGGAGCTAGGAGCTTCTTCCGGGTCTCCCACGTGGGTGCAGGGGCCCAAGGACTTGGGCCATCCTCCACTGCTCTCCCAGGCCATAGCAGAGAGCTGGATTGGAAGTGGAGCAGCCGGGCCTAGAACTGGCGCCCATATGGGATGCCAGCGCTTCAGGCCAGGGCTTTTACCTGCTGCACCACAGTGCCAGCCCCACACTCCTTCTTTTAAAATGTCAGCATGCTAGCCAGTTACTGGTCTCTGTAGAGACCCGAGGGAAAAAAGAAAGATGGTGTGAGTTTCCATAAAGCTAATTTGTTCAATGAAAGGAACTTCATGATAAGATCGCATTCTTAACTCCTGGAGTGTTAAAGTGTCTTCTCTGATGAGTAGCATGTTTTAAATTGACAAATGCAGTTTTGGGGGCTGTTTATCATTATTTTAAATTTTGCTGGTCTTTGAAATTCCGACATCTGGGAACCACTGACCTTAAACTTGGCCCGTTGTAGGGGCCGCTCTGCGCTGACTTGAAGTATTACTTCTTTGATCCATTTTGTATTAATCTCAGCATTTAACTGATGAATACTAATCATCTCTGCATTTCCAAACCCTTGGGAGCAGCACAGTAGCAGGTGTTTTCTTTGCCATGTAGGTTACCACCATGATGCAAATTTCTGTACCTGAAGTTCCACAGTCTGTCCTTAAGGTGCGCCCTTAAATTACCTTTGTAGTCAGTCACAGTGAGCCACCGTCCTCTGTAAAGCACTTAGGTAACACGCCTCTCACGGGTGCCCACTTGGTGTCCCCTCGTAAAGTTTCTGTGCACACGCCCCCCTCTGTGCTTCCCTACTCTTTCCCCTTTTTCCTCTGAAGCCCCAGAGTTTAAAGACGACTCTCCTCTGCTGCCTTCAGGGTCATTACGTGTTATCCGAAAGTCAACCAGAATTGGAGGAAAAGCAGACTTCGGCCCTCTCCGGCGGAGTCCAGGTTCAAGCGTCTGCGCAGAGTGAGGCCCTGGACACCCAGCCCACCAGCCAGCAGCAGACCACACAGTACATCATCACCACCACCACCAACGGGAACGGAGACAGCGAAGTGCACATCACCAAACCTTAACTCCGCCTGGCCCTGCACCCGAGCAGTCACATCGCGTCTTTTCTCAGCCCTAAGCCCGGAAACTCCCGACGCCCGGAACTCTTTTGTAAGGTTTATTATTCACTCGAAGAGTTTGGAAGCTACCGTTTTGACACTCAGACACACCATGGGGTTTATCTTGCCAACATTGTCTTTACCAAATCGACTTGACTCTGAGCCCTTGGGGTTCCTGCCACAAAATGAAGCTCTTTCAGAGGAAAGTAGATTTGCAAGATGGAGAAATTTTGCCTTGTTCTTGAATTGGTTTCCTTTCTTTTCTTTTCTTTTCTTTTTTTATTATTTTTTTAAAAAAACATATTGATAAGCCTTACTTTCCCTCTGTGGAAATATCAAGTGGCTTATTGCGTTCATACTGAAGGTGGAGAAGGGTTGTACCTAGTCCACGGTTGGTGGGCTTCTTGATTCCAAGCTGTGGGGTTAAAGGGGAAGGGGCATTTCATGGGTACATATCAGGTCAGAACCACTTTATCGTGTGGCTTGGACTTTTCGGTATTTTAACAAAGGGAACCTAATCAAATAAGAAAACTATAGCAACAAAAATTTGACAGTGATGTTCTAAAGGAAAAACTATCACCTAAATTTTTTTTTTAATTACTAATTTAATTTAATTGTTGTTGGGCTGTTGGGCATTCTTTGCAGGGAGGCCAGCCCTCAGCAGGTCTGGTCAGAACCTCATGTCCTGACAGATACTGACACATTTCTCCACCATGGTGCGTGGGGGCTTGATGTCAACAGAGCTGAAACCTTCACCTCCCATTATCTGGTTGTACTTGGATTAAGAAGGAGATCTGGGTACCAAGAAAAATGATGAGAACTATATATGGAGAGAGAGAGAGAGAGAATCCTGGAACCTTATCCTACTTGTAGGATCCGTTCAGCATTCACTGGTAAAGGATGAATCCTTGTCCTTGCCAAGTATGCATTTAGCTCTAGAGCTCACAGCACTCAGAGTGTTCTAGAACTTCAATGCTGTCTTAAAATGAACGTTCTCTAATGTCAGGCAGAAAGGTGGCCTTCCTTATTTCAAAACACTACTGACTTTGAGCAGTGTAACGCCTCCATCCCTTTGTGTCAGGTGACCAAATTCACCCTGAGGGGAAGAACAAGCATGTGGGGACCATTTATAATGCAGTAAGGGGATTATAAGGGATCTGGAAGGAATCTAATCTTTGTGACTGTCAGTTGGGAGAGGAAGAGAAAATCCACTTGGACAGTAGTTTTTCTCTTCTTTGTTCCTGCTTGGGAGTCCCGACTGCTATGAATTCAACAGGAAGAGGTATTTCCCTTCTTTTTACTGTACATTCCAATTGCCATAAAATGGCATGCTGATTTAAAAAATCAGTATGTATTTTCGCAACTTTTTGTGACCTGCTAGCATATTTTTAGGATAACTGTTGCACAGTAGAATCCATCACTCCAGAATAGAAAGACCCAACTTGATTTCATCTGAAGTTAACTATTTTATTTACATGTTGGGGTCAAAACTGGTTTGATGAAAAGAAGTATAGAAGCATCTTTATGATAAAGCTACCTTCCTGAAAAACAAACCATTCTGTCCAAATAACTACTAATCTGTAGATTTTGCACTTTATTTTTGAGACCTCATTCATGTCATTATCCCTGAAGATTTGGGCATTAAGGGAACTTGAGAAAATTACTTCATCAATGTGTAGAGACTGAAAATGCACCCTGTCTCTTTGGTGACAAAGAAGTACTGTTGATATTTTCAACAGAAAACGTTGACCCCGAGTCACAGAACAGGGACTTGGGTTCCCAAAGTCCCTCTGTGTATTAATTGCAAGGATTCCAGTGTCTGTCCTGGGAAGACTTGCTTGGTGAAGACTATCCCCAGGGGTCCACATTCAGCTCTTATCACTTATACTTGGCCCTTTTTCATTTGAACCAGCAAGGTATGTCCGCTCTTCTCAGGAAGAACCCATTGGTTGGAACTGCAAGCGATCACAGAATAGAATGCTCATTTTATGCCAGTTATTTCATGTTCTAAAATACACAAAGGAAAATATTGAAATATTGGGAAGGGACCTCTTTGTCTCTTTCCCTTCTAGTCCCCCCCCCCCCCTTTTTTTTTGGTCCTTGTGTGAAATAAATAGAGACTCTAAAACTAATTTATAAATAATCAGCCAGAGATGCTGGTGGCAACTCAAACCAAATAACACTGCTTTAAGATCAGGTATTCTGCACATTCATTCCAAGGGGATAGATTTGCAAGAGATGGCAGATGCAAAGCCGCTTGACGGACAACGTGTGTAGCCAGCGTTTATACTGCGACCTCTCTCAAGACACGCTGACACTGTAGACTTCATTCAGTGCAGTGGGAGTGTTTTGGAGTAGGTTGGCTGTAGATTTTACATTTTTATTGTTTGATTCATGCCCACAGAAATAGACATTTCATCATGTAAGATTCCTGTTATTCTGGGAAACCTATTGTTTTGATCTTCTTGAATTGTTTTTTGACCTGGAATTCCCCTTTAAAAAAAACTCTTTAAGATGTCTAGGGCTAAAAAGCACTTCATGAGATGCTAAAGCTGACCCATTGGTCAAAAATGTTGACCCTATCCTGTTATTTAAATGTGAACATTTATTGTACATTCAGTGAGTTATAGTGTTAATAGTCTTGTGCTACCCAGCAGGTGTAAAAATTAATAAACTTTTTTTTAGTAAACGCATTTCTTGTTTGTATGTGTATGTGTGGTATTACAAGAACTATTGAAGGGCTGGCACTGTGTTGTGGGAGGTTAAGTGGCCATCTGCAACACTGGCATCCCATGTCGGTGCCAGTTTGAGTCCAGCTCCCTGCTAACGTGCCTGGGAAAGTAGCAGAGGATGGCCCAGGTCCTTGGAGCCCTGCACCCATGTGGGAGACCCAAATGGAGTTCCAGGGTCCTGGCTTCAGTCTGCCCCAGCCCTGGGCATTGCAGCCATCTGGAGAGTGAACCAGCAGACGCAAGAGCTCTCTCTCCCTCTCTCTGCCTCTCTGTAACTCTGCCTTTTCAAATAAATACATCTCTCTTTAAAAAAAAAAAAACTATTGAGATGGTTAAATTTTTTTTCTTTTGAATGTTACAACTTAACTTCTGGTTTCTAGTCTGGCCTGTAGGGAGCTTGGAAGTCGCCCTTCCATCCCAATAACAAGTCAAAAGCTGAACAAACTGAAAAATCATGAACTCTTCCTGGATCCATCAGAGACTCAAGGGGCTGAGCTCATAGGGCAGCCTGCTGCTTCCAAAATTGGACAGACATGAAGATGGAGAATCACAACTCACGGAGCAGAAGCCGATGAACAGAACCCTCTACAGGGATCTCTGCTGGCTGTGAGCCATGGCTGGTGGCTCAGTGTGCACAAGTCTGAGGGATTAAAAACTCCAAGGGGAGCCAGGCACTGGGAGGGGATAAAAGGGGACCCTCAGTTTTCTAAGTGTTGCTTCTAGGAATTTGGCCAATTCTCATGTAAAGTTAACAGAAAAATCCCTTCAAGCTTTCAAGCAAGGAAAGGGACCAGGAATCATTTGAGAATTTGCCAGAGCACTCTGTTCCCCTTAATGGGGCCCACCCCCAGAAACTGACCCAACTGACCCAGGACTAGGGAAGTGCCCAAACCCTGGGCCACGTGCGCCATCCTGTCCCACCTAAGTGGCGAACTTTGCAGGCCTATACGCTGACACAGAGAACTCCCTCTCCCCCACCTTACTGCCACTTCGCAGCCTACTTTCAGAAGGTCTTTTTACCTAGGTCATGTGTGCAACTCTAAGGTAAAAAAAAAAAAAAAATTACAAGACAAAGGACACCCTTTGAAGAAACAGAGCAAGTGTCAGAACCAGCTTCAGATGTGGCAGCCATGTAGACTTTGTCAGACAGGTTTTGGAACGATGATAATCAGTACGCTAACAGCTCCCAGTGGATGAAGTAGCCAGCGTGCAGGAAAAATGGATCACGGAAGCAGAGAGATGAAAAGTTTAAGATGGAATCAAAAAGAAGCATTAGAGATGAGACAATGGCGGCAATGAGGACTGCTTTGATGGACTTAGGAGCTGGAGTACGCTCGAGCAAAGAGTCTGAGCTTAAGGATCAATAGAGGCTGGCGCCGCAGCTCACTAGGCTAATCCTCCGCCTTGCGGTGCTGGCACACCAGGTTCTAGTCCCGGGCGGGCACCGGATTCTGTCCCGGTTGCCCCTCTTCCAGGCCAGCTCTCTGCTGTGGCCAGGGAGTGCAGTGGAGGATGGCCCAAGTCCTTGGGCCCTGCACCCCATGGGAGACCAGGAGAAGTACCTGGCTCCTGCCTTCGAGTCAGCGCGCGGCGGCCATTGGAGGGTGAACCAACGGCAAAGGAAGACCTTTCTCTCTGTCTCTTTCTCTCTCTCACTGTCCACTCTGCCTGTCAAAAAATTAAAAAAAAAAAAAAAAAAAAAGGATCAATAGAAGCATCCAGGGGCCTGCGCTGTGGCATAGTGGGTAAGGCTGCCGCCTGCAGTGCCGGCATCCTATAGGGGCGCCAGTTCCAGACCCGGTAGCTCCACTTCTGATCCAGCTCTCTGCTATCGACTGGGAAAGCAGTGTAAGATGGCCCAAGGCCTTGGGCCCCTGCACCTGCATGGGAGACCAGGAAGAAGCTCCTGGTTCCTGGCTTCGGATCGGCGCAGCTGTGGTCGTTGCAGCCAATTGGGGAGTAAACCAATGGATGGAAGACCTCTCTCTCTCTCTCTCTGCCTCTCCTCTCTCTGTGTAACTCTGTCTTTCAAATAAACAAATAAATGCTTTTTAAAAAAATCAGTAGAAGCATCCAGAACTGAAAAGCAAAAGAGAACAAAATTGGGGAAAGAAATGATAGAATATCCCAGAATTGTGGGAGAGCTACAAGAGATATCTTTATATTTCATACATGTAATAGGAATGCCAGAAAGAGAGGAAAGGAACAGAAAAAATATTAGAGAAAGTATTGACTGAGAATTTACTGCAATTAGTGTCAGACACCAAGCTACAGCCCCAGGAAGCTAGAGAACACCAAGATGGCAAAAATACCATCTACACTGAAGTATATCACTTGAAAACTACAGAAGATCATAAAAATATCAGAGTGGGCATGTGGCGCAGTGGTTGCCACTTGGGACTCATGTATTCCACATATTTTAAAAGATGTATTTATTTCATATTTGAAAGGCAGAGTTAGAGAAAGAGGGAGAGGCAGAGAGATCTTCCATCTGCTGGTTCACTCTCCAAATGGCCTCAATGGCCAGGGCTGGGCCAGACCAAAGCCAGAAGCCAGGAGTCTCTTCTGGGTCTCCCATGTGGGTGCAGGGTCCAAGCACTTGGGCCATCTTCTGCTCCTTTGCAAGGTGGACTTGTTGGGAACTGGATTGGAAGTGGAGCAGCTGAGACTTGAACCATTGCCCATATGGGATGCTGGCACTGCAGGCGGAGGCTTGGCCTACCACACCACAGTGTTGGCTCCCCACATTCCATATTGAAGTGCCTGATACCAAGACCCAGTGCCAGTTCCCATCCAGCTTCCTGCTAATACGCACCTTGGGATGCAGCAAGTGAAGCTCAAGTTTTTGAATCGCTATGATCCACCTGGGAGACCTGGATTAAACTCTGGGTTCGTGGCTTTGGCCCAGCCTGGGTTGTTGAGTGCATTTGAGGTATAAACCAGCAGCTGGGAGATTTCTCTCTCTCTCTCTCTCTCTCTCCTTCTCTGCCTTCCAAAAAAAAGAAAAAAGAGAGTAATTTTTTTTAATTAGCAAAGAAGGCCCCCCCCCAAAAAAAGCCAGTGGATTAAAAACCAAACTCCAACCCCCTACCTGTCTGTCATGGGGTAAGATAACATTCAGTCTGGTTTCTCCCCAGAAACCATGAAAGCAGGCAAAGTGGAGTGAGTAAAGTGTCGAGAGACAGTGAAAAGACCAAACTAGAACGTTGCACCCATGGAATTATTATTCAAAACGAAGGAGAAACAACTCGCATCACAAGGAAAAGCTGAGAGAATTTTTGCTAGTTGACTTGTTTCGCAAGATACATCCAAAAAGTTTTGTAGAGAGAAGGAAAAGGTAAAAGTCCGAAGCCCAGGTCTGCATAAAAGGCAGCACTTTGGGGAGGAGCCCTGCCACCCATGTGGAGACCCAGGTGGAGTTTCAGGTTCCCGGCTTCAGCCTGGCCCTGACCTGGCTGTGTGGCCACTTTGGGAGTAAACCAGCAGATAGGAGACTCCCCCTCTCTCTGTCATTCTGTCAAATAAATGTATTTTAAAAATACTTGAGATACTTACCAACAGGGTTGTTAGAATGGCCCAAATCCAGAACGTCGGCAATCCCAATGCAGGTGAGGGTATTGAGCTGGAGGAATGCCCATTAACTGCTCGTGGGAATGTAAATTACATATCCATTTTGGAAGGCAGTTGGGTAGTTTCTTACCAAACTAAGCATACTCTTTCCAGAGGACCCAGCAGTTACTCAAAGGAATTAAAAAGTTATGTCCAGGGCCGGTGCTGTGGCATAGCAGGTAAAGCCTCTGCTTGCAGTGCCGGCATCCCATGTGGGCGCCGGTTCCAGACCTGGCTGCTCCACTTCCGATCCAGCTCTCTGCTATGGCCTGGGAAAGCAGTAGAAGATGGTCCAGGTGCTTGAGCCCCTGCACCTGCATGGGCGACCTGGAAGAGACTCCTGGCTCCTGGCTTCCGATTGGCCCAGCTCCAGCTGTTACAGCCATCTGGGGGAGTGAACCAGTTGATGGAAGATCTCTCTCTTTCTCTCTCTCTCTCTCTCTCTATCTCTCTCTCTCTCTCTGCCTCTCTGTCACTCCAACTTTCAAATAAATAAATCTTAAAAAAAAAAAAACTATGAAAACAAAAAAGCTATCAAGAGGAAACTTAAATGCATATCCCTAAGTGAAAAGAAGCCCATCTGAAAAGGCCACATAGTATAAGATTCTAACTCTGTGACATTCTGATAAAGGCAATACTACAGAGACAGTTAAAAAAAAAAAAAAAGGCTGCCTGGGATAGAGGCAAGGGGTGGATGAGTGGGGCACAGCTGATTTTTCAGACAGTGGAACAACTGTATTATGCTGTAATGGCAGATAACGATGTGTGGACGGAGGTCTTTCAGCTGCTGGGAGATTTTGGTGACAGAGGGGCCCCATGCCTGCGTGGAGGCGGTGAGTTATCGGGGAAATCTCTGAGGTTTTCGTTTCATTTTGCTGTGAGCCTAAAACTGCTCTCAAAAAGGTTAAAAATAAAAATGGCAATTTATAAAGTTTTGACTGTTTCTCCGCTCTTCTACAGTCCCAAGGCGAGGGGAATATTGACGACTAGGGAATGATGTTCCACTGCCATTTATACTTGGGTTCAGAAACCTCCCAGCAGTCTGGAGGGCGTCGGTGGAGCCGGCGGAGGCGGGGACCCTGGACCCCGTGCGACTGCGCTGCGGGAGAGGCGCACCGGCCAGCGAATGTGTCCGTCCATCGGAGAGACCCGAGAGTTGGTGGGAATGCCCGGAACGCGCAGTCTAAGCGAGTAAGAGGAGAGGGCGTGGGAGGAACGTTGCAGAGCTTACTCATTTAAAATACGCTTCTTCGATGTGTCTGTTTTCTTTCTGGGCGTGAAGGGCCCAGGGATGGGAGGCAGCCATGAGGAGGACATCTAGGGCAACGGGCTGAACCCCGAGAAACTGTGGTTTCCCCGACTGCGAAACAGGGCACGCGCGGTGCGGAGCTGGACAGAAGGGCTCAGTGCAGAGCCTGGGGCAGGGGATGCTGTGTGTGAACGTCAGCCAATAGCCCTGCATTCGCTCATGGCCTCTGGAGCCTCGACTGAGAACACGGACACCTGTCTGTTTTCTGGAAGCGCCCAAACCGCCCGGAAAAAAACACGCCGCCGACTGGAATTTACAACCCCGAAACCCAGCACCGCCCTGGGCGGCTCCGCGCCCTCCAACGCGCGAGCACACGCCGCTGCAGGCCCCGCCCACCGCAGCCCCGCCCCGCACTCCCAGGCCCCGCCCCTCGAGGCTCCGCCCCTTCCGCCGCCCGTAGCCCGGAGCGTGCACGCACCCAGACGCCTGGCGGGAGCGAGCTCGTCCGGGAACCCGCGGCCCGAGGAGCGCTGGGGGCCGGGAGACCCGTGCCCGCGGTTTAGGTGAGGGTGAGCAGGGGGCCGCGAAAGGGTTAAAGTGTCGCGGAGGCGCGAGGCGGGGAGGCGGCGGGGTCTTTGAGGTCGCTGTCCATGCGGTCCTGGGGCGGGGCGCGGAGCGGCCCAGGTGGGTGGGGTTAGGGTTAGGCACGGTGTGGGGGAGGGGCGGGACCCGGGCTGAGGCCGTGGCGGGGTTGTTGGGGAGGGGTCTGCTTCTGGGGCGCGGGGTTGGAGCCGGCGGAGGCTCCGGGAGGAGCCAGTGGTTTAGCTTCTGTATTGTGGTAGGTCCGTGAGGTAAAGTTAGCCCAGGTGCAGGGGCAAGGCCAACTGGAGAGGCCTGCCCGGTGGGGTGTAGGGGTTCAGGGCGCCCCGATTCTCACACTGCTTGGCTTCCGGGGTTCCAACGCCGTGGCCGCGGCCCGCTTTTTTTTTTTTTTTTTTTTTTGAAGTTGAACTGTTGTTCAGGGTCAAGGTTATCTCTGTAATAGGTTAGATGTAGGTGGGCATGCACCGGCGTTGGAGAATTGGAAGAGGCAAGTGAGCGGGTTTCGGTTAGAGGTGAGCCTCCCTGGGGGGGAGCAGGGGGGAAGCGCGCCTTGCAGCTGCTACGCGCTCCCCTGCCGGGTGCGTGGAGAGGGTTGTCTCGTAAGCATCAGGTTGCTTCTTGCACTTTCTCCCCGCTGTCCCGTGTCCCGCTCCTCCGCCACGTGCTTTCTCACCTGCCTTCGTGGCTGAGTGCACAGCCCTGTGCTGCGGGGCGGGGGCGGTGGGGCACACTGGGCCTGGGGCTCCCATTCACGCTACCCTGATTCAACGGTGCTCTTCCTGCTGTATCTGTAAAAAGTCTCTAGGAGAACTTGAAATAAGTGAGCGGACAGGTGCTTCGTTTGAGATGTAGTGTTATAGGTCGGCTCTGTGACAGTTTGACAGCGGGGGATGAGAGGTACCTACTTTGGGAGATAGGAACTGTCACTCATCTGATTAGTCATTGCCAGATTCCAGGGTTGCAGATAAAAGTAGGGAGGACCTGGTCCAGCTCCTCCTCCTCTTACAGAGATGGACCCCTGGTGAGACAAGGTTTGCAGAATGGAAGTAGTGGCAGATCTGGGGGAAGGGTCTGGCATTTCGACTGTCCATTTCTTCCTTCTGTTTTAATGTGCTTGTATTAGCCCCTTTGGTAGGAACAGGAGCTCGAGAGAACAGGTTTGGCAGATGCGTGTGCAGCGTTTGAATTCAAGCTCTCCATAGTCCGTTAGCGTTCAGTTCTGTGACGTCAGCTTTATCCTTGAGCCTTGGAGATGCTCCCTGAAAATGCTTCCATTTGTGTTTTTCTGAAAGGTGGCCATACTGTTCAGTTATTGCAGGAAGGAGAAAAATAGCATTACTTACGTGATTATACGGATCAGAGCGACCCACTAACGGCAGATTGACCACAGACTTTATGCTTATCGTGGGCGTTTATGTGGACTAATAGTCTTAAGAAGCTTCTTTGCATTTTTTTCTCTAGATTTATTTATTTGAAAGTCAGAGAGAGAGAGAGAGAGAGAGATCTCTTCCATTCACCAATTCACTCCTTAAATGGCTACAACAGCCGGGCTTGTGCCAGGCTGAAACCAGGAGCTTCTTCCAGTTCTCCCATGTAGGTGCCGTGGCCCAAGCACTTGAGCCATCCTCTGCTGATTTTCCAGGTACATTAGCGGGGAGCTGGATTAGAAGCGGAATAGCTGGAATTCGAACTAGCGGCTGAATGCCGGCATTGCAGACAGTGGCTTAACCCACTACACCACAACACTGTCCTGTAGGCATGGTTTAAATTGAGATTTTGTACGAGAGATGATGTACACAGTATAGTGTTAAGAGCATGGGTTTGAGGCCGGCGCCGCGGCTCACTAGGCTAATCCTCCGCCTGTGGCGCCGGCACACCGGGTTCTAGTCCCGGTCGGGGCGCCGGATTCTGTCCCGGTTGCCCCTCTTCCAGGCCAGCCCTCTGCTGTGGCCCGGGAGTGCAGTGGAGGATGGCCCAGGTGCTTGGGCCCTGCACCCCATGGGAGACCAGGAAAAGCACCTGGCTCCTGGCTCCTGCCACCGGATCGGCGCGGTGCGCCGGCTGCAGCGCGCCGGCCGCGGCAGCCATTGGAGGGTGAACCAACGGCAAAGGAAGACCTTTCTCTCTGTCTCTCTCTCTCACTGTCCACTCTGCCTGTCAAAAAAAAAAAAAAAAAAAAAAAGAACATGGGTTTGCAGTCAAAACTCATTTTTGGTACTGTTTCTCAGGTTGAGTGAGTCACTTAACTCCTTTCTAATATTTGTATTTTTTTTTTGTTTTGTTTTGTTTTGACAGGCAGAGTGGACAGTGAGAGAGAGAGAGAGAGAGTCAGAGAGAAAGGTCTTCCTTTTTTGCCGTTGGTTCACCCTCCAATGGCCGGCGCACTGCGCTGATCCGATGGCAGGAGCCAGGTGCTTCTCCTGGTCTCCCATGGGGTGCAGGGCCCAAGGACTTGGGCCATCCTCTACTGCACTCCCGGGCCACAGCAGAGAGCTGGCCTGGACGAGGGGCAACCGGCAAAGAATCCGGCGCCCCGACCGGGACTAGAACCCGGTGTGCCGGCGCCGCAGGCGGAGGATTAGCCCAGTGAGCCGCGGCGCTGGCCTTTTTTTTTTTTTTTCTGATATTTGTAGTTTTAATATGTGTAGAATAGATGTAGCCCATGTAACCCTACGTTGCATAGTTTAAGAATTAAATGCAATATGAAAGGTCTGGCACTTAATGCATACACCCTCATGAAGTTTCTGTTAGTGTCTCACTTAGTTTACTACTGCATGTGGATTTCCGGTAAATATACTTTTGTAAAGGAACAAAAAAAAAAGGCTTAAAAAAAGCCAACAGTTGCTAAAGAAATTCTGTTGTAGTAGATTCTAGGCCTATGAAGTTTACATTGTGGACCGCGATGTGGTTATTGTTTAAACTGTGAGTTTCGCCTTACTCCTCTGTGTAATAGAGGTGTAAGAAATGTCTGAATGTAGGAGTGGCCGTAGACTGAAACTTCCAGTGGGAGCGCAGTGCTGGGGGGAGGGAGAAGGCTGTTGACTTGCATTCTGGGTGTAATGGTGAAGGATAAGGACAAACCACATCCCTGGGGTTTCTGCCTTTCTCTCTCAAGATGCCTGATTTGTCCAGAGTGCCTGTGGAAATAACCGATGGATTCCTTGGACCACATGCTGACGGATCCCCTGGAACTTGGTCCATGTGGAGACGGCCATGGCACCCGCATCATGGAGGACTGCCTGCTGGGAGGCACCAGGGTCAGCCTGCCGGAGGACCTCCTGGAGGACGTGAGTGGAAACATCCCTGCAATCCTTTGCTCTCTCCCAGCCTCGGAGTAGCAGCCGTTTGGAACTCTCTATATGTTGTTAGTCTTCTGTGCTGCTGTTCATTGTTTGCATTGTATGCATTCTCTCTCTCTCTCTTTTTTTAAGATTATTTATTTATTTGAAAGGCAGAGGTACAGACAAAAGGAGAGACAGAGGCAGAGAGAGGTCTTCCATCTGTTGGTTCACTCCCCAACTGGCTGCATGGCCAGGGCTGGGCCAGACCAAAGCCAGGAGCTTCTTTGGATCTCCCACGTAGGTGAAGGGGCCCAAACACTTGAACCGTTTTTTGCTGCCATCCCAGGCTCATCAGCAGGTAGCTGGGTTGGAAGTAGAGCAGCCAAGACCTGAACTAGTGCCCATATGGGCTGTCAGCACTGCAGGCAGACGCTTAACCTTCCACACCACAGTGCCAGCCCCATCTCATCTTTTTTTTTTTTTTTTTTTTTTTTTTTTTTTTTTTTTAAGATTTATTTATTTATTTGAAAGTCAGAATTAGAGAGAGAGAGAGAGGTCTTCCCTCTGCTGGTTCACTCCCCAATTGGCCACAATGGCCAGAGCTTGCGCTGATCCAAAGCCAGGAGCCAGGTACTTCTTCCAGGTCTCCCACGTGGGTGCAGGGGCCCAAGGACTTGGGCCATCTTCTGCTTTCCCAGGCCATAGCAGAAAGTTGAATCAGAAGTGGAGCAGCTGGGACTTGAACCAGTACCCAGATGAGATGCTGGCACTGCAGGCAGCGGCTTTACCCACTATGCCACAGTGCCAGCCCACAGAACACTGGTGTCTTTTATGGCTAGACCAAATGCCCACCCAAAACTTTGTTTTTTAATAAGATAATTTTCATCAGTTTAACAAAGATGGCATATTTTGGGAGTGGATTTATGTATGTGTTTATATTAAAATGGTTAGTAGTATTTGGAACCATTAAACCTTCTGACCAAGTAGTAGTGCCCTAGGATAGGATATCAGCATGTTTACTATGGTGGCTACCATTTATTGAGTGCTTATTATGTACAAATCAGTGTGCAGCTGAAACCATTCATTTAAGCATGGAATTTTTGGGGGCTATATCTTGGGCATACAGATTTTGAATATAATGTGGCAAACCCTCGTTTGCACATCACCCAGTCTTAGGAGATAATTTCATACAGTCACATCTGTTTCATTGTCTTTTCATAAACTGTAAGACAGTGTGGATGGAATGAAAGCCACCATTGTGCCCTTCTCTGACCCTCCCACCTACAGTTGGTATTCTTCCTTCTCGTCTATTTCCTTAGCATACCCTTTCAAAGAACTGTGTCATTCATTTAGTCAGCAGATGCTTGTTTTATTAACACTACAGCGTGCCAGGCACTGAGTTAAGTGCTTGGAGTAAGATTGTGTGTAATGGCCGGCACCGCGGCTCAATAGGCTAATCCTCGGCCTGTGGTGCCGGCACTCCAGGTTCTAGTTCCGGTAGGGGCACCAGTTCTGTCCTGGTTGCTCCTCTTCCAGTCCAGCTCTCTGCTGTGGCCTGGGAAGGCAGTGAGGGCGGCCCAGTCGTTGGGGCCCTGCACCTGCATGGGAGACCAGGAGAAGCACCTGGCTCCTGGCTTCGGATCAGCGCGGTGCGCTGGCCGCAGCGGCCACTGGGGGGTGAACCAACGGAAAAGGAAGACCTTTCTCTATGTTTCTGTCTCTCACTGTCCACTCTGCCTGTCAAAAAAAAAAAAAAAAAAAAAAGATTGTGTGTAAAAGTAGGTTTGCGGGGGAAGATTTTACACCAGTTTATGTGGAGATTCCTGGTAGCCAGTAGGATTTCTGAGTTGTCTTCTGTTTAAACCCTTCCTGGCTTTCTGTTGTCCCTGGTGCATAGTCCCAAATACTCAACATGTTTACAAGTCCTTTGCTTTTCTCTACTGCCTTCCCATCTCCTGTCCTTGACCTAGCCAAGCTGTCTGAACTCTTTTTATAATTAAAATGAAATGTTAAAAAAATTGCATATAAGAAAAGCATATGAAATGCATGCATAAGGGTACTTAAAAAGTTTTGTGTGAAAATACAAGTTTATTTCATGCAAAAGTTTTGAAGTCCATGTCTTAACTTTTCATGATACATATTTTCCATGAACTTTTTGAGGACTCCTAATATATACCGTTTAAGCAATAATAAAACATGCATGAGGCCATCACCTAGGTTAAGAATGCCACCAATACCATTTAAACCCCCATGACCCCCTCCGCATCTCATCCCTCTCCGTTTCCTCACCAGGTACCTGCTATCCTTGCTTTCGTGTGAATTTTTCCTTAGTTTTTATGTTTTTGCTCTGTGGATTTCCAACTCCCTCTCCCAGTACCTTTTTTGCCTTTCTTTGTCCCCCTGTTGTCTTAAAATTCTCACTCTCTGGTGGGCACACTGTCACCACGAGTCTGGGATGTGTGCACCTGTCACCCCTTTAACTGCATTGTAGTTGCTTCTTTACTAGTTCTCCCCTCCAGACAATATAAAGGCCAGTCAGGCTAGTACTTAGCTCCCAGAAGGTGTCCAGTATATATCCAGTGAGTTGAGAATGAACTCCTCTGTCCTGTTTCTTCTCTCCCTTAGCAGGTGACCTCAGCCTCTGAAGATCTTTCCTGCCAAGTTAATCTCTCCTGCCCTTCAGTCTCAGCTGAATTCAGAGGGTCACCATCAAACCCTTGTTAGCAGAGATGGCTTCCAAATGGGGTTCTCTCTGCAGTGCTGAGACCATTTGCTTCTGGATTATTATTTACTGTTGGGTGTAAGATTGTGGTTTACATGTAGTCTTTAATAACCCAAGTTTTGAGAATTTTATAAAGATCGCTGAAATTTCAGTTTGTTTTAAAAACTTGGAGGGTGATGATGGTTGTACTGCAAATGTGAATGTGCCTAAAGCCACTGGACTGTGCATTGAAAAATCACTAACATGGTAAATTGTGTTAGATACATCTTACTGCACATGCCTGAAAGCTTACTGTGCTCTTGTTTGTTTTCCCCCACATTCTCCCAGCCCGAGATTTTCTTCGATGTGGTCAGCCTGGCGACGTGGCAGGAAGTGCTGAGTGAGTCTCAGCGCGCACACCTGCGGCAGTTCCTGCCTCGCTTTCCCGAGGACAGCCCTGAACAGCAGAAGGAGCTCGTGCTCGCCCTGTTCAGTGGGGAGAACTTCCGCTTCGGAAACCCTCTGCACATCGCCCAGAAGCTTTTCCGAGGTCTGCAGCTCAGGGTTCTCGTTCTGAGGGAGGTGAAGGGCGGGGCACACTCGTTTATGTGGGTGCTCTTTCCTTCCCTTTATTCTGTTTGTTCTCAGGTACACAAACTGACCCAGTAGAGAGTGGTTTTGTATGATACTGGGCTTCTTAGTAGGTTGACTTGCATTGAAAAAACTTAGCTGTGTGATCATCTAACGATGGTCAAGAAGTACATCACCAGCGTCCCAAGGTGCCATTTATGACTGGTCATTAAAGGTTTTAATAATAGTTTTGCCAGTTGCTTTATTGCATGTGAATCTGTGTGCATACCTGCATACGCACTTCCCTGCCAGGCACTTCAGCGTGTGTATCTCCCTTAATAAGGGCATTCTTCCACCCAAGCTCAGTCCTGTCGTCAAATCCAAGAAATTTTGCGTTGAGCAAATTATATAGAATATTCCATGTTTAGATCTTTTTGGTTGCTCTTGAGATGTCTTTGATAGTTGTTTAACTCTAGGATCTGTTCAGGGTTCATGCGTGGTGTTGGAGTCTTCGGTCTCTTTAGCTCTTTAGGGCCTTCTGCCTGTTTTTGTTGTTATTTTTCAGAATACACTCTTCTTTATGAAGGGTCCAGGACACTCCAGTCATGACATGTTCTGCTTTCTGGGAATTTGTTTCCTTACAAGTAGGTTTGCCTTGAATATTGTTGACAAGAGTATCAGGTGGGAAATGTTTTCCCCATCACATTACCTGAGGAGCAGGCACATGGTAGCAGTTTTTCCATTTGTGGTAGTGCCTTTTTTGATCACTTGCTTAAGTGGTATCTGCCAGACCTCTTGATTTCTTTTTTTTTTTAAAGATTTATTTATGGGGGCTGATGTTGTGGTATAACCAGTTAAGCCGTTGCCTACAGTGTTGGCATCCATGTGGGCACTGGTTTGAGTCCTGGCTGCTCCACTTCTGATCCAGCTCCCTGCTAATGTGCCTGGGAAAGCAGCGGAGGATGGCCCAAGTGCTTGGACCCCTTCACCCATATGGGAGACCCAGATGAAGCTTCTGTCTCCTGGCTTTGACCTGGCCCAGCCTTGGCCTTTGTGCCCATCTGGGGAATGAACAAGCGGATGGAAACTCTCTCTCTGTAATGCTGATTTTCAAATAAATAAAATAAATCTTCCCCCCAAAAAAAGATTGATTTATTTTGAAGGCATTACAGAGACAAAGAGAGATCTTCAACCTGCTGGTTCACTCCCTAGATGGCCACAACAGCTAGCTGTGGGCCAGGCCAAAGCCAGTAGCGTCTTTAAGGTCTCCCGTGTGAGTGGTAGGGAGAGTCCGAAACACTTTAGCCATCTTCCACTGCTTTTCCCAGGCCATAAGCAGGGACTGAATCAGAAGTGGAGCAGCTGGAAGTCAAATCGGTACATGTACAGGATACCAGCATTGCAGGCAGTGGCTTTACCCACTTCAGCCCGACACTGGCCCCAGACCTCTTGATTTTAAACACTGTATGTTTTATAATTAAGCAGTGTGTACAGTGTGTAGGGTGATACTTTGGGACCATGGGGTAATCTTACTTCCTAAAAGCCTGTTTCACCCATTTGTGTTCTCTTCTGTTGGTGGGGAAAGAGGATGAGACTGCCATCACAGGTTGCTCTCTTTCCTGCGGGGGGCGGGGGAAGCCTCTTCTTCCCCTCTCTCTAGGAGTAACATTGGTTTGGGTGGAGGGCCTGAAAGGTGGTCACATCTCCCTGAGTTTTGTTAAATTGGATGTCTTGACAGCTGCTGAAGACTGGAGAGAGCAGACTTATTATTTTAACTCTCTCATTATCTTAATGGTTTAAAATGAGCATTCTAGGATGAGGGGGAACAAGCGGACATTGTGGCTTAGTGAGCTAAAACTGCTCAGGATGCCCTCGTCCCTTACTGGAGTGCTGGTTCCAGTCCCTGCTGCTCTGCTTCTGATCCAGCTTCATGCTAATGTGTCCTAGGAGGCAGTGGATCATGGCTTTAGTGCCTGGGCCCCTCCCACCCATATGAGAGACCAGGATGGAGTTTCAGGCTTCCAGCTTCAGCCTTCCCCAGTCCTGGCTGTTGGTGAGCATTTAGGGAGTGGATAAGTGAAAGGAAGATCTCTCTCTCTTTCTCTATCTATGTCTTTTTCTGTTGCTATACTTTTCAAGTAGGTGAAAATAGACATTTAAAAAAATAATAAAATTAGCATTCCCGGGGTATGTGGCTTAGTGGGTTAAGCCCCACCTTAGATGCCTCCATCTGATGTCAGAGTGCCTGGAATTGAGTTCTGCCTCTACTTGTGATCCAGCTTCCTGCTAATACGTATCCTGGGAGGCAGCCAGAGATTGCCTAAGTACTTAGGTTCCTTCCACTCAGTGGGAAACCCAGGTGGTATTTCTGGCTCTTGGCTTTGTGTCACGGCCCAGCTCCAGCTATTGTGGGCGCTTGAAGAGTGAACCATTGGATGGAAGACTTCTTTCTGTCTCTCTTTCTCTCACTCTGTCAAATAAATCAGTTTTAAAAAAGAATTTGCTCATTTGATGGGTGATTAGTTTAAATAGGAAGTACCCTTTGACTGGCCTAGATCTGTTTTATGGAGGCTGGGGGTCTTAGTCTCTGATAGAGCAGAAGTGAGGGAACTCTGTTTGGCTTTAGAGGGGTAGGGGCTATGTGGGGGGCCTAGTGAGTGTTAGTACTGGCTGTTGTGCTGTGTTTCTCCCAGAACAGTGTGTGAGTCTGGTGCGGGTCTGGACAAGGAATCTGAAGGCAGGAATGTCTGCATATCTCACTCCGACAAGTGCCCTGTTTCCGGTGGCTGAAGACAGTTGTGTTGCCTGCTGCTTAGGGTTTCAGTCTTCACTGAGCTGTCATTGCTTTTCCTTTCGTTCGGTTCTTTTTTCCTAAATTCTTAAATGTTCACTTTTCCCTTCAATTCTATGGAACAAAGTACAACATCTTGAATACTCATTAACTATTTGTCGACTGATATGTGTGTGATTGTAGCTCTATTTTTTTTTAAGATGGACATTTTAACCCTGAGGTGGTCAAGTATCGACAGCTATGCTTCAAGTCACAGTACAAGCGATACCTCAATTCTCAGCAGCAGTATTTCCATCGGCTGCTGAAGCAGATTCTTGCTTCCCGGAGTGTAAGTAATGCTGGCACCTGGATATAAGACGTGGGCGGGGACCTCACAGCTCCTGTGGGCTCAGGAATTGTTCAGGGCAGGCGTGTGGCCTGATGGGTAAGATGCCCCCTGGGATGCTTGCGGCCTCTAGTGGAGTCCTGATTTCACTTCCTGCTGATGTGCACCTGGGAGGCAGTGCGGATGGCTCAGGTAACTGGGTCTCTGCCACCCATGTGGGGGACCTGAATTGAGTACCTGGCTTCTGCTTCAGCTTGCGGCAGCTTTGCTGATTATGGGCGTTTGGTAGTGAACTAGAAAATGGGAGATTTCTGTCGCTGCCTTTCAAGTAAACAAAAATAATTAAATATCTAGAAATTAAGAAGTATCAATTAAAGTTGGTTCAGCTGCCAATTTTTCTTACATATCACTAAGAAGAAATGCTTTCAACTGAGCTACAGCACAGTTAAGCTGTGTCATCTCACCGACTTAAAAATGTGCTGATTTCAGAGATTTTAAAACAGAAAAAAAGTGCTTCCGAAAATTGATGAAATGCAGTAGCTTCAAAATTTACCCGGAAAAGGGAATTTCAGGTCCCTTATGGGTTATTAAGGAAACTAGGATTCTCTGGAATTGAAGCGCGTCCAAGTGCACGCAGGCCACCGGATGCTGCAGTGGGTTGGAGCGCACCATGCATGTCTAAGGCCCCGGGTGGGACCAGCCTGGAAATTCTCTAGAGATAAGGTTGCCTTGAGTTGAATGGTCTGTTATGCTTCATTGTAGAAATACTTGGTTGTCTGCTGTCACAAATGTTCATTCTCAGAGTTTCAGTGAAACAAGTCCGCACTTAGCCTTTGGATTTTGTAATACAGGTTGAATAGTGCTTATCAGAAATGTTTGGGAGCAGAAGGCATTCCTCTTTTTGAGCTTTATTTATTTATTTATTTTGGATAATTTGCCTCTACATAAGACATCTTAGGATGGAACTCAAATCTACAAGTGAAATTTATGTTTCGTGTTCACTGTATACATATGACCTGAAGATAATCTTATACAATTATTTTAGGGCACCTGTGTTTTGACTACAACCCATCCCATGAGGTCAGAGGTAGAATTTTGCACTTGTGGTATCATGTCAACACTCAAAACATTTCAGATTTTTTTCCTTATAGAAGTGGTGGAGTGAGATAGTGAGGTAGAGACCTTCCGTTTGCTGATTCACTTCCCAAATTCTTGCAGTAGCCAGGCTGAAGCTAGGATTGAGGAACTCCTATGGGGATCTCATAAATGAGCGTGGCAGGCAGGGACCCAAGTACTTGACTCAGCATCTGCTGTCTTGCAGAGTGCATGTTAGCCAGGAGCTGGACCAGAAGTAGAGGCAGGGCTCCATCCCAGGCATTCCTTTAAGGATGCGGACATTCCAGGAGGTTGATTTAAACTGCTGTCCCACAACAGCTGGCCAGATCTGCACTTTAGGGCTTCCCATTTTTTAATCAATATAGACCCTGTTTATTTGAATGACTCTTTTTTTTTAAAGGTTTATTTATTTGAAAGTCAGAGTTACACAGAGAGAGGAGAGGCAGAGAGAGAGAGGTCTTCCATCCGATAGTTCACTCTCCAGATGGCCGCAACGGCCAGAGCTGCGCCGATCCAAAGCCAGGAGCCACGAGCTTCTTCCGGGTCTCTCACGTGGGTGCAGGGGTCCAAGGACTTGGGCATCTTCCACTGCTATCCAGGGCCACAGCAGAGAGCTGGACAGGAAGTGGAGCAGCTGGGTCTCGAACCAGCACCCATATGGGATGCCAGTGCCCCAGGCCAGGGCGTTAACCCACTGCACCACAGTGCCGGCTCCATTGTTTGTGTTTTTTAATGAGTTTTTTTAAGATTTATTTATTTGAAAGGCAGAGTTAGAAGCAGAGGCAGAGAGGTCTTCCATTTGCTGGTTCACTCCCCAGATGGCTGCAATGGCCGGAACTTGCCGAGCCAGGAGCCAGGAGCCAGGAGCCAGGAGCCAAGAACTTCTTCGGGGTCTCCCATGTGGTGTAGGGGCCCAAGGAGTTGGGCCATCTTCTTCTTCTTTTTTTTTTTTTTAATTTTTTTTAAATTTTTTTGACAGGCAGAGTGGACAGTGAGAGAGAGAGACAGAGAGAAAGGTCTTCCTTTTGCCATTGGTTCACCCTGCAACAGCCGCCGCGACCGGCGTGCTGCGGCTGGTGCACCGTGCTGATCTGATGGCAGGAGCCAGGTACTTCTCCTGGTCTCCCGTGGGGTGCAGGGCCCAAGGACTTGGGCCATCCTCCACTGCACTCCCTGGCCACAGCAGAGAGCTGGCCTGGAAGAGGGGCAACCGGGACAGAATCCAGTGCCCCGACTGGGACTACAACCCGGTGTGCCGGCGCCGCAAGGCGGAGGATTAGCCTAATGAGCCGCGGCGCTGGCCTATTTTTTTTTTTTTTAAAGATTTATTTATTTGAAAGACAGAGTTACAGAGAGGCAGCAGAGAGGTCTTCCATCCACTGGTTCACCCCCCAGATGGCTGCAGTGGCCAGAGCTGGGCTGATCTGAAGCCAGGAGCCAGGAGCTTCTTCCAGGTCTCCCACGTGGGTGCAGGGGCCCAAAGACTTGGGCCATCTTCTACTGCTTTCCCAGGCCATAGCAGAGAGCTGGTTTGGAAGTGGAGCAGCCAGGACAAACTGGTGCCCATATGGGATGCTGGCACTGCAGGGGGCAGCTTTACCCACTACACCACAGCGCTGACCGCTTGTTTGTTTTTAATTTGACATTTTTTTCTATGACCAGAGGGAGGGAATAACATCCTGGCATCTTTTTCTGTGATGAGAGGGAAGCTTAACACTGAAGAGAATGTCATACAGACTTGACAGGTGTGCGTGGTTCCAGAACAAGAGTGAGGTGATGGTGTGTACCTCATCTGGTCTCTTCCTAGGATCTCCTGGAGATGGCCCGACGGGGCGGACCTGCCCTTCCTGTGCGGCAGAAGCGCCCCTCACCATCGCGCAGCCCCGAGGAGCGGGAGTGGCGGGCCCAGCAGCGCTACCTGAAGGTCCTGAGGGAAGTGAAGGAGGAGTGTGGCGACACGGCCCTGTCCTCTGATGAAGAAGGTGCGTGTCCCTGGGCACTGGGGCGTCTCGTCTAGGTCAGCTGCTTACCCCGTTGGAGCCAGTGGGAGCCTGTTGTTTCCCCAGCATTGTTGTCTAGTCTGGGGGGTGGTAGTGGGGATAGTGTCCCTGGGCTTTTGGGTTGCCGAGACATTGTTGTTAGTGGTAGTAACTGTATGTGCATTTTACCCTTGTGCTCGGGTGGCATTTGAGCTTAGAGGAGAACCTGTCGGTTGAACCTCTGCATGGCAGGGCTGTCTTCACCATAGGCCTGCGTGGTCCCTTGGTGCCACTTGAGAGAACTGCTTTTCCCCCTTACAGGCGAGTAGTAGTGACTGTTGGCCTGCTGCAGTGTGACCCCATCACTCTGTTGAAGTCTCTCTTCCTGGAAAAGCCGTTTAAATGACCTAAGTGTGCTCCAGCTCATCTGGGGAAGGGTCAGAAAGGAGTGTGGAACCCTGGCCTCCATGTTGGTGGCTTAGCCTTGTTGAATCCAAATGGCCACTTACCCAATCTCCCCTATTGGAGTCCACAGCCACGTTGGATTTACAAGAACAATTTTCTTTTGAAGATCTCAGCTCATGGCTTCCGAGCTCTCCAGCACGTTCTCCTAGTCCTGCGGTGCCCCTGCGGGTGGTGCCCACGCTTTGTACCACGGATATGAAAACCGCAGGTGAGCACTGAACTGAGACTGCTGGGGTCACAGTGTGGATCCAAGAACCCCCGCAGAGGGAGGTGGGGCCTGGGGTCTCACAGGCCAGGACAGCAGTGCTCCCTGGAATTAAGCCATCTGGAGAAGGTTTTGTACCATTCCACTATTGTACATCTGGAGATGGGCCTGCCTTTCTTGTCTTTGTTTTGAAAATTACCTGCTAAAGAAAGCAGAATCTTAGACTAGCAATACCAGCGGACGATTCAGTAATAGGACAAAAAGGGGAGCCTGAGCCGTGGCAGTTCCTTAGAACGTCTGAAATTGAGGGAGGACTTTTGTTTGGAATAAGAATTAAGGAAGAATGTTAAGAACTTTTATTGTGTTTTAGGACCAGCCAAGTAATGGAAGTAATTTACTGACCAATGTATAGTAGAGGGGAAATGTCGATCCTGTGACTGTGTCAAGATTTGGGGTACTTAAACGTTTATGGGAGTCAGAAAGGAAACTTGGAGATACCTTACTTTTGAATGTCACAAGTGACCAGAAAGATTCAGATTGGAGCATGTGGTGTTGAATGACCTAGTACGTAAGGTTTGGTTCGTTTTCTCTCAGATAAAATAGAACTGGGGGACAGTGACCTGAAGATAATGTTAAAGAAGCACCACGAGAAACGGAAGCACCAACCAGTAAGAGGGGGAGAGGGTGTGGCCGCGAGCGGTTCTCAGTTTACTGTGTGTGTTGTTTGCCTTGAGGAAGGTAGCAGATAGCACTGCCTCATTTGTGTGCCTGGTCATTCCTGGGGGACAGGAACCGCAGGAGAGGCGGCAGAGGTGTGAGACGGTGGGAATGCCTTGACTTTATAAGGCATGCTTAACAATGCCCACTTTTTTCTTGCCAAGGACACTGGCAAATGAATCGTTATCTGCATTTCCCCAGTGCTCAGAGAAGTGAAAGACTTGCTCTTGGTGCTGCAGCGGGAGGTGGCAGCGCTGAGTCAGCCTGCGCTCTGCGCACCGTGCTGTTGGCATTACTCCACTCTGTGCGTCCAGAGTGCCTAGGCAGGGGTTAGAGACAAAGCCGTCTGTCTGAGGCACGTGCGGAGAGAAGGAGAACTCAGAATTGCATTCCCTGTCCTTCCTGCAGATCCCCTAACGTCTCTAAACTCCATTTTTGGGTCTTGTGACATAGGGTGGTACCTGAAAAGTAGCTGAGATGAGGAATGCAGAGGAGCTGCGTAAGTTGTAAACACCATACGATAGAAAGATCAGCACCGCATTCCCTGTGCACCTGAAGGAAGAGCAGTAGTTTTTATCTCTGTACATTTTTAATTCTGCATGATTTCCTCAAGTGTATGTAACATCTGTTTGTGTATGTTAGGTAAACTGGTAAAGTCAGCATCAGTGTTTGGACCATTTTTGACCTCTGAATGTCCCACCTAGGATCACCCGGACCTTTTGACAGGAGACCTGACCCTCAATGACATCATGACTCGCGTGAATGCTGGCAGGAAGGGCTCTCTGGCAGGTAAATGACGGTCCCCTCCGGGTAGCCTTCACGGCACTTGACTGCAGTGTTAACCACAGGAGCCTCTCCACATGTGAGAAAGTCAGTGAAGCCACTGCTTTTTCCATGCTGATAACCTTTGTTTTGTTTGGCAGGTGGGAAGTGAGTTTACAGTCAACACACCAGTACATTAAACTCTTTAACAGATGTTAAAATTGAGCTGGAAGTTGCTAGTTGTTTTGTTTTAAAAAAATCTGAAAGTCTAAAAAACAAATCTTATTATTGAGACTTCTGTCTGGTGGGCCTTGGCCAAATACAATGCCAAGAAGGCTGTCACCTCCTTATGTACAAAGTGCAGTCCTGTGACTTGTGTTACTTTTTTTGTTCTAGCCCTATATGATCTGGCAGTCCTTAAAAAAAAGGTTAAGGAAAAAGAGGAGAAGAAAAAGAAGAAAATAAAAATGATCAAATCAGAGGCAGAGGATCTGGCTGAGCCCCTGAGCAGTGCTGACGGGGTCCCACCTCTCTCCCAGGCCCCATCTCCACTGGCAATACCTGCTATCAAGGAAGAGTAAGTGAGCATGAGACGGGTGATGCTTGGGGTGAAAAATAAGCCCAGGGTGGTGCCCCGTCTCCTGGGGCTCGTATGAGCTGGCTGTAAGGGTGCTTCCTGCTGGGAAAGTGTACTGTGTGCTACTGTCATGAACTTTTAGGGCTGCCAGGTGACCTGGAGGGAGAGGGGTGGTGACCAAATGTAAGGATGTGTTCTTGATCTTTCTGGTTGTTCTTACGTGTTTTCTTTCCTTATTAGGCCCCTTGAAGACCTGAAGCCTTGCCTTGGAATCAATGAGATATCTTCCAGTTTCTTTTCCCTGCTGCTGGAGATCTTGCTGCTGGAGAATCAGGCTAGCCTCCCTATGGTAATTTTGGAAGAGTCACAAATGATTTGATCATTTCCAGTTGTTGACGTCTTTAATGGTAGCTCTCTGCTGGCTCCTCTAACTTGGTTTGTGGACTGGGCAAAGTGAGCGTACATGGAATTGCTGGTGTAGAAGAGAAATCTCACTGGGTTCTGCCTTTACTCCCTCAGCTAGAGGAACGGGTTTTGGACTGGCAGTCGTCTCCAGCCAGCTCCCTCAACAGCTGGTTCTCTGCAGCCCCCAACTGGGCCGAGTTGGTGTTACCAGCCCTGCAGTACCTTGCTGGAGAGAGCCGAGGTAAGGTACATCGTTTGGTAGGGTCAGTGTCTTTTTTTTTCCCTTTTGTCTAAGGAAGTTTACAGTAAAGGGTAGCTTGGCTCATCTAATTCATGACCCCTTTGTCTAATGCCATTCCTGAGAGGTGTGCTAGCCTGAGACACTGTGAGCCATTCAGAAGCCCGCCCAGAACTCAGGGTGCACGTTACTTGTTCTGAGTTCAGCGTTCTCTGTGACCTGTGTGACTTGTTAGGTTCTTCATTTCTTGCAGCCGTTCCTTCCAGTTTCTCTCCATTTGTTGAATTCAAAGAGAAAACCCAGCAGTGGAAATTGCTTGGTAAGTTATTCATATGATCTACTCCAACATAGGTTTTTATTCTTCCATTTCTTACCCTAAGCTTCGTTTGCCTTTCAATCATTACAGTCCAGCAGATTGTCAGCAAGGAATCTGTTAGGGCTTATTTGCTGTGTGGAGGAATCCTTCAAGACCCTTTAAGAAAGATTTATTTATTTATTTGAAACACAAAGTGACAGGGAGAGGCTAAGAGAGAGCGAGGTCTTCTAGCTACTGGTTCACTTCCTAAATGCCTGCAGTAGCTGGGGCTGGGCCCGGCTGAAACCAGGAGCCAGGAACTTCATTCTGATTTCCCATGTGGGTATGGCTGGGCAAAGTACTTGGGTCATGATTTGCTGTCTTTCTGGATGTATAAGCAGGAAGCTGGATCAGAAGTAGCGGAGCTGAGACATGAATCAGATAAATTTAAATCTGCAGGGCCGTTTTTAATTACTGTCAACATTTATATTAAACCAGGGATTTGGGATTAATTTGTAATACAATTATTTTTCTTTCCTAAAAATGGGTTTTACTGCTCAGGATATGTTGGGTAGCTCCAGATAAACTATTTCTAAAGAACAGAGTCCTTACTTTTGTTTGAACTTTATAAATTCCCATTACCTGCATCTTTTTTTTTTTTTTTTTTTTTTTTTGACAGGCAGAGTTAGTGAGAGAGACAGAGAGAAAGGTCTTCCTTCTGTTGGTTCACCCCCCAAATGGCTGCTAAGGCCGGCGCGCTGTGCCGATCCGAAGCCAGGAGCCAGGTGTTTCTCCTGGTCTCCCATATGGGTGCAGGGCCCAAGGACTTGGGCCATCCTCCACTGCCCTCCCGGGCCACAGCAGAGAGCTGGTCTGGAAGAGGAGCAACTGGGGCAGAATCCGGCGCCCCGACTGGGACTAGAACCCGGGGTGCCGGCGCCGCAGGCGGAGGATTAGCCTAGTGAGCTGCAGCACCAGCCCTGGCTGCTCCTCTTCTGATCCCGCTCCCTACTAATGTGCCTGGGAAAGCAGTGGAGAATGGCCCAAATCTTTGGGCCTTGGTACCCACATGGGAGATCCAGAAGAAGCTCCTGGTTTCTAACTTTTGATCGTCCCAGCTCTGGCAGTTGTGGCCATTTGGGGAGTGAACCAGTAGATGGGAAATGTCTGTCTGTCTGTCTCTCCCCCCATCCCCCCCCCTTCCTCCCTCTTTTTCCCCCTGCCTCCTCCTCCCCCACTCTGCTTTTCAAATGAATAGCTCTTTTAAAAAATTAATAATATTCCATTGTGTAACACATTTTCTTTAGAGATATTTGAAAGTAAGAGTGACAGAGACACACAGGTCTTCCGTCCTCTGATTCACTTCCCAAACTTGGGCTAGGCCAGGCCAAAGCCAGGAGCCAGGAATTCCATCTGGGTTTCCCACGTAGATGTCAGAACAGTAGGCTTGGCAGTACAGAGTAGCTGGGACTTGAGCCAGGCAGTCCAATATGGGATGCAGGCATCCCAAGCGGCAGCTACACTGCACCCAACTCCTGCGCTAACACATTTTGCTCCATTCATTGATCCACTGCTGGACATCAGGTTGTTTCCAATGCTGGCTGTTGAGAATAATGCTGCAGTGAAGATGGGTGCAGTTACCTCTTCAGGATGTTGGTTTCCGTTCTCCTGGGTTTATACCTAAAAGTGGTGTTACTGGATCGTATGTTAGTTCTGTTTTTATTTGTTTTACTTTTTTAGTTTTCCAGAGTGGCTGCACCATTTTACATTTCAGGGTTCTTTTCCCTAAGTCCTTGCCAGTATTTTTTTTTTAAAGATTTATTTATTTGAAAGAATGACAGATCTTCCATCTGCTGGTTCACTCCCCAAATGGCTGTTACTGGCTAGAAGCCCAGAACTCCATCGGGTCTCCCGTGTGGCTGACGTGCCCAAGTACTTGGGCCATCGTGGGCTGTTTCTGTTTTCCCAGGCATGTTGGCAGGAAGCCGGATCTAAGGCAGAGCAGCTGGGACTTGATCTGGCACTCTAGCATGGGATGCTGATGCCAGATGCGGTGGCTTAAACTGCTGAATCACAACACAGGCCCATCTTTCTTTCTTTCTTTTTTTTTAGTAGTAGCCATTCTGACAGGTGTCAGGTGATACCACACTGTGGTTTTGATTTGCATTTCCTTGATGATGGGCTATATTGAGCATCTTTTCTTGTACTTGTTGACCATCTTTAGGTTTTCTTTGGAGAAATGTCTGTTTAGGTTCCTTGTCCATTTTTTAGTGAGGCTGCTTTTTTCCTGCTATTGTTTTGTAGGAATTTTCTTTTATATTTTAGATACTAACCTCTTTTCAAACACATGGTTTGAAGATATTTTCTCCTATTCTGTCTGTTATCTTCATTGTTGGTTGTACAGAAGCCTTTTAATTTTAATGCAGTCACATTACTTTGGCTGTGCTGTTGGTATTAGACGAGTAATTACCAAGAAAGCCCCTGTTTAAATCTTGAAACTCGTTGGAGGGACTGTCGTGTAGTTGGCATCCCATTTGGATGCTGGTTTGAGTCCCAGCTGCTCCTCTTCCAGTCCAGCTCCCTGCCTGTGTGGCTGGGAAAGTAGTAGAAGATGGCCCAAGTACTTGGGCCCCTGCCACTCACATGGGAGACCCAGATGAAGCTACTGCATTGGGCTGGCCCCTGACTGTTGCGGCCATTTGGGGCATGAACCAGCAGATGGAAGATCTCTCTCTGTGTCACCCTCTCTCTGTAACTTCGCATTTCAAATAAATAAATAAATACCTTTAAATATATATATATACATATACATACACGTATATATGTATACATACATATATATTTATGTATGTGGAAACTATTATTTGGAGTTGGGTTTTTGCATATGGTATGAAATAAAGTCTGATTTCACTCTTTTATATACTAATATCCAGTTTTCCCATTATCGTTTGTTGAAGAAGCTGTTCTCTTTATGTGACCTTGATACCCTTTCCCAAAAATGAATTACTGTTTATACATATAGGCTTATTTCTAGGATCTGTAGGTGTAGAACAGGCTTTTGTTTCTGTTTTGCTTTTCTCGGGAGAAATACCTGAAATCAGCCATGGGGTAGAAGGAGGCACTCAACTCTGCTTCCTGACCCGGTGGGATATGGCTATGAGAGAATATGCCGGCATCCACAGGTGTAAGGGATCAGAGGAGAGCAGATTTCACACCAGACAGGGAAGTGGAGAGCCTTGAGAGAAGGTCTGGCTGTGGGGTTGTCTGGTTATGAAGTTGCATCTCCAGAAGGCACAGTGGGAATGAACCGGTTATGGATAAAGGGTTGAGAAGTGTCTGGGGACGAGAGTTGAGGTCTTCCAAGCGGGGGTGGGAGAGAGTTGGGGTTGGGGTTGGCGTTGTGTACTGACTGGTGCAGACAGAGTGAAGCAGCATGGTGAGTGTCTCAGCAGCGTCCGTGAGGCAGGTGTTTGCAGTCTCACACACGCACGCCTGCCTGATGTTCTGTGGCTTCCAGCCCAGGTAAACCTAGGTACTCTCATGTCCCAGGTGCTGCAGGGGTAGTTGAACAGGGTGATGTGACAGGAAGCCAGGAAGGAGCATGCTCATCTCTTTATAGGCGGGTTAGGAGCATTCGGATTTGTTTCTTCCTCAGGGCCACCTTTTTTATTTTTTGAAGATTATTTATTTATTTGAAAGGCAGAATTTACACAGAGAGAGGGAAGGAAAGACAGAGAAATCCTCCATCTGCTGGTTCACCCCTCAAAGGACCTCAGTGGCCAGAGCTGGGCTGGACTGAAGCCAGGAGCTTCTTCTGAGGACTTGGGCTCTTTTCTGCTTTCTCAGGCACATTGGCAGGGAACTGGATTGTAAGTGGAGTAGCTGAGACTTGAATTGGCACTCACAAGGGATGCTGGTTTCGCAAGCAGCAGCTTTGCCCTGCTACTCCACAAAGCTGGCGCTCTGGGCCATCTTCTTGCTGTGTCAGTGCCTAGAATGACTTTGCAGCCCACTTGGCCACAAGCTTTTCTCACCCACAAGAACAGGACCATTCCCTTGGTGCATAGCTATCAAAGCATCCTTTGTGACCCCTACCCCTTTTAGAATTGGATTTATTTAACTTTACTGTAAACTCCATGAAGGCAGAGGCGGAATTCTCTGAGTAACTCCAGCTTCATACGCGGTGCCTGGCACGCAGTGGCTGTTGAGCAGATAGCTGCCAAGTGGATGGTTCAGGTGGGTGGCATCCGAGAGTGATGGTCTAGGCAGGGCACGTAGAAAGGATCAACGCCACAGTACCGGCAGAGACAGAACAGGTGATGAGAAGGTGGGTTTCTGTGTAGCAGCTTAGATGTATTTATTTCTTGTTTTTGTGTTCCTGTAAAAGGCCAGTCCCAAGATAATGAAAAGGAATTAGCTGCACTCTTCCAGCTGTGGCTGGAGACCAAAGACCAGGCCTTCTGTAAGGTATGGTTTCTAAGAAACAACATTATCTTCCTCAGTGGGTTTCCAGAGCCTTTAGCTTCGTGAAAATTCTTTAGTCCATTTACCTGTTAATCTTTTCCTTCCCTCCAGCAAGAAAACGAAGACAGCTCAGATGCCACGACACCTGTCCCTCGGGTGTGAGTACAGTACTTGAGTTGTGGGTGGTGGCCTGTGAGACCGCAGTGGAAGGCACCGCCCTGGTCTTACTGACGTGGCTTCGTGTGTTAGAGCTAATCGTGGACTTTAGAGATCCTAGTGGTCTACTGAGTGTCACCTGCTCAGCACGACCTTCAGATGCACCACACTCCCGTCAGTAAGAGGGGCTCCCGATGGAAAGGGCTCTTGACCGGGGTGCGGGGATTGTGCGGTGGAGGCTCTGAAGGGGATGCGATCCACCTTGTGGTTGAACACGCATTTTTCCTTGTGTCCTCTTCCTGGCTTCCCATTTGAGATGATGGACCCAGCTTCCTCATTTACCTATGCAAAATGGGCCATGGGGGTCAGTGACTTGCGGAAAGTCAGTGATAGGACCCCGCCCAGAATTTGCATCCCCTGACTCTCAGCCCGTGTCTTGTCTCATATTGCTCTTTCCTGATGGTTGTGTCTGTAGATTCTGAACCCCAGCACAGACACCTGACCTAAGTGTGGTACAATGTGTTAGCTCACATAGTAGAGGGTAGGTCTCAAGTTCTTAGCTACTTCCAAGGTGGCAGAAAAACCACCCTTGACATCTTTCATGTTTGAAGCCCTTTGTTGCTCCAAGGCTGAGTGTTTTGTTCCTATTGGATATCAGTAGTACCTAAAACAGTGGTAAATAATGTCAGCCTCTTTCCCGCCTCCCCGGTGCCAATCTGGATTTCTTAAGAATCAGGTCGTTTTGGAAATACCAACAGTACTTACTTGGTAGGACCTGGCCGGTGGACTTTTGACTTTTGCCAAGAACTGAGTATTCAGAAAGGGACAGTTTTTCATGCTTCAAAGGGAACAGTTCTGGGTGCTGAAGAGGAGGGCCGTGGGTCGGGTACTCTTTCACGCAGCTGTCAACTCTCGGAGTTGATACAACATTCTTTATGTTTCAGAAGAACTGACTATGTGGTGCGGCCCAGCACCGGGGAGGAGAAACGGGTTTTTCAGGAGCAGGTAAGCAGTGCTCGAAGGCAGCGTCAGTGTCTCTGTGAGGCCGTGCCGAGGACGCCAAGTCTGGGTCTCCTTTGAGTCACGTTCTTGGAGGCCAGTCACACCCTTCACCTGCGATCTTTGGCTTGGGAGCAAAAACACTGGGAGGGAAGGGGATGAAAAATGCTTTGGGGATCTTTCTTTCCAGTAGCAGAATGCATTTCCATTTACCTCCCTGTCCCTTTGTCAGCGGCCGCCTCTGGGAACCACCCTTTTCCCACTGTGGTTGGCTCAATCATTCTTCGTGGAACAGCTTCTTTCCTTCCTGTTTTAATCTGTCCGTGTAGGTCATCTTATTAAAGGGCGCTCTAGAGAGAAGCCTGCTAATTCTGACTTAGAAGCTTTCTCCTGTTTCTTTCGGTAGGAGCGGTACAGGTACAGCCAACCCCATAAGGCGTTCACCTTCCGCATGCACGGCTTTGAGTCGGTGGTGGGGCCGGTGAAGGGTGTCTTTGACAAGGAGACCTCCCTCAACAAGGCCCGGGAGCACTCCCTGCTGCGCTCGGACAGGCCTGCCTATGTCACCATCCTCTCTCTTGGTACGTGGTGTGCAGCTCCTGCCAGGCTCCAGTTCCGACGCCCTGCCCTCTCCCCATGCCTCTTCCCCCCAGAGACCTCTTGGAGGCTCAGGCGGAGCTTTTGGCAGCCTAACAGTTTCGGAGATGATGGGGGAGTTTTGCTGAACAGACATGTGTCCTGAGAATCAGTGTAGAGGTCTAGACTCACATTTATGTTCTCTAGGAGTACCTCCCAGGCCAGCTAAGTAGTTACATGTGGGGATTTGCTTCCTTAACGACTTTTGTATGCTCTGGATCCCTTTGATAGTCTTGTGAAATCTGCTTTTAAGTGCATAAAATGTTAGAGTTAGAAGAGAAGCCAGTCATTGTTGATACCATTATCAAGATGTTTAAACCAATTTATGGTGCAGAAATATGTGTGTCTTATCATGATTTTAAATAATAAGAGTGAGCAGCAGATCTTGTAGTTGTAAGTAATGGTGCATGTAAGTGATAACTGAGTTCCCTATACCTGTAGTATATGAAAATACCTGGTATTTGTTATAACATCGCAGCACTGCCAATATGTGGCTTGTTGCCTTTGTTCATAATGAAAGGCAATGCTAACTGTCAGTTAAAGATGTCTTTTTTTCCTCGCCCAAGTTCATGAACCCACTGATTTCTAAGGTGTCCATGGACCTTCGGTTTTGCCTTGTGGAATGTATAGGAAATTCCAGTGGCAGAACTGCTGGCCACTAGGGGGCAGTGCATGCCTGTGGTGAGTTGGGTCACGCAGGGAGAGAGGGTATCCCGAGGGAGAGTCACCCAGGCAGGGCAGGGCAGGGCAGGAGACACTGTCTGCCAGTAGAAGCCCTGCTTGACTCTTGGACGTTGCATTTTCCAATGTTACAGTTCGAGATGCTGCTGCCCGGCTACCTAACGGAGAGGGCACCCGGGCAGAAATCTGTGAACTGCTCAAGGACTCCCAGTTCCTGGCACCCGATGTCACCAGCACTCAGGTAAGATGGAGCAGAGATTGCTTGTGTGTTGTTGTGGAGTGGATGTAAGAAAGCATATTAAGAAATGTGAAGTACAGCACAAATTTTCTTAAAAACTTTGAGGAAGGGATAAAAAGCAGATCTTGCAAAATGTGTACAGCCATGAAGAGATTTGGCTGTAACCTTTCCTCGGCAAAGGGCAGGTGGGTCAGGTACTCAGTTCACCGCCTCCTCATGGTGGAAGTGCATCAGGATCTCAGGTTCTGACGGCATTTCTTGTTTGCCAATGATTTGTTGACCACTGGGAGTACGTAGGTAGGCCGGGGTATATAGTCTGTTTGTCTGCTGACTCCTACCAGTGATTTTTCTCTGGAGTCCGAATAAAATCTGGCTTCTGGGTCTGCATTGGCCCGTATTTCCCTTTGTTCTTAGGTGAACACAGTCGTGAGTGGTGCACTGGACCGCCTGCATTATGAAAAGGACCCTTGTGTGAAGTATGACATCGGGCGGAAGCTTTGGATCTATCTGCATCGGGACCGGAGTGAGGAAGAATTTGGTGTGTGAGGCCTCTGGGCAGGTGTCCAACTAGGCTAGTGACACTTCGACTTTGCTGTCTCAGTTGCGTTATCCTTTTCATTGACATTCAGGCAGGATACGGTTATAGAGGCAGGACTCAACCCACCAGCAAAGCTTCTGGTATTTTTTTGAAATACTTCTAACAAATTTATTTATTTTCGTTTTAACAGTAGGGAGAGATTGTCCACTGGTTCACATCCCAAAAGCTGCAACAGCCAGGGATAGGCCAGGCAGAAGCTGGAAACCCAGAACTAAATCCAGATTTCCCAAGTGGGTAGCTGTGACCCAACTACTTGAGCCATGTTGCCTTCCAGGGTGTGCATTATTAGGAAGCTAGAAGTGGAAGTATAGCCAGAACTTGAACCAAGGCACTTGTCCTAAGTGGCATCTTTTTATTTTTATTTTATTTTTTTTAAGATTTATTTATTTATTTGAGAGAGTTACAGGCAGAGAGAAGGATAGAGACAGAGAAATATCTATCTGCTGGTTCACTCCCCAAATGGCCACAATGGCCAGAGCCAGGCCAATCAGGAGTCAGGAGCCAAGAGCTTCTTCTGGGTCTCCCAGTTGTGTACAGGGGCCCAAGCACTTCCACTGCTTTCCCAGGCCATTAGCAGGGAGCTAGATCGGAAGTGGAGCAGTAAGGACTTGAATCAGCCCCCATATGGGATGCCAGTGCCACAGGTGAAGGCTTAACCTACTACCACACAGTGCCAGCCCCCTAAATGGTATCTTAACACTGTGCCAAATGGCCACACAGGCTTTTTTTTTTTGTTATTTTTTTTAAAGATTTATTTATTTATTTATTTATTTGAAGGGCCATTATAGAGAGAGAGAGAGAAAGATTTTTTCCTCCGCTGGTTCACTCCCCAAATGGCCACAATGGTCAGGGCTGGGCCGGGCTGAAGCCCTATCTGGTCTCCCATGTGAGTGGCAGATGCCAAAGCAGTTGGACCATCTTCCACTGCTTTCCCAGGCACATTAGCAGGGAGCTGGACCAGAAGCAGAGCAGCTGGGGCTTGAACCGGTGCCCATACAGGATGCCAGCATTGCAGGCCGCGGCTTAACTCCTCGCTTCCCAGGGCTAGCTACCCCGGCTTTGGTTTCTAACAAAAGCCCATACGTGGCATGCTGAGGTTACACTCTTGCTGATGTCTTTTACTGTTCACAGAGCGGATTCATCAAGCACAAGCAGCTGCAGCTAAGGCCAGAAAGGCTCTTCAGCAAAAGCCCAAGCCCCCGTCCAAGGTGGTAAGTGATACCAAGAGAGCAGCGCCTTGGGGGTCCTGCTTGGGCGCAGCTGGTAGTAGATACTCAGCTTTCCCTTGGTGTGGGACGTTAGGTGCTGTAGGGGCCATGCCTGCCTTCAGTGGAACCTTTGTGTACCCTGCGGGTGAATTTCCTTTCCTTGTCATTTCTAGAAGTCCAGTAGCAAGGAAAATTCCATAAAGGTCCTGAACAGTGGCCCTTCTGAGCAGAGCCAGATGAGCCTCAGTGACTCCAGCATGCCTCCCACTCCAGTCACACCCGTAACCCCTACCACGCCAGCGTTGCCTGCCACTCCCATCTCCCCTCCGCCAGTGTCATCGGTGAACAAAAGTGGCCCTGCCACTGTCTCAGAACCGGCCAAGTCCAGCTCTGGGTAAGCGCGCCTCCATTTCTTCTCCAGCTGTTTCCCTGTGAAGCCCTTTGGTATACATGCCGTAAGGGTCTGTTTGCCGATTTCCTTTTAGCGTTCTTCTGGTGTCTTCGCCAACAATGCCACAGCTTGGAACAATGCTTTCCCCGGCCTCCAGCCAGACTCCACCCAGTTCTCAGGCTGCTGCCCGGGTTGTGAGCCACTCTGGCTCAGCTGGACTGCCACAGGTGCGGGTGGTGGCCCAGCCCAGCCTTCCTGCTGTCCCCCAGCAGTCAGCAGGGCCAGCACAGACACTGCCACAGATGCCCGCAGGACCACAGATCAGGACTCCAGCCACGGCCACACAGACCAAAGTTGTGCCCCAGGTAAACAAGGATGCTGCAGGTCACTGTGAAATAGGAACAGTGGCCCCGAGGTGGGCTGACAAAGCAGAAGGGTGGGGTTTAAGGATGATCAGGAGTCATAGTTTACTGCTGACAGTGAGGCTCATCAGAACAACTCCTTTAAGGTTCAGAGCCGAGTAAGTGGTTATAAATACTCTGCTTTACATGCTGGGGACGCCATGTTCAGGGAAGTCCAGTGATGCACCTGCGATTCTGACTGGAGCACCCTGGGAGAGGTGGGATGCCAGTGCAAACCTTGGGAGTCTGTCTGGAGTTCCTCCCATGTTGCCTGTGGCCTTGGCCGTGCTGTTGTTGGTATGTGTGGTTACAGAGAAGATACCGTGTCCTCTTTGCCTCAGTTTCCTTTACTGTAAAAGGGGTATCATCATGTTTATCCTCTGTGTGAGGAATGAAATGATTGTGAAATGTAAAGGCCTTCTAAAAATTAAGATGTACTACACAAAGAGAAATTGACAGTGTCCGTTTTAGAGCGTGGTGGGCCTTGAGCACTGTTAGGTTAGAAGTTGTGTTCCCTGGGTGGAGCACTTCCAGGTGGGAAGGTGCGGGCAGACTGCTGGGAGTGCCGCTCTGCATTTTACTGTCTAACGAAGCTCTTGGCTTCATGCCCTGAACTAGACAGTAATGGCCACCGTACCAGTGAAGGCTCCGACCGCGGCAGCCACCGTCCAGCGACCTGGCCCTGGGCCGACAGGGCTCACGGTGACAAACCTCCCTGCCGCGGCCAGCCCTGTGAGCAAGCCAGCCACGAGCTCTCCTGTTAGCTCTGCTGCGAGTGCCTCTACGGCTGCCGTCATTCAGAACGTCACCGGACAGAACATCATCAAGCAGGTGGGTAGGGCTCGCTCCGAGTGCACAGGGCACAGTGTTGCCGGGCAGGGGGTGGTGTGCCCTGGGCGTAGACCTGGCCGCTTTGTCCTCAGGCAAGGGACCCGTGGAATGGCAGGTTCTGGGTGCCTGTGGAAAAAAGGTGTGCTGTCTTTGACCCTCAGTTTGACCCCTCAGGTACTTCAGGTGAGAGTACACACCGAAGGTGGCGCAACCTTCACGAATGCTGATGATTAAAACCTTGTGGCGTAACTTAATTCAATTCCCCTGGTCATTTTCTTAGGGAAAAGAAAAATTACTTGAGAGAAGGAGACAGATCTCCCATCCTCTGGTTTACTCCCCAGATGCCTGCCACACCTGCAGCCAGGCCTGGCTGAGTGAAGCTGGGAACTGAGAACTCAGGCCAGGTCCCCCGCATGGATGGGGAGGAGCCGCTTGATGTATCACTGCTGCTTCTCAGGGTCTGCATTTACACGAAGCTGGCGTCGGGCTGGAGCTGGGTGTTGATACAGGATGTGAATGTTCCAACTGATGTTCTGACTGCTGGGCCAGGCACTTGCCTCGTGGCCATATTTTATTAGCTTTTTCGTTTACCACTAGTAAAGGTAGAAAGACTGCATTTTTATTTTTATTTTTTTTAAGATTTATTTGAAAGGCAGAGTTACAGAGCAGAGAGAGAGGTCTTCCATCTGCTGGTTCATTCCCCAGATGGCCGCAACAGTTGGAGCTGGACTGATCTGAAGCCAGGAGCTTCTGAGTCTCCCACGTGGCTGCAGGGACCCAACAACTCAGACTATTTTCCATTGCTTTCCCAGGTTACAGCAGAGAGCTGGATCGAAAGCGGAGCAGCTGGGACTTAAACTGGCACCCATATAGGATACTGGCACTGCAGGCGCCAGCTTTACCTGCTATGCCACAGCGCCACCCCAAAGAATGTATATTTTTTGGTTGTGCATGTGAAAGGATAATTATTGAACTTAAAGAATGATTAGGGGGGCTGGCACTGTGGCACAGCAGGTTAAAGCCCTGGCCTGAAATGCCGGCATCTCCTATGGGTGCTGGTTCTGGTCCCGGCTGCTCCTCTTCTGATCCAGCTCTCTGCTATGGCCTGAGAAAGCAGTAGAAGATAGCCCAAGAGCTTGGGCCCCTGTATCCGCGTGGGAGACCCGGAAGAAGCTCCTGGCTTCGGATCGGTTCAGCTCCAGCTGATACAACCATCTGAGGAGTGAGCCAGCAGATGGAAGACCTCTCTCTCTGTCTCTACCTCTCTCTGTAACTCTGTCTTTCAAATAAATAAAATAAATTAAAAAAAGAATTATTAGGTAGAATAGCAACTAGTACTGTGAGGAGTGCTTCCTGTGTGCCTGTACTGAGCATATTGGAAGATGTTAAAATAATCCAGTCCTCATGGCCCTGTGACATCGGCATCTTTGTGGCCCTCTTTTTACAAATGGAGAAGTGAGCTACATATTGATAAAGTAACCTTTGATACTCAGCGCACATCTGTTGAGTGTCTTGTGTGTTTCTGGCACTGTCCTAAGTGTTGGGGGCTTATGGGTGTGTATATGTTAAAGTCTCTGCCTTCACAGAACTCACATTCTCCAGGCTGGGAGGCAGGTGTTAATGAGTGCTGTGGACATGGCTAGGCCGTGGGTGGGGGGTGGTGGCATGCTCATCTTAACTAGGGTGGTCGGAGAAGGAGAGGACATGATGCCAGAGAGAGGGGCCTGGGGTAGAGCCTGTGCCACATGATGACACCCAGAGAGAATGCTCTCCAGACCTAGGAGTGGCACGTGTGTGAGGGACAGTTGGAAAACCATTGTCTGAAGCTTAGCAAGTGGGTATTAGATGAGGGGGGTGAGGCTGCCAGTGGTTAGATCATGTCTCTCTCTGGTTTTAATTTAAATGTGATGGGGAACCACTGGAAGACTGACTCAGACTGGTTTGATGTGGTTTACACTTAAAGAAACTGCTGGCTGCTTAGTAGACTGAGCTGTGGGGGAAAGAATGGAAGTAGGAAGCCATGAGAGAGGCATTCGTCTTGGTCCTGGGACAAGAGTGCTTCAGAGTGCGTGTGCTGGAGGTGTGAGGAGTTGGAGGGGAGGCCAGAGAGAGTTTCTGGTGGGCTTGCGTATGGGTCAGAGAGGGCCGCTGAGGGTGATCCCGTGGTTTTTGGCTTCAGTGACTGGGTAGACAGTGGTATCATTTACCGAGGTAAAAGAATGTTGGGGGGGCGCTGTAAGACAGAGAAAAGTGCCCCCATGGCAGGAGCAGACCCACGTCTGATGGGTGACCGTGAGATGGAGGTAATGAGTGCACTTGACCAGGTCCCGGGACTGAAAATGTGAGGTGAGGAAGTGGAGATGGTGCGTATAGGTGGTTTTTAAAGAAATTTTCTTCTGAAGAGCAGAGAACTGGGGCTGGATTGGGGTGTGAGCAGAACGATTAGGTGAAGGCGCGTGTGGAGGGAAGCCCATGTTGGCGCTGCCACTGCCTGTCTGCATGGTGGCGGTGGTCCCAGAGGGGCCCACCGAGAGGGGAAGGCCATGCGTAAGCCAGAACGGTGGATCTGTGCCCGCAGGACTTGGCCTTAGGGTGGAGTTGTGTGAACCCAGGGTGTCTGGCTGCAGAGCCTGTGCTTGTAGGCACTGTGTCACACTGCTGTTCCCACAGTGAGGTGGCCCAGTGTAACTGGACATCGTTGAGCGAGTTGGGGACATGTAGGGCACACTGATGGGAATTAGGTTGGGTAGCGGTGATAGCATTGTGATTCGTTTTTTGGTTTAAAAAGGCCTCTTCTAGGTTGGAGATGTATTGTTCAGTAAAATGATTTATCTTGGATTTACTTGAAAATAGTTGAGGGCTCCCTCCTACGCCTGCCTTCCTCCGGGTTAGGGAAGGACTGACGAAACAACAGTAACTGCTGCCTTTTGAAGCTGAGTGAAGGGTATGTGGATGTTACACCAGAACTAGTCTCTGCTTTTGTGACTGCTCACTGTTTTTCAAAGGAAAAAGTTAAAATAGCAATGTGACACAGACCCACAAAACGGAGGTTCCCCTCATCACTAACTGCTGGTTCTCCCCGATGCAGGTGGCAATTACTGGGCAGCTTGGTGTGAAGCCCCAGACAGGCAGCAGCATCCCACTCACAGCCACTAACTTCCGCATCCAGGGTAAGGACGTGTTGCGTCTGCCACCCTCTTCCATCACCACAGATGCCAAGGGACAGACGGTTCTGCGAATCACTCCGGACATGATGGCCACATTGGCCAAGTCCCAGGTTACCACAGTCAAGTTGACCCAGGACCTCTTTGGGACAGGAAGTGGCACTGCAGGCAAAGGCATCTCTGCCACCCTACACGTCACCTCCAATCCAGTCCATGCAGCTGATAGCCCTGCCAAGGCCAGTTCAGCCAGTGCCCCTTCATCCGCTCCAACAGGTACCACGGTGGTCAAAGTGACTCCTGATCTCAAGGCAACAGAAACCTCAAGTTCAGCTTTTCGTTTGATGCCAGCCCTTGGTGTGAGTGTGGCAGACCAGAAGGGAAAAAACACAGTGGCCTCTTCAGAAGCAAAACCAGCTGCCACGATCCGTATCGTGCAGGGCCTGGGGGTGATGCCTCCCAAAGCAGGCCAGACCATCACGGTTGCAACTCATGCGAAGCAGGGAGCCCCGGTGGCCAGTGGGGCTGGAACTGTCCATACTGCAGCAGTGTCCTTGCCCAGCATGAATGCTGCTGTGTCCAAGACTGTGGCTGTGGCTTCGGGGGCTGCGAGCACTCCCCTCAGCATCGGAACAGGCGCCCCCACCATGCGGCAGGTCCCAGTCAACACCACGGTCGTGTCCACGTCCCAGGCTGTGAGTAGTAATAGCCCTTCTGTTCAGGAAACTTTTAAGGTGGTCAAACCTCCCGTGAGGAGGTGACTCCCTGAGAACCAGGGGGCTTCTTTGTAGGAATGGAAATCAGAAGCCTTGTCTGTGATGGCTTGTTTGACCCAGATAGATTTATTTACTGGTAGACTTTTCTATTTTCTTTTGAAAAGCAGTTTATAAAAGTGTAGAATATGCATACATTGCTACAAAATATTAAACATCAGTGCCTGAAATACCCAGAGTAAAATCCATAATTTCCTTTACTACCCTCCAGGTCTCCCTTTATGAGAGTTAATTACTGTTACTGATTTGGCATTTGTCCTAGACCTTTTTTCTGAGCATATTCATAGATACACACATACACACAGAGTTTAAACGAAAAACTGTGACATTATGTTCTGTAATTACTATTTTTTAAAAGGTTAATCTATTTGAAAGAGTTAACATAGAGAGAATTGGTCGATCTTCCATCCTCTGGTTCACTCCTCAAATGGCTACAACATCTGGGTCTGGGCCAGGCTGAAGCCAGGAGCCAGGAGCTTCTTCTGGATCTCCCATGTGGGTGCAGGGGCCCAAGCACTTGGGCCACCCTCTGCTGCTTTCCTAGGTATGTTAGGAGGGAGCTCTATTGGAAGTGGATCTGCAGGATCTTGAATCAGGGCCCATATGGGATGCTGGCATTGCATCCGGTAGTGGCTTTACCAGCTATGCCACAGCACCAGCCCCCTGTAATTATTTTAAAAAGGGTCTTGAGGTAGGCTATATGCAGATATGATTGATTACATTAATCTTCCCTACCCCTCCAAAGCTTTATTTCTTTATTTGAAAGACAAAGTAACAGAAAGATCCATCTTGTACCTATTGGACCACTCCCCACATGGCTGGAAATACTAGGCCTGGGCCAGGAGCCAGGAACTCCACCACCTGGGTCTCCCGTGGGGGTGGCAGGGGCTCAAGCACCAGGTGCACCAGCAGGGAGCTGGATCAGAAGGGGAGCTGCTGGGACTTGAAAAGTCACTCCAGTATGGGATGCTGGCTTCAGAAATGGCGGTGTAACCTGCTATGCCACAGTGCCAAACCTTGACTTGTTTTTATTTATTTATTTATTTATTTATTTATTATTTATTTATTTATTTATTTATTTTTTGACAGGCAGAGTGGACAGTGAGAGAGAGAGAGAGAGAGAAAGGTCTTCCTTTTGCCGTTGGTTCACCCTCCAATGGCCGCCGCTGCAGCCGGCGCACCGCGCTGATCCTGGCAGGAGCCAGGAGCCAGGTGCTTTTCCTGGTCTCCCATGGGGTGCAGGGCCCAAGCACCTGGGCCATCCTCCACTGCACTCCCTGGCCATAGCAGAGAGCTGGCCTGGAAGAGGGGCAACCGGGACAGAATCCGGCGCCCCAACCGGGACTAGAACCCGGTGTGCCGGCGCCGCAAGGTGGAGGATTAGCCTATTGAGCCACGGCGCCGGCTCTATTTTTTTATTTTTTTGACAGGCAGAGTGGACAGTGAGAGAGACAGAGAGAAAGGTCTTCCTTTGCCGTTGGTTCACCCTCCAATGGCCGCTGCGGGCCCAATTATACTATTTTTTAAACTCAAAATTTTTTATGAAGTAAGGGTTTTATAGCCATGGGGTAGCACAGACACAAAACCTAGAAACCATAAAAGAAAATGGTGATAGGTCTTTTCCGACAAAATCATAAATGCCTAAAGAGTAAAAGGCTCCACATGGAAGGTTAAACTATGACAAACTGCGCTGCGGCCGGCGCACCGCGCTGATCTGATGGCAGGAGCCAGGAGGCAGGTGCTTTTCCTGGTCTCCCATGGGGTACAGGGCCCAAGCACTTGGGCCATCCTCCACTGCACTCCCTGGCCACAGCAGAGAGCTGGCCTGGAAGAGGGGCAACCGGGACAGAATCTGGCGCCCCGACCGGGACTAGAATCTGGTGTGCTGGCGCCGCTAGGCAGAGGATTAGCCTAGTGAGCCGCGGCGCCGGCCTTGACTTGTTTTTAAAGATTTATTTATTGGAAGGCAGACTTGAAGAGGGAGAGACAGAGATTTTCCATCTGCTGGTTCACTCCCAAGATGGCCACAATGGCCGGAGCCAGTTGCTTCACCCAGATTTCTTATGTGGGTGACGGGCCCAAACCACTTGGACCATCTTCCACTGCCAGGCCATAGCAGGGAGCTGGATCAAAAGTGGAGCAGCCAGGACTTGAACCAGCACTCATATGGGATGCCGGCACTGCAAGCGACAGCTTTACCCACTATGCCGCAGTGCCAGCCCTGTGTTATTTTTGATAGCATTATAGTAATCTAGACAAGGGCCTCTGTCAGAGGAGAGTTGCCCATGCTGGCCAGTGCTGCAGTGTGTCTGGACAGGTGGTAGAGACATGTCCACATGAGGTAGAGATCGCTAGGATGAGTCACTGATGTGTATGCAGTGAAAGCCCTGCTGTACCAAAATGCCGCACAGGCCTAGATTCCCAGCAGGCCTTCTGTTTTCCTTTTTAGTTTTATGTTCCTGTCTTACCAGTGAGCGCAGGGTCTTTCTCAGTTGTTTTTCTAATCACGAATGTGGTCAGGCACCCATTATGAATATTTGGAGCTTGGCATGTTCTCTCTAGTGGTGAATAAATCTTTGCCAGTTTTTTGGGGGGTAGCTGTTTCATGTTTTGGGGTGGCCCTTTGTATCTTCTGGATGCTGAATTTTGTATGTAAGAATGTCTTGGGCAGGTGCCACGGCTCACTAGGCTAATCCTCCATCTTGCGGTGCCGGCACACCGGGTTCTAGTCCCGCTCGGGGCGCCGGATTCTGTCCCGGTTGCCCCTCTTCCAAGCCAGCTCTCTGCTGTGGCCAGGGAGTGCAGTGGAGGATGGCCCAAGTCCTTGGGCCCTGCATCCCATGGGAGACCAGGATAAGTACCTGGCTCCTGCCATCGGATCAGTGTGGTGCGCCGGCCGCAGCGCACGGGCCGCGGCGGCCATTGGAGGGTGAACCAAGGGCAAAGGAAGACCTTTCTCTCTGTCTCTCTCTCTCTCTCTCTCACTCACTGTCCACTCTGCCTGTCAAAAAAAAAAAAAAAAAAAAAAAAGAATGTCTTTTCTTCCAGTTTGTCATAGTTTAACCTTCCATGTGGAGCCTTTTACTCCTTAGGCATTTATGATTTTGTCGGAAAAGACCTATCACCATTTTCTTTTATGGTTTCTAGGTTTTGTGTCTGTGCTACCCCATGGCTATAAAACCCTTACTTCATAAAAAATTTTGAGTTTAAAAAATAGTATAATTGGGCCAGCACCGCCTCTCACTAGGCTAATCCTCTGCCTAGCAGCGCCAGCACACCGGGTTCTAGTCCCGGTTGGGGCGCCGGATTCTGTCCCGGTTGCCCCTCTTCCAGGCCAGCTCTCTGCTGTGGCCAGGGAGTGCAGTGGAGGATGGCCCAGGTGCTTGGGCCCTGCACCCCATGGGAGACCAGGAAAAGCTCCTGGCTCCTGCCATCGGATCAGCGCGGTGCGCCGGCCGCAGCGCGCCGGCCGCGGCGGCCATTGGAGGGTGAACCAACGGCAAAAGGAAGACCTTTCTCTCTGTCTCTCTCTCTCTCTCTCTCTCACTCACTGTCCACTCTGCCTGTCCAAAAAAAAAAAAAAAAATAGTATAATTGATCATCCATTTGAAACATGTTTGTGAAGGGGGGGTTTCTCTTCATGTTTTTCAAATTATTCCAAAATCATTTAGTTTATCTTTTCTTGACTATTTGAAGTGCTGTATTTGTCACACACACGGCTGTGTGTCTGGATGCATGTGTGTCTGCTCTCTCACCTCTAGGTAAGGAGCTCTCCTCTGAACAGGAGTGTGGATGGAGAGTATAAAACACAGCTCCATTTTTCTAAGCAAGCTGTTCAGGAAAACCTCCGTGATTTGGGATAAAAGCCAGAAGAACATCATATATATTAGTGAAGCAAACCAACCAAAAACCTTGACGTGCTGTGGTTTAAAAGGAAATGAGTATTTAGATTGCCATAATGCAATTGAAGTCAGGATGTGAGCAAACTGTGCTTACTCGATCCACGCATTCTCTTGATTGGACACAGGTTCCTCCTGGGGCCGTCTTGTCCAGATCAGTCTGGGTCCCTGTAACTGGAGAGTAGTGAGCGGGGCTTTCCCTGTCTTACCAGCTAGTTGGGATAGTTCCTGAAGGGACCGCGTGGGTGGTGTACAGGTGGTCTGAGGTGTTTTAAGCCACCAGACCTTAAGAAAATAGAACCATAAGTAAATCCAGGAATTGCCTGTTCACCCATACATGCTTTTTAACAGGTTACAGTTGGTGAGTAAAATGTATGGAGATTGGTATGGGACCTACAGTTAAGTGCTTGACTTTTTTTTTTTTTTAAGATTTATTTTATTTATTTAAAAGACAGAGTTACAGAGAGAGGCAGAGACAGAGAGTTCCTCCATCCGCTGGTTCACTCCCCAGATGGTCGCAATGGCCAGAGCTGCGGCAATCCAAAGCCAGGAACCAGGAGCCTCCTCTGGGTCTCTGACACGGGTGCAGGAGCCCACGGACTTAAGCCATCTTCTGCTGCTTTCCCGGGCCATAGCAGAGAGCTGGATCGGAAGAGGAGCAGCCGGGACTAGAACTGGCGCCCCAGGCCAGGACCTCAACCCACTGTGCCACAGCGCCAGCCCCTAGAGTTACTTATTTATCTGAAAAGCTGTGTGATAGAGATCTCCCATCTGCTGGTTCACTCCCCAGATGCTGCCAACAGCCAAGGCTAGGCATACCAAAGCCAGGATCCAGAAACCTTATCCAGGACTTAATGCAAGTGGCAGAGACCCAAGTACTTGGCCATTGTCCACTGCCTTCCTAGGGGCATTAGCAGGGAGATAAATTGGAAATGGAGCAGCTGGGACTGGGAACTAGTGTTCTGATATGGGATGCTGTCATCATAAGTGGCACCTTAACCTGGTGTACTACAATGCCAATCCCCCCACCCCCCAGCTTCTTTAGAAGTAGCCTGTGCAGGAACTGGCGCTGTGGCATAGTGGGTAAAGCTACCACCTGCAATGCCAGCATCCATATGGGCGCTGGTTTGAAACCCAGCTGCTCCATTTCCGATCCAGCTCTCTGCTATGGCCTGGGAAAATAGTAGAAGATGGCCCAAGTCCTTGGGTCCCTGTATCCACATGAGAGACCCAGAAGAAGCTCCTGGCTTCAGATCAGTGCAGCTCTGATCTTGTGGCCACCTGTGGAGTGAACCAGCAGATAGAAGTCTGTCTGTCTGTCTCTCTCCTTCTCTCTCTCTCTCTCTTACTCTGCCTTTCACATAAATAAATAAATCTTAAAAAAAAAAGAAGTAGCCTGTGCAATAATTTTTCTTATCATAATGTGTTTTTTTAAAGATTTATTCATTCATTTATTTGAAAGAGTTACATAGAGAGAAGGAGAGACAGATCTTCCATCTGCTGGTTCACTCTCCAGTTGGCTGCAACAGCCAGGGCTGTGCCAGGCTGAAGCCAGGAGCTTCTTCCAGGTCTCCCATGTGGGTGCAGGAGCCCATGGACTGTGCTGCCTTTCCAGTCACATTAGCAGGGGGCTGGGTCGGAAGAGGAACAGCCAGGATTCCAATCAGTGCTGCCTCCTTAACATACTGTTAGCCACCTCTTGAATTATTTTTTAAATCAGGTTTGATTTTACTTTGTATAAATTTATTAACAACCAAACATTAAAAACCAGGCATCCTAAAAACATGAAGCAGTGACCTATCTGAACCATCCTGAAGTTCCAAAGACCCCAGGCCTTTTCATGGAGCTCTTCATGGAGCTTATTGGCTTTGGGCTTGGACTTTGCACTTGATTGATTTTATTGTTAGTGTCCCCTGACTGACCTCTCTTATCTCTGGGAGACACGGAGAGCCCCTGGGGAGGGTGACTGTTCGTTCCCCACCAGTGAGCCTGCATTCCAGTGGAGTAGTCATCACGCATTTCCTGTGTTAACTCAGTCCTTCCTCACGTCCACCTGTTGGAGTGAGTGAGACTCTGAGCTGTGCAGAGCACAGGGGCTAGGACTGTGCTTACACGAGGACGCGCTCGCCTTTGTGATTTAGGTACAGGTTTCATCCTAAGAAAGCAGGCTCTGTGTGGTTGCTGCTGCTCTCAGTAGCTTTGAGGAGGATGGTAGCAGGTCAGATGACCCTGAGCCATGGAGCATGAGCCCTTGGTCCCCAGCCCTTAGGACCTTTGGGGTCCTGGCAGGGGTGGATGGAAGCATCTTCTGTTCTTGTTGCCCTGTAGGTGACGCTTGGTAGTTCTCCTTATCTCCTGTCCCACAAACGTGCTTGCTTTTTCTCTTTAGGGGAAGCTGCCTACACGGATCACAGTGCCGCTGTCTGTGATTAGCCAGCCAATGAAGGGCAAGAGCGTGGTCACCGCCCCAATCATCAAAGGCAACCTGGGAGCCAAGTACGTGCTGTGTCGTCACGAAGGACCAGTTTGGGCAGAGGAGGGGGGCATGTTGCAAGCTACCAGTCCTTGTCACAGAATCGGATGGCAGCTGGTTTTTCTGAGGCCTATCTTTGATCTTTCTCCTGGTTTGTGGTCATCAGTAATACTCCTTGAGCTCCTAGTTCTGTGTTAGGTGCAGTGATTAAAACAGAAATTCATGCTGTCCAGGCTTACATTGTAGAGCAGGGAAAGCAAAAGTAATTTAAAAAAATAGTGTAGTGTGTTGAGTGGAGATGTAGAGGAGAGAGGAGGGGCGAGGGGGGCCGCTGGGAGGGTGGAAGGGAAGCCTCCCTGTGACCTGTGTGCTCTGGACCTACACCACCTCCGAGGCTGAGGGCTTCCTGTGGCCCTCTCACAGCGAGGGTAAAGGGCAGGAAGCAGTCAGCCGCAGTCTCAGGGCAGTCTCAGGGCGAGGCTTCGGGGAGGATGTCGGAGTACCCCGTGATGCCTCATCCCACACTCACGCCTTCCCTTCACAGCCTTGGCGGGCTGGGCCGCAACATTATCCTCACCACCATGCCGGCGGGCACGAAGCTCATTGCTGGCAACAAGCCTGTGAGTTTCCTCACGGCACAGCAGTTGCAGCAGCTCCAACAGCAAGGGCAGGCCACACAGGTAAGGGCCACACCAGGCTTCTCCGTTTTCTGTGCTGTTCTTAACTGGTGAGCCTCTTAACAGTGTGCTAACCGAGTCCTCCTCCTTGCAAGCAGGTGCGCATCCAGACTGTCCCCGCATCCCATCTCCAGCAGGGAACAGCTTCCGGCTCCTCCAAAGCAGTCTCCACTGTCGTCGTGACCACGGCTCCGTCTCCTAAACAGGCCCCTGAGCAGCAGTGACGGTGAAGAGAGCTGGCTTCTGCAGAAGGCGGGACCTGGTCTGTCCCGGCTCAAAGGCGGGGAGCAGGGCGCTCGCATCCGTGCTGCAGGCTGTGTGTGGAAGGCAGGCCAGTGCAGGGACGGTGGCACCAGGAGCCTCAGTGCTGCTGCTGCGCCCTGCAGTGGAGCGCTGTGAGAAGGGCTCCCTCCAGAGTTCCAAGGCGTGCTCTGTCCCAATCCAGGAGAAGTTTCTGTTCAGAGTTGCGGGGTCACAGTTCTGTGATGAGCGCCAGGCCCCCAGGGAAGGCGTGCCAGTTGCACAGTGACCGAGCCCCGTGCCACGTGAGGCTTGTGTTGTAGCTTCTGGTCTTCCCCGTGACAGTGGCCTGGGTACGAGTTTTGTGTCCAGAAAACTTTATGTAACTTATTTTTTTAAAGAACCTGTTGCACATCTTTATCAGACAGAAACCCAGGCTTTAGCCCCTCCCAGACTGCTTACTTGTTTTGACCAGAGTGAGGAGATAGCAAGAATCTTAGTAAGCTGATGGCTGACTGGATAACCACCCAGAAACTGAGCGGCTGTGAGATGGGAAGCACCACAGAAAGTGAGGTAGTCAGGATTCCCTCCGGTAGGCTGAGTGTGGCACTCCCTCTTGGAAACGGGATGTAGGGGTCTTGATTGTTTAGGCACGAGCACCTGCCGGTGACCTTGGCAAGCCTGTCACAAGGAGTCCAGAGCTGGTGGACGGGGGTGGGGGGTGAGTGAAGACGCTGCTTGTGCAGCACAGACTTCCTTGCAGTTCAGAGCCATCGACTCTGCCTGCTGCAGGCAGGAGTGGCAGGCCCAGGGGAGCTGGCCCGCTGCTTGTGTCAGGTTTTGTTTGAGCAGCCCATTCCCATCTGGTTACGTATTCTCTGGCTACTTTCGGTTAGAAGGCAGAATTGAGTCGTCGCCGTGGATGCCAGAGGGCTCTGAGGCCTAAACTGCTGTGGGTTTGTTTTTTTATTTGTTGTTGTTTTTGTCTGTCTGTCTGTCTGTCTGTTTGCCTACATTATTTCTGATCCCTGCCCCAAAGTAGAGATGGGAGGAGCGGAGTGGGTGTGGCATGTACAGGGACTGCCTGGCAGTAACAGCCTCGAAAGAGGTTGGTCTGGATTCGCAAGTGACTCATTCCTGCCTCTCTCACCTTCCCAGCCTCCGTCAGCTATAGACAAAGAGCTCAGAGTGATGCTTTAACATAATGTGATGAGTAAGTGAAGCACTGGCTGTTAACGTGTGGTGCCTCTTCTGTTTCGGGGCGCGGGTGGGTGGTGAAGCTTCCCTGAAGGGATAAGGCTTTCCTGTCTCTGCTGAAAGTATCCCAGTTATTAAAAGTGACCATCTTTAACTCTGGGAAGGAGTGAGTATCTTCTGAGGGGCGGGGCGAGGAGGAGCTGGTGGGCCCCTTCTCCACGGGGCCTGGTGTGACCGGGTGCCGGCGTCAGCGGTGAGGCAAGTTGAGGAGCAGCGATGGAGTGGGAGGGGCTGTCAGGACTTCACAGACAACAGCTTTCTGTAAAGTAGATGTAACCATCTGCTTTACCTGTAAGAAAACTCTTCTCTTCCAGCTGAGTCGAAGCTAGAGAACCAAGGTGGAAATCCAGGCCTGAGGTTGAATTGCAGATGAGACGTTAGGTTCCCTCTCTGTTGCTCTCCTAAGGGGAGGGTGGCTGGGATGTGTTGGGGAGCCTGGGGTCGATCCAGTGAGGACGTGAAAGCTGGATTACCACGAGCGGGAGTGGCAGGCTCAGGAAGACAAAGCCCCTGGCGGGTGAGTAGCGGACCACCACTGAACTAGGGCTGGGAGCGGTGAGAGGTGAGGGCTGCATTGAGGGGGAGAGTGGATCTTGCATCAGAGTACATTGTATTTATAATACTTTGAAATTTGCACATCACTGTCATTTCCAGGAGTCACATTTCAGATAGAAAGCCGCGTGGCAGTTTCTGAATGAGAGAAAGGTAGAAAATCAGGAGATCCTGTTTCAGATATTTACTGCTGGTTAAAAATAAACCCTTTCTGAATTTACATAACAAATCGCTCTCATAAAAGTAGCTCTGGCATGGAGCCTCAGCCCTGCCCTGCACTTATTTACAAAAGTCACCTGACTGCCTGTCTTGTGCGTGCAGATGTGTACAGCCTAGGGAGCAGGGGTGCACAATATGGGCTGTTTCAAGATGCCAGGGTGGGGTGGACTCCCTGGTAGCATTTTGGTGCAGCCAGCGTGTCACTGGAGCAGTGTGGAAAGGAAATCCCCTGTTGGAGTGTTCACAGTGACAGCACAGTATCTGCACCACATGTGCACCCTGGAGATGGGCAGTGAAGGTGGGTATTTTGTGGGGAACAATTCCGGGGAACTTGGCGGTGGCATCAGTGAGCCTCCGAGCCTGTGGTCGACAGAGGCTGGTAAACTGTTGAGCCTGTGTATGTAAGACTGAGTACATGGCATAGTGGCCAGTTTGTGCTTCAGCACCGTGTGTAAGAACGCTTATGTCAGGTGGGTCACTGGGGCTAAGATATCACAAGCCGTGCTGTAAGAGGCATCGAAATTTGCTTCAATGTTTCTGTCTGATCATCACGTCTCTCAGCCTCTCACTCTGGAGAGAATGTGTTTCTCTTAATTCCTTTGTCCCTTTTAAAAATCTCAAATATAGATCTTTTCTATGAAAATAAAACAGTGGATTCCTTCATCTCATACCAACCCCTAAGGAGAGTACCGTTTATATTACTTGCTAATAACAGGTCATCCAGTACCTGTAGAATGAGTGTTCAGGTTCCCAGTCAGCTAGCAAAAACCATGGTGGATCCCGAAGGGGCTCACTGGGAGTTTGCTGACCACAAAATCACTCTTTTCAGCAGTTCGTCACTAACCCCTAAGCTGTGACTCCCAGCTGTGAAAGAGTGACTGGCTATGGGGTGCTCCGCCTTTCACTTAAGTGTCGCGTTTCTTCCAGAGAGCATGCACAGCCCGGGCGAAGGAGCCGAGTGGAGGGTGAGAAAGACGCTGGGCTTCGGCGTCCTGCCGAAGCCCGGCTCCGCCACTTGGGGGCCTTCGGCTAGCCAGTTTCTCTGAAGGACCTCTGCTCTCAGGCGGGGGTGGCTGTGAAGCCAAGCCAGATGGGACACATCTCAGAATGTGCGAAGTGCAGTGCTGCTGAAAGGGTCCCTGCTTCGTCTTCGCCGCCTTAGAGAGCTCAGTGTCTGAGTCTGCCCGGACACCCGGGCTTTCCTTGCGCTGTGCACACGTCCTGTTCCCTGTGCCTGGGATGGCGAGCTCCCGGTTCCCCCTCCCTCTCACCGGAGTTTCTACTCACCTCTCACAGCACCCATCACACTGTTGAACTGCTTGCAAGTCTAAACGGGAAAAGGTAGACATTTGAGAGACTGTCAGCTCCCCGCCGGACACGTTACAGCATTCCAGAGCCGAAGCAGAGTGAGTGCTTGGTAAACGCTTGCTGAGGGAAGTTCTATAAATAAGTAACAGATCCAGACCCAAGAGCGGAGTAGCAGGCTTTATATTACCCATTTAGAATTCAGATCCTGTGCAGTCCAAGGCCTTCCCAAACCTGACATTTTTCTCTACGTCATCACACAGATTTCCTGTCAGCATCCTCTGTCAGGGTAGCTGCAGGGTCAGGATAGCTGAGTGGTGACAGCTGGGCTGCCAACTTGCTCCGGATTTAAAAAAAAAAAAAAGCCTTTGGCCCGATTTTGTCTCCTATCAATGGTTGTAATGATTAAGAGATTTTTAATAAGTACGATTTAAAACACCAAAGCTTTGGAAAGTTTAAAATTGTGTCTCTAAAGGCACTGCCATTCACTTATGTTCTCCTATTTTTCTGATTAAGTAGCTGCTTTCTAGAGCGAAAAGGAGGCGAGTGTCCAAAAGCAGTAAGTCTTGCAGGACTCAGGTCCTGGAGGCATTCGTGAGGCCACGAAAGCTTTCCCGTCTCTGACTTCCCTCGCTGAGAGTCTTCCTGCTCACAGGCATGACTTCGTTTGTCTTGGTGAAGGATACTACACAAACACAGACTATTAAATTACATTTAAAAGTCCAAACAGCAAGATACACAGAAACACCAGAAGCCTCCTCATTTCCTATTCAAAGCCTGCAGCGTTGTATTAAATGATTGAATGTGCAAAACTGTAAGAGCAGACCGGAGTGGGCGTGAGGGGCAGGGGGACGAGCCACGTTCGCTGCAGAGTTCAGTTGGGAGGACACAGTGCAACCCACCCTCTGCCTGCTCTAGTTTCATTCCTCTTCGGAGTCGTTCAACAGGGCGGTCTGGTCCGGGTGATCCGGCTTCAGCTGCTGAATCCCAATGATTTCCCCTCCTCCCTGTCTCTTCAACCGAGTCAAAAACCTGTAACAGGGAAACCGTAAGAGTCACTGAGCCGGAGGAAGTCCCTTACTCCCTCACCCAGGGATGTGAGAACATGTGCTGCTTGGTCAGGCGTTTTCTTCTTGTCTACACATCTGACTCGGATGTCTCATTTCTCAGTAGATAAAGGGACTCAGGGTTAGAACCAGTGCCTTCCAGCCTGCTGTCCACAGACCAGGCAGGACAACGACAGGAAACTGACCGTGACTCCCTTATCTGGTCCCTGTGCGACTCTTCCTGGGTGAAGTGTATCTGCGAATAAGGACCTAGAAACAAGGGGGCAGTGACAGCGGTAGACCCAGAATACCCTGTGCTAAAACCACCCTCGCCCTGTGTGGCTGTGCTGTTTACTGTTTACTAGTCGTGTGAGCTTGGATGAAACTGCTCAACCCCTCAAAACCTGGGTTTACCCCTTCTCTTAAAAAAAAGGTAGAGATGGCAATTGTGGGGCAGTGGTTTAAGCTGCTGCTTGGGGTGCCTGCATTGAGTTCCGCCCGTGCTGGGACTCCGCTTCCTTTCAACGTGCCTGGAAAGGCAGCAGATGAGAGCCCACGTACTTGGGTTCCTGTCACCCACGTGGAAGACCGGAAGGCACTTGTGGCTTCTGACTTCCTCGTGTCCCAGCATCACTACTGGGGCAATTGGGGGGTAAACCAGAGGGTGGAAGAGCTGTCTCTCCCTCTCTCTCTCTCTCTGCCCTTTCAAATAAGCAGATTATTTTTTAAAAAGGGAGTGAGCAATTCAAACACATAACAGAGAAGGTCCAGTGTCAAGTGCTTCTTGTGTTCGCAGGACACAGCTCATGTAAGCAGTCGGTAGTGGTTATCACCTGCGCATCTCTCAGCCTTCGAGCGCTTTCTGCCCGATGCAGTGTGTGGCTGTCATGAGCGCACTGGCAGGCAGGCAGGGCAAGTGCAGGTGTCAGGTCCAGAGTGAACCAGCGGCAGCAGGGACTACAACCCAATACCGATTCCTAATGGTTTCTCAGCACAGGCTTAAAAATTGTCAGAACTGCATTTGAAACCTGGGTCTTGGGCTACTGTGACCCAGCCACGTGACTTCACAAAGCCACATGGCCCTCACTGGCGAGGAAGGGTGGTGATGCGTGGCCTGCAGCGTACAGGACCTTGCACAAGACTTGGCACTCGGCCAGCGGCAGTGCCTGGAGGTGGTTTAGAAGGAGCGCATGTCACGTGAGCCGTCTCAGACATACCAGTAAACCAGGGAGTAGTTGGTGGCCACGATGCAGAGAGCGGCCAGGTAGTGCCAGCAGAAACACATGGTGATGAACATGAGGTTTGTGTCTTCCTGCTGGTCCCACTCAGGAGTTCCAAATGGTGGGAACAGCACAAACCCGATCTGGCAGATTGGATGGAGAGAGCAGTTCAGGGGTTAGTAGTCCTGAGACACGGCTGAGCCTTCTTCCTTTGGCCACCAGAGTGGTCCACACTACCCCACCTTGAGGTTCCCGCACTTGCTTAGCACAGATGGGCCTTTTCACCCAGGAACACAGCTACCAGGTTGATTTTGGCTTTAGCATAGGCTGATTTGAAAACAGCCCAACTTCAGGGCCTGCACTTCAAGTGCACAGTTCAGTAAGCACAGCCTCTGCAAGGTTATCAGCCCCAGTTGGGGAGGGCAGGTTGGGCGCTATTTCAGCGACTTGCCAGCTCCCAGGGGTCTTCAGGAAGGGCATGGAGAATGTGCATCATGAAAAACCTGTGCATAGGCTTCAAAATGTACCAAATAAACCTCTTTCAATTCTACTTTCCATGAGCTTTCTGGGGCGCCCCCATGTGGTTCAGGGATTTCTGCTCATTTAATACATCGACAGGACATTAGTAGGCAAAACTGGATAGACCCAAAGGAAAGGGCGGCCTGCACCTGTTCCCTTGAACGGCAGAGCTGCGTCTTCAGGCAGCACGCCGCTTTCAGGAGCTTCTGCTGGACTAGCTCAGGGGTCGGGCACCGCAATCCAGACCACTTGGGGAGCACTGGTATAAATGTAATCACCTGCCAGAACCAGGTTCCCTGCAGAAGAACGAGACTGGTTCGGAAAAGTTCCAGCACGATGTTGTCCCGAAAGATCACCTCGAGGAAGACGCTGACACTCCCTCCGAACAGAGCAACGAGCAGCAGCGAGTGGATGTGCCGGTCCAGGGGAGGCCGGTTGTGAACGTGGTAGTAGAACAGAAAGCCTGCCGCAAACCGAATGCCAGCCGTGAGACGGGCTTTCCTCCCACGCCTCTCCCAGTGCTAGCCGCTGCAGCACTGGAGGCCGGCGTCCCTAACCCGGAAGAGCCACAGATGCAGGTCAAGTTCCTTCGTGGGGGTGTGTAGAGAATCAGCGCTAAAGGATGGGGGTCTTTTTAAACCTCTTTGTTAAACTCATGGTTGGGGGTGGTGTGCAACACCCTGTGCGTGTGTATGCCTGAAATTCACTTTGGCCCTTATCCACCTCTCGTTTTCCCTGCTCCCTGAGCTAGGGGAGTAAGCAAGGGGGGTGGATTTTCATACCCCAGTGAACTGAGGCCTATTGGAGGCCTCTCAGCTGGGTAGGCCACCTGGGACCTGTGATGGAGGCAAGACAGTACCAGCCCAGGGAGGGGAGGTGCAGTGCAGGTCCCCTGCGTGGCGACACTCAACCTGTCTCTAGGACACGCTCTGGGCGCGTGCTTGTATGTGCACTGCACTCTGGGACAGGTGTGTGCACACGTGTGAGCAGGAGTGCGAGTGGGCTTCAAGAGCTGCCCCATGGAATCTGTCATCTGGGCTGCCCAGAACACAGGATCAGGTCCTGTGCAGAGTTTGGAAGCCCAGACGTGTGGAGTTTCTGGGAAAGGTTATTACAGTTGCAATCTTCCTGGTATTTCGTACTCTGATCTCTAATAGATTCGACTTGTCAGCCTCCTTCCCTTTCTCTACCCACTCTCACCTTCAGCGAACACGGACATGGCCATAACCAGTCTGTCCACCCCCAGGGGGATGTGGGTGACCAGATAGGTGAGCATATCTACGATGCCCGAGACTGCAAAGAACAGGTACATGGTGCTGTGCTGCCAGTTCATCAGCTTCACCCACTGCTTTTCATTGTAGAGGTGCAGGTGCGGCCCATCTGGAACAAACTGCTCGGCCAGGATCCCTGCGGGAAAACCAGAGCGGAAATGAGAGTGGCTCTGAGACAAACCGGAGACAGCCAGCAATTACCAAAAGCCACTGCAGCCTACAATAAGGGGGTCCCTGAGTGAGCTCTGCAGACACCTGGCTGTTGTTCCTTTTAGAGGGTTGGGCACGGGGGAAGAAGAAGTAGCAG